ATCATAAAGTGATAGCCCTGGAGTGTCCCTTGTTGGATTCTGGACGCAAGTGGGACCCTAAAAATACCCCTTTTAAAATCTCACAGAAAAAACAGCTGCACATGCTGCAGCTCGCAAATCGAGGCGAGGACAGCCAAACTTTTTGAAGGAGTGGGATGCATTAAAGATAGCGGGCAGTTTTATCAACTTTTCATATTGCTTTTTATTTAAACTGGGAAGCTTTAGTCAAAAATGTTGAGCAATAATGCAAACGTACTCTGTTAGCAAAACTGCGATTTATAGCCGAGTCATGCAAACGTTAGCATAAAGATTTGTGAGTGAAGTTTTTGTTGGTAACCGAATGTTAATGTGAGTCAAATTAAAGTTTACATGTTACAATACATATCACAAACTGTGTAGTACACGTCATGTCATAAAATCTGTTATGAAGAGCAGCCAAATGGAAACTTTTTCAAGAGTTAATTTCTTTGCTAGCTTCTCTGTGAGGCAGTAGGCGCCTGTTATGACGTTATGTAAAGTCTACTGTTCCCAGGTGCGAGAGAGGGAGACAGTGCACTGACACTATGTATACAACACCAAAACTTGGGTTACATCAAGAAGCCAGACAACTATCCTTAAAAACAACCACTAGCTAAATATTGAGAGCCATACACTGTAATATTATACACCGCTAAAGCTAGCGTTAAAGCAGAGGAACCTGATGTAAACGCCGGTTTTGTTGGTAGGCATGTTAATCAATGAATAGGCTACCAGCAATATGTTAGCATTAATGTCAACAATGTTTAAATTTTCCTTTAAATGAGATTGTTGCTTAAAAAACTGTCATAATGCTAAAGCTAACCTGTTGGCATGCTTTCGTTAGCATGATTAGAAAAATATATATTTACACTTGATTAATTAAGAAAAAATAAATGCATTTCTGGACAAATAAATTTAGATTTAAGGGGCTCAAAAAAGTCAGAAATTATCCTCCAGGAATCATAAATGTTTGGACTGACTTACCAGCAGATTCGTTCATCTCCAGAGCCAATCAGCTCAATAAAGACAGCCAACAGAATATCTGAAATATGAAATCTGAGATGTTCAGCTGCAGACATACGCTGCATTTCATTCCACATTTCATCCTTGCACGTGGGCATTTCTGGAGACATTTGTTGATTCTGGGGTCAAATCTTTGACCTTCTTATTACTGGATGAGCTTTCTAACCACTGAGACACCCTGCTGCCAGCATACCAACTCTAACCACTTATCCACTGTAGGTCTCGTGTGTCGACCACGGCCCCACAGCTGTCTGGGGGTTTTATCCGGGCTGAGGCGTAAATCAGAGAGCCTCGTCGCATCTCCATAAATATCTCTCCGCCGGGAGGACTTCCAAACACACAATCTTCAATTTATTCGCCCCGGTTGTATTTTTAGTTTGTTTACATTGGTTCCATATGACATGTGGATGAAAACCAACCTCTTTCACTGACCGAAACACAGAGTAAACAAATTGTTCAAAGCCTCAGAATACCTCTGAGACTCCAACCCTTAGATTTACAGTTTCTTAATCACAAGTTTAAACTACATTTTAATCATGTGTCTGTCATGTACTCAGTTAGAATGATGTGGAAACAAGTGCATAACACTCGTATTTGGCATCGTCTTCCGACCAAAACCACTGGCCGCTGTTACTGCCTCCACTCTTCTGCTTTCAGACGTCGCACCTGCTGCAGGGATTTGCTTCTATTATTAAGCACAACATGACCACATACTTCTGGCCATTAATTTAACATAGGTAAACTGGTTGGCTTTTTTTCAAGTATTTCCATTTTCCAGGAAATCTCGCAGCTCTGAGGCTGTGTTTGGAAAAGCAGAGACGACCGTTGTTGACGATGAAACCCTCAAAGTGTGATCTGTCATCGGGCGCTTGACGGCTCATCTTCATCGCGCTGTAAGGACATCTCTTTGTGAAATGAAACTGTGACTCAGAGTTCCTCTCTTGTGAAGGTAAACTGTTTACACGGATCAGTTTGCTCATCGGAGGACTCCACACGACACGGCAATGGCATGTGGAGACTCGATTCTGTTGAGAAACATTGACGGGACATTTGGCAACCCCTGATAAAAAATGTTTTACACAACCTGTAAACAAACTGTCTCTGTTTACAGACCTGTGATGACTGCAGAATGAGCATGCCCTTTTAAGGATCCTTTTGAGGTATATTATGAAACGTGTGCACAGTATCGAATGGAACTGTGTACCAACATAATCCCAAAGTTATCCAACAATGTTAAAATCCACAGATTACTATTGTTTATGGGTTAAGCCCTACTCGAGCGGCCCCTTCAAGGCTTGATGATATTTACGTCCCTGTGACGTTCTGCCTGTGACATTACAGGGGTGAGATGGGATCGGCGGCTAAACCAGCGTGGGAGGACAGCGCAGTGTGTGTGTGTGTGTGTGTGTGTGTGTGTGTGTGTGTGTGTGTGCATTACTGACTGTGTGTGTATGTGGAGCTCTTGCTGTGCCGTGCTCTTTTGAGCTTCACATAGTTAAATTCACAAACTGGCACTCCCATATCACGGCGTTGCAGAATCAATATAAATGTCTTTAAGGCGTATTGACGTTGGACCTTAGTCTCAGTGCTGTTGCCTAATCACATAATGAAAAGTGCTACAGGGACGTCACCAATTTGGTTTTCCAAGCAGCGTTTTGAATTGATAGCTGTGTGTTTTACACAGGACACATTGTATAAACACTCATGAAGTTGCCACAAATCAACAAGTTGGGCCTCTATTTTTGTCGTCCATCTCACTTTATGCTCTGCATTTGCTGTCTTCAAAAAGCCTGAGTTTGTTTTAGCTTCCTGCGTCAGTCAGCTCGTTTCCTGATTGGCTTGTGTTACGTTCCATGTAACAGTTCACAGAGTGCGTGTTCGGCCTACCTTAGTGTTCTCTCCACACAAAAGGATTTCAAAATATCTACGTTTTTGAATTAGGGAGGCCCTGCTCGTCTTCAGAGCAGATTATGGGAGGGTAAATCTACTGTTAACACGCCTCACAGCAAAGGAACATCCGGCAAGATAAAATCAGTGCTTTGCTGACTTTGGTCAGAAAGGAGGAACTTTTTGGCCCGATTATCTTGTAGTGTGTACCTCACTTCCCTTGACCAGGAAGTGACCGAATGCTAAATTTACCGCTAGATATTTCTAAACCAATAAATCAGAACAGAGAACATTCCGAACTAATGCTAATGTTAGCATTAGCCAGGATCATGGCAAAATATTCTTGTAGATTTTCAAATAAGTGGTTTTACTTTAAATACATTTATTGCATTTCCAGTTTCTTATCACTCTGGAGTTTCGGATTCCTTACATTTGTACAATTTGAAACCTGGAACAACGTAGCACAACAATGGAGTTTTAGTCTCCTGACCTGGGCATGACCTCTGGAAAATGGCCGCAGAGAGAATATGGTGCATTGTTTTGATTGAGAGACCCCTGCCTGCCAAAACTCATACAGTTTTTTAAGTCTAAATTAGGTTATTTCCAATACTTAGCTTATTTAATTTGGTCCCATCCATTTGGGTTAAGCTTTCAGTAAGAGAAATTAGTCTTCTTGGCAGTCTGCTACACCTGACAGATCTTGTGATTGACTCCAGATACCCTTCAAAAGTTTCTTCTGGCCCAAATCTCCATCTTCTGCTTTTTTGTCAGTTTTGGCGTTGGACCCTACCTCCCAGCTCCTCCAGTAAACCCTTCCAGTTCACCTCGCTGACGATGAGAGTGAAAGACAGTCCTGTGGTTTTCACGTGCGGGGAGATCTTGGCATCTCCCCTGAAACAACTATTAATAACGTGGTTGCTATACCGCCTCACTGCCAGAATTCTCTCTGGCTTAGTCACGGTCTGCTTTCATCCAAAAACCTGCAGCCTCCGGGGAGCTTTGGCCTAGTTCAGATCTAATTGCCTGTAACTTAGTCAGGAGGATCTTCCCCCAACCTGACCCGCACCCAAACAATATCAGCTTTCCCGTCATCGTATTTACAACTCCAACAAAGAATGAATAGTGACAACAATCAGACTGGATTAGAGGTTTTTTTGGACTTTTGTTTCTAAGCAGGTCTCTCAAATTGTTTGGTTAATTGTTTAACTTTTTTTGTGCCTTCATTTTCAAGAAAGTACAGTAGATAGAGTCAGAAAAGCTTGGAGAGAGAGAGTGGGGGGAAACGGGAAAGGAGCCACAGGTTGGACCTGAACCCCAGTCCACCCGCCTGGCGGACTTCAGCCTCCTCAGCAGGGGTGCACGCACAAACCACCAAGCCATCAGTGCCCCAAGGCTTACTTTTCTTTGGCATATAGGACTTAATTCTACAAATACATTATCCCATCATGGTATTATTTTTTAAATTGAACTTCCAGGCAGGTCTTGGTACAATTTCCTCAAACAACCTTTTGATAGGTGATACGGGTCATACATCATGGTTAACATTCCAGTGCCTGTATTTTCTTGTCAGTGTCATCATGCTGTCATCACAAGCTAACAAACTTTCTGGTTTCATTCAAGGACATTCAAAATCAATCATCTTTTGTATAGCGCCAAGTGTTATCTGGAGACGCTTTACAAAAAGAGCTTATGGGATAAGATGCAGGAAGGATTTCTCTTTTCCATTCCTCTCGTTCCTGTTGTCCACACTTCCTTGCTGCTGAGGTGGAGGTTGGAGCAGGCCGTGCATGAATTAGGACGGCTCTGGTTGTAGGGACGACACAGTCTGATGGTGGTGGCTGAGAAATGATTGATTTGGTTGCTAAAAGGAGGGCACTGATGTGCTATCAACTGAAGATGCAAAGCATTCACAAATGATGGTTATTGTGGGAAGGAAAGAGAAGAATTTGTTTGTTATCTGCATTTAATAAAAGTTGGTTAGAAATCTTATCCTCTGTCAGTGAGTGTCCTGCGCCTCGTTTCTCACATCAACTTTTCAGTTCACCGGTGTCTCTTTTGTCTCCTCCTCACAGGTAAAAACATGCGATCCAGGAACTGCACCATGGAGGGTCCAGATGACGGACACATCCAGCCAACCACAGGCTTCATGAAAGAGGAAGAGGAGAACACTCCACAGCTCACAAAGAGGAAGACGAAAGCCCTGCAGCGAGAGGAGAAGGACGGGAAGACGGCGGGGTCTGGAACGTCTAAGAAACATCAGAAACCGGCTGAGAGCAGGAAGCCAGAGGCGCTGGATCTGTCCAAGAAAGATCTGATTCAGCTGCTGGGAATCATGGAGGGAGAAGTTCAGGTACGAAGCAAAATACCCTTAAACGAATATTAGGTAGTCAGTCATTTCTATCAACCTCTGACAGAGTTGAATAGTGCTTACAGAGACTCTATGAGCACTTAGATCACATCCTCCCGACCGATATAACATCTGGAGAGGAGTCACCAGTGAGACAACCCTGAGGTTAGCAAGCCAACAGCAGAACGTAGAGTGTACATTTATTGCCTGTACTGACACTGCAAGCTTCCTGAGATTTTTACATTTGTTGTAATGGAAGAGCCAATATTCTAGCAAGCTAGCATAAGCTAACCGTTGATGTTTGACACAGGTCTGTCCAGCCAGTGGTGATTCTAGAGTCTTTTGGGGCCCTAGTCAAAAATCAATTGGGGGGGGCCTCCAATCAGCATTCAGCAGGTCAAAGAGACCGAGTTCTGTCAGATGGGAATCCCTTAGGGAGGTTTCCTACCGTCATTGCAAAAGTTTGCACTTTTTTCAGCCACTGCTTTTGGGGCACCACCAATGGTCTGGGGCCCCAAGGCAATCAATACAATGATTGTATATGATCTTGTCTTTTGCCATGTCTGTCTTATTCACAGGTTTAAATCGTGGCCAATCGCTAAGTTGCATCCACTCCTAAACTCAACGGTGGGTCGTCATTGGCTAGGGGAAACAAAACCAGCTCCCCGCCAGGGTTTGGCACGTTACTGAAAATTACTAGTTTGTTACAGTAACTGGCTCTCTGACGGCTAGCTTAGCAATAGCGTGGTGTCGTTTAGCTACATGCTTCGTTCTTATGAGAGGAGTTTCCGTTCCTTCACATAGATGACAACTCACTGCTATATTCTTGTTGTTTAACTCGAGCAGAGGAAATAATGTCTGTATTTTTCCCAGACAGAAAGCTAACAGCTGAAGTTATCTTTTGCACAAAATCCCGTCATTCAAAGTCTTCCCCCTCTCCTAAAACAGCATAAATGTGTCAGCACTAGCAACGTATAAAAAACCGCACCTGCAGTGCAGATTATCACGAGTGCAGAGATACAGGTCGACAGCTCAGTGTGTGAGGGGTTGGATTTTGAGAGTAACCTTTTGCCTCTGTGGAAACGGTCCACCCACCCATCTGCTGCTGCTGCTGGGTTCCAGTTTGATAGATTCATTTATGAACTGGTCTCCAGAGAGGCAGGATGCTGCAGCCTCACCCTCTGTTTCCATCTGTTTGGGTGTGTTGAATATTTTCCATCAGCGACAGGACAGACGGACACAGAGAGGCACTTCACACAGGAAGAGCTGCTTTTGTTCCGCTTTAACATGCACGCTGTTTTGAAGTTTTTACCAGATTCTTAAAGGGGACACATTCTGAGAAATCCACTTCTACAGTGTTTTGAACATTTATTTGAGTAACCTGAGAGTCTACCGACCCACAAAATGTGAAATCTTTGTTTGTGGTCTGCATAAGTCTTACAACACAGAGAAAAATGCTCTGTTTCAAATCTGCTCTCCTTGTGAGGTCACAGTGGGATTCTGGTTAAAATAAATCCCCTCCCCTCCCCTGGTATCTCCACCCATGGACTCCACCCCCAGCCTAGAACAAAACTTTTGAGCAGGTCCACCATTTTTATTCTCGCTACAGTGGAGTGATGTCAACCAGGAAAACTCAGGGGGCTCATCGCATTTAAAGAGACATACACACCAAAACGGAGCGTTCTGAGAGAGCTGGTTTCTACAGGGTCACAAACCTCCTCTGGTGCTTCATTCATGTTATATTTTGACCAAAGCACAGCACAGATGTTTCATTTAGACCACAGGGGGACTGTTTGAAAAGGTGGAGAAGGGGGAGAATGTGTCCTCTTTAATGATGTTTGTATCAGAACCAATATTACAAAGTGTCTCACAGCGATATATTATCGACTCAACAGACATGCTCATCATATTAAATGGTGTCTGTAAATTAGCCGTAGGCATCCAAAATGGACCGAAAGGTTAAATCAGATCATTCACCAGTTTTTCTTTATATAAACTAGAAGACCCTGATGTTTCTGTAATGGGTCTTTTGCACGTCAACAATGAAGAAAATGTCTCCCTCTGCTGGTGTGAACCTGAATCTCTCCCTCTGGGTTTATCTTATTTGGACACATTAAATCCTCATTTCCATGTGAGAGGACTTGTGATGAGGTCATTTTATGGGCGCAGCTCCTCATTCAGATCATGATATGAAAACTGATTGTTGCAAGAATCGTTATGCAGATGACAGAAATACACAATAAAGGTAAAACAGTCAACAGTTTTTGACTCTTTTGGGATGATATTCTTAATATGTCAATTATTTAAATAGATTATTTAGTTTTAATTTAGAGAGAGAGAGAGGTGCTGCAGTAAGGGATGAGAGGTGCCTCTTCCACACATGAACTCCTGATCATTTCCACAGACTCAGGCCCTGAAATACTTCATCAATATTTTCTTTTAAAGGCCTTTTAAGACATTAGAGTTGAAGTAAAAGAAATTAAAAGTGACATATTACCTCCTCTTCTTCAGTGTAAATAAGTCTCAGAGCTCCTCAAAACATGTGTGTGACGTTTCTTGTTCTAAATCCACTCTGATCCTGTATTTGATCATGTCTATAAACCCCTCTATTTCAACCCTGCTCAGAACAGGCTGTTTCTGTGTCTGTACCTTTAAATATGTAAATGAGCTGTGTCTGACCACGCCCCCACTCTAGAAGGTGCTTGGGTGTACTCGGTGCTTTCTCGCTCCATGTCCTATTGTTTACGGTGAGAAGGCAGACTCAGAGGGCAGAACAAACACCTAGCTGTGGGAGTGTCACCCACCTGGGGGAGGGGCTACTGCCCTTTGTGATGTCATGAAGGGAAAATCTCCAAACGGCCTGTTTGAGCACACATTTTCTGAAAAGTGGAGCAGGCAGAAGACGTAGAGGATGGACTTTTCTCATCATTAGGGGATTTTGTAGACGGACTAGAGACACATATTAGAGTTAGAGGAACATGGTGACGTGTCCTGATGAACAAACTGCCCTCCATCAGAAACATGAAGTCCTCTGTTAATGTGTCAGAACATCTGTCTGTGTGTACGTGCAGTATTAAAACCTGTGTTGTTTCTTCAGGCCAGAGAGGACATCATCGGCCTGCTGAAGTCGGACAGAACCAAACCGGAGACTCTGGAGGCTCACTACGGCTCAGCAGCCCCGACAAAACCTCTGCAGGCTCTGCAGAGAGACGCTCTGCTGACCCGCTGCAACAACAACAACACTGAGGACGTGTACGAGACCCCCATGGCCGAGGTGAGGGTACGACTATACTGAAGGCAGGGGAGGCAGAAGTACTCATGTTTTTTATACGATATGATACACTGCAATACAATACACAAATTTGTCTTCAACTCCAGTGCTGTAGACTTTGAGGCAGATTACACACTAGGCAAATTTAAGCCCATTTTGGGCTCGACTTGCATCCCGCTAACAATCGGAGGCTCTGATTCTAGGCATGACGCAACCGGTTATTTGTCCCAATAATGCTGAAGTATTTGATGTCAGCAGGATTATTTAACCGCCCCCTTTGAGTCGGAGCCGCCCCGATGTGGAACTGTAAATATCTGGCTGCCTCCAATGGACTACCCGCAATACCCGATGAGAGCGAGTAGACCAGGTGTTGGGTACTTTTACAGCTCACAGACATGGCAGCAAATAAGAACTCAACTGAGCTCCGAGCCAAAGGGTTTGCACACTTTTTCTCGTTTTTTTTTTCCTGGTGCAAAACAGAACGCATGCCAAGAGTAGACGGCCAGTTGACGACATCGATCATCATCCATAATTGCTTTTCTTCTGGAGTCATGTTTTTTTATCATTTTTTTTTATTAGGCTTGATTACAAACAGGAACTTACAGGACAAATCAGAAAAATCCTGCACTCTATAACATTTAGCATGATTTTATTAAACATTTTGAATCGTTAAAGGCTTTAAATGCGATTTTTTTGATCCAGCAGATGTCGCCCTTGAGCACCAGCATGAAACCAAAACAACTCGCGCGGCATTGTTGTGTTAGCATGCTAATGCTAGCGATCTTTATTATGCTGGTATCTTCACACTGCATGTAAATTTACCTGAAATGAGCGTGATCTAGAAACACAGTTAAGCAGTGAGTACAGTATGTTATTCTTCTTTTCTCTAGTCCTCAATTAAACAACTTTTATACACGAGGGGAGGAGTCAACCGGCCGTCCGGGCGATGTAAACAAAGTGAAGATAGGACTCTGAAAACTCTGAAAACATCACAGACAGTGGGACTCGGGTGTTACACCCATTGTAGACAGTCATGACTCACAGAGTTATTTTCAGAGGAGATACTTGATTTATATTTAAGTGTGAAAAATCGCATAAAAAGCCTTTAAATAAGCTTTATGAGAAAGTTGTTCATGACCTTGATTGAGGTTATTTACAGAGTTTGCTGCACCATCGCTGTCTTTAAACCCTCGCTGTGCGTTTACATCAGGAGCAGGAGAGTGAAAGCAGAGGCTGAAATCTGGTTCTTTTTGTGTAATAAAAGGCTGTAAATTTTAATTTTCCATGCTCAGCGGAGTCCTGCAGGGCGCTCAGTAAGTGTGAACACTTCTGAATAAAGCAGTGTGAAAAGAGTCTCTCTGCTCATTGTTAGCGCACAAACACAATGCGACCACGGCCGTGGCTAATGGCGGTTGGATACTGTGCGAGGCAGATGTTGGCGGTGTGTCAGAGCGATGTGCGTTCAGTAATGAGTGTGGACGTTTTTTCTCTTCTTCAGCTGGACCGTCTGGAGGACAAACAGAGGGAGACGTACAGGCGGATGCTGGAGCAGCTGCTGCTGGCCGAGAAATGTCACCGCCGCACCGTCATGGAGCTGGACAACGAGAAACTCAAACACACCGACTTCATGAACAAGAGCGACGACTTCACCAACCTGCTGGAGCAGGAGAGAGAGAGGTGAGGCCCCCCGCTGAGTCTGAGTGAATTATTGTTATAATGTCCTATTCTTCCTCAGGTTTAGACATCATCTTACAGTATCAATGAGATGCTACAAACTTTTTATTTTTCACAGTATGATGATGAAAGTCAAGGTTTATCCACAAACAGGAGAAAAAAATGGAAGACAAGCTCCTTGATATCGACAAACAAACCTTAAAATCTCATGAAAAGACAAAAATCAAAAGTGTGTTTCTCATTTATTTCTGATTATCTCTACGTGGCTCTAAGCTCCAAGCTGATTGGTTCCTACTGAAGAAGCTTAAAGACACTTTAGAAACACCTCTGAAATGTAAAGTTTTTTCTTCTAAAAAGAGAGTGTGGGATTCTTGTGATCGTGTTTTTGGACATAACTCAATTAAAACGTGATTCAACACCGTCGATAGGAAGATGTTTTGCAGATGCAGGAAGAATCAGATAAAAAACCCAGAGCGTGGAGGTTTTGGATGACTGCTCTGATAGGCAGAGCGAGCGATGAATCGTGTCTTATCGCAACATCAAATACACAAAAGCATGCAGTTAAATGCTCATGTGATGACAAAGATTAACCCTTCAGGTTCTCAGTTGAAGGAGATTTGCAGGAAATGGACTTTTAATCGACTACTTTGTTAGATTTCTGACAACTTAAGGGCAGGGTTGTGCATATTTCCTCCAGATCCACTTTTTAAGATTCTGGTTGAAATTGTCTTTAGGTCCTGACAGAAATTAATAACTCACGTTCTCTGAAAATGGAACGCAGAAAATCCGTCATCTGTAGCAGTTTGTAAGCCTGTAAAAACTCTACTTAACGGTCACTTTGGAGCGACGTAGAGGTTAAAAGTCAGATATATATGTCAGCGTGTCTCTTTAGCGGTCCGACCCTCAGCTCCGTCTGATAACACATTCCTGTCAGCGTGCAGATTCACTGCAGGTGATGATATCATGAATGAAGACGTCCAGGATGATGTCACTCCCTGCAGAGATGCTGCTGCACGATTAGAGGCTCCGTTTGCAAAACAAGCATCACATGCACGCACAGGGCTACACGAGGAAAAATCACAATATGATGCAAAGTGACGGCCTCATCATGTCGAAAAGTAATCCAGTTGGCATTAGGTTTAATTTGAAGATGTTATGAGCTGCTAAACGGACTTTATAGTCTTTGCTATCAACCCTAGTTATTATTCTTAATGAGATCTGAGTGGGGTCGCTCATTAGCAACGACATCAAGGCAACAACCAGAGCAAGTTAAAGAGACAGATCTACAATGAGATACAAGAAAAAAGGATACGCAATGCCTCAGATTAGCTCGGCATAAACTGAAATCAATCTGAAGAAAGAACGAGTCCAGGAGTTGAGTGGTTGTTGTGCAGCATCATGTCATGACTTACGTTTCAGATGATGCAACCTTACAGACAAAAAAAAAACAATCAATGTGCTTATGTTGTGTCAAAGTGTTCTTGTGGACTTGTTGTTCTGAATGTTAATAACGATGGTTATTATCGGGGCTATAATTAGCTGAATAGCAGGTCTCTGTCAGCACCGAGGATCTGAATAGACCTGAACAGAGAGAGTTTTAAAGGAGCAGTCTGTAACTCGAAAAAATGAGTTAAAAATGGTTAAAATGGGTACTGCAGTCTAAATTCTAAACATTGTAGAGAGCTGAATTGTAGAATGCAGAGCATTCAGGAGTGGAATCTAAAGTTAGAAGGAGGACATACTGGCTGCTGCATTGTTGTCAAAGAAGCCAGCACTTCAACATAGCATGTTTCCTTAATGTCTGATCATAGAGTAAGCTCACTTTATCATCTCACTCACTACACATCTCACTGATTGGACCTTTAAAATGGTGTTTAATTGTTTAATTTCTGAGTAGTTTCCTAACTCTGGACTCAAATTAGTCACTGTGAACATCCCTTTAGGTTTGACCAAATGGTTGCACTGGATAAAACCTTGAGGTACAATCAGAGTTAGTAACCTTCCTCCTCTTTGCACCATTTCACATTTCTTGTATTTCTTATCCACTAGTTGCTGAGATATTTTAGTCTGGACCAAAATGGCGGTTTGTGCCCAGATGTGGCTGTTTGTTACTAAGTTTATCCTGTTGTGTTGGCGAGCAATCAGACGGTTTGATGCGGAGGATGAACAGCTCTGGATGTTTTATTTTTTAGAAACCAGAACTTATTTTTGGAAATTAAAAGAATATATCTTCCAGGCTTTGATCCAGATTGAGACAGAAGATTTCTTCCAGTAATCTGGAGATTTACAGCCACAGAACGTGGAGATTAATGTAAAAGGCCGTCTCACATCCTGCTGATATTTATGTACAACATGCAGTTGGAATAATGAAGAGCAGTGACGCAGTGCCTCTGCATCTGTAAGCTCTTTGCACCGCTCATATTTGGCTCATTTAGGTGCCTCTGCGATGCAAACCAAAGGCCCTCCTCTGCCGTGTGAAGCTGTGATCTCACACTCATACAATTTAGCCACTATGGAGTATTTGTATATCGTGTCTCTCCCCTTTGCACGATACAGGCAGATTATAATGAGAAAGGCTGTGCAAGTCTGGCATTGTCCTCTCCAAAACAAAAAACTCTCACCCAGCATTGTTTCCTTGTTTCTATGGGGACAAGTGCTGGTTGCAAGAGGGACAGTAGACAAACTTGTCAAACCGGAGTTTCTCTTTAGAAAAATATATATAAAAGGAAAGATGAGTGAACTTTAAAGGTGGCTCGGTGTGTTATGTCATACCTGCTGCACAGCCCGTCCCTCCACCCATGAGGACGAGGGAGAAAGGAGAGGGAGCGCTCACTGAAATCCTCCCCCGCTCCTTTTTTTTTTGAACCCCTCCTCCTCCTCCTCAGTGTCCAAACAAGGGCAGGGCCTCTTTGGACCATACCATGGAGGGGCGGGTGACATCACCACCCAGCGGGAGAGAGAGAGTGCAGTTTAGCACAACATCCACCTTTTTTTTCATTGTCCACTGATGACATGTTTGGAATGTGATGGCTAATTCCCCCGCGGAGCCTGAGCCCCTCCCTCCGCCCCTCCGTCCCTCTCTGACCCCGTGAGAGTCTCAGCAGCAGCAGCAGTTTGGCTCCTGCTCAGCTTCACAAACACACTCTGATATGGATCAACCTGCTCTGCATCCCAACGAGTTGGTGAGTTGAATAAAAGTTTGTGGCAGTGTACGTGTAAAAGTCTGGAGTCTTAAAATAAGTTATGAGGATTTGCATTTCATTTTATTCCAACATGCTGAGCACATGTTCTGCAGTGCTGAGACTCCTCTGTGTGATTGAGTGTCTGATGCAAGTGTGCATGTGTGCCATGTGAAACTCTCTTTCTCTCAGACACTCACAGACTCCCGCAGAGATCAGTTAAACATCTACAAACAGGACATTAACTCAGACAAGTTCCCAGAACTTTGCTGGCAGCTCTGCGGTGGCTCTCACTCTCTATTGCTTCATACCAGTGGACTGTTGTGTTGATGCATTTGTAAAAAAGCATGAAAACCAAATAAGGTTCTCATTAGGCAGCTGGATTTGCTTTTAAGTTGTATCTTGTGAAGGTGAGTTCAGACCAAGCAAAGCAGACTTTAGAGGTGGTACAAATATACCCAAAGGCAAGATCTTTGAGGATGCAAGTTCATGCAAATTCATCCGGGATGATGCAAAGTGTCCTGAGCAGAAAGGTTTGCTCTTCATGTACTGTCACTCTTGTAGTTATAGGTATGTTATGTTGATTTTTTGATAGATGTTGGTGTCTTACGCTCAGGAGTCGATAATATGTAAATAATTTATTTCCGCTAAAAGTACTTAAAAGGACTCAAACTAATTTGTTTGGACTTAAGAAGGGGAGGTAATGTTTTTTTAGTTTGTTTAATGCTGCCTGAGTCTCATTCACTCCATGGAGAGGGTATTATTACATCAGGAGTCCTTCTGGCTTCTGATTGAAGCTCCTCTCTGATTGGCCCAAGAACACAGGTAATGTCATGATTTAGTCTTACTTAGTTTTGTTTTTCAGCGTTTGGGTTTCCATGTTTTAATTTCTCCTGTTTATCCTAGTGTTGCTTGTTTCCCTTGTGTGTTTTTGTCCTAATGTTTCATAGTTTAGTCTTTAGTGTTTCTTTATGTTCTAGTGTGTTGTTGTTACTTTCTTGAGTTCTGTGTGTCTTCAGTGTTTCATGACTTAGTTTGTAGTTCTCCTCAGTGTTTCTTGTATTTTATTCCTGCCTCTGTGTGTTTCCCTCCAGTGTGATTGCCCTCATTGTCTTCACCTGTGTCATTAGTCTCACCTGTGTTTGATTACCCCTGTGTCTATTTAGATCAGCAGACTGGGTGGTGTGTGTCTTTTTTTTTTTTTTTTAAGAAGGCTGTGGGGACAGCCAGTTTTTTTCTTTTAAAATAAATGTTGGTTTCAATGGACAAAATCTGCAATCTGGTTGTCAAGTTTTTTTTTCCACTCACACTGCCTGCCATCCAGAAGTACAACAAGGTCAGAGAGGAAGAACAAAGTTGGTCCTGTGTCAATCAGAGACTGAGCTGTCATGTACTGTAGCTCTAGCCGTTGTGTCTTGTCCCCCAAAAGTGACCTGGCCAAGGCTGAGCTAATCACAACTGTTTATATAATATACGGAGGCTTTGGTGCTATGATTGTTCATGTTTTGTTGCTGTAGTTGGTTGGAGGCATTTTGGTTTTGCACTCGCTGGTGTATCCCTTTTTTAAAAATGATAAAAGAACTGACTTTTCCATAGAGGATGAAACCTGAGTGGCGTCACCCATCTGTTCCTGCAGGGGGCGCTGGAGTCCCATCGATGGCGGTCTCCATGCTGGAAATGCTGTCTGGATACGAATTGCCAAGTACCTACTCAATCTGGCAGTAGGCAGTAGGCAGTACCTACTATCCGTGCTGTATACTGTTTAGTACCTACTATTCAGTATGCACACAGTAGGCAGAAATTTGTTCCTACTTCGTCTGATTCATTCAGTATGGAAGTGACGTCATTTACGTTACCCGAACCGGCCGCATACACCCGTTTTTTTTTTTTTTGTTGAGCTTTATTCAAAAAGAGTAATGCTCATATACAGTCAGGTAAACAAAAAACAATATCACAATGTAAATAAAGTAAAAGGCAGATTAAATAACTAAATAACATACAGTAGCCTACATAAAGAAAAGTACAAATGAAAGACAGTAATATACAGAATATGAAGTTAAAAAAACCAATAAAGACACATTTAAATAGTGAAATCATTATTTAAATAGAGGGGGAAAGGTTTTATAATAATGCAGACATTTGTTATATTTTCTGTTGTTAATTAAAAGTAGCAATTTCAGTCGGGACTTGAACTCTAGATAAAATATTGATTCAATTAATCCATGCTCGTTTGTTTTGATTTGGAGGTGGACGTGACGTGCCAATTTACGATTAATTTCGCATAGCATTGTGGGTGGTAAAATACAATTAATTTCCTGAAAGCACGCATCCAATCCATACTGCATAAAACCCAGAAGTTAGTATCCATACTGAAATGTTCAGTATACTGAGGTGGACCCAAAAAATGCATACTGAATTACCACGAAAGTTCAGTATACTGAAACTCCCTACTGAAAAGTACGTACTGCCTACTGAACTGTGGCTATTCCGAAAGGGCCGCTGTCTCAGTCTGACTTTCAGTCAACCTAACGACAGGCTGAGAGCTGGAGCTGAGGCGGGTTTTAAACCTCCTGACAAACCATTACACCGCGCCCGCCTGTCAATCATGTTGGCTACATGCATTATCAAAATATATAGTGTGTGCCGATCGAGGCATGAGCTAATCAGACCTATTTGTTTTTTTGAACCAGGCTGTAAACATGTTAATCTCTGCTCACACTTTGCATTCTTCTCTGTTTCCTAGACTCAAAAGGCTGTTGGAGCAGGAGAAGGCCTACCAGGCTCGTAAGGACAAGGACCACAGCCGGAGACTTGAGAAGGTCAGAGCCGAGCTGGTGAAGCTCAAGTCCTTTGCACTGATGTTGGTAGACGAGCGGCAGCTGCACATCGAGCAAATCGACCAACAGAGCCAGAAGGTCCAGGATCTCACTCAGAAGCTACAGGAAAAAGAGCAGCGTTTGGCGGCCGTCACTGACACCGCCAAGGAGGACAGCCACAAGGTCCTCAAGCTGGAGGAAGACCTGGAGCATAAAGCCGCCAAATTTGCGCAGGAACACGAGGAGATGACCGCCAAACTGGCTGGTGAAGAGTCCCAAAGCAGGCAGCTTAGGCTGAAGCTGGCTGGACTGGTGCAGAAGATTGAAGAGCTGGAGGAGAGCAACAAACTGCTGCGTAAATCAGAGGAGGACCTTCAGGAGCTGAGGGACAAGATCAGCAAAGGGGAATGTGGAGATTCGACTCTGATGACTGAGCTTGAGAATCTGCGGAAAAGGGTGCTGGAGATGGAGGGCAAGGACGAGGAGATAACCAAAACGGAGACTCAATGCAGGGAGCTGAAGAAAAAGCTGCAGGACGAAGAGAACCACTGCAAGGAGTTCAGGCTGGAGGTGGATAAACTGCAGAAGAGAATGGTGGAACTGGAAAAACTGGAGGGGGCTTTTAATAAGAGCAAAACAGAGTGCTCTCAGCTTCACACAAACTTGGAAAAGGAAAAACGTGTTGTGAAGGATCTGGCCGGGGAGCTAGAGACGGTGAAAACTCGGCTGAAAGAACTAGAGGGCTCGGAGTCGAAGTTTGAAAAGTCGGAAATGATCCTCAAAGACGATCTCATGAAGCTGAAGTCCTTCACAGTCATCCTGGTAGATGAAAGAAAAAACATGGCAGAGAGACTCAAACAGGAGGAACAGAAAAGTGATGACTTCAGTAAGATGTTCAAAGCGGAGCAGGGCAAGGTTACAGAGGTCACAGAGAAGTTGATCGAGGAGAGTAAAAAACTTCTCAAATTTAAGTCGGAGATGGAAATGAGAGTGACGACGCTCGCCAAAGAGAAAGATGAGTTGCAAACTAAACTTGCAAGTGAGGAGGGAAAGTGCAGGGAGCTGAATACCAAGGTGAGCAGTATGAAAGTAAGAATTGACGGACTCGAGGAGACAGACAGGGAAATGCAAAGGAAGTGGGCCACTAAGGAGAATCCAGAGGAAGACAACAAAATGAAAGAGCTGACGCTTGAAGTTGAAAGGCTAAAGAATAGACTCAAGCACCTGGAGGTCGTGGAAGGAGACTTGATGAAAACAGAGGATGAGTATGATCTGCTGGAGAAGAAATTCAGAACCGAGCAGGACAAAGCAAACACTCTCTCTAAGTTGCTGGAGGAAATGAGAAGTCAGATCGCTAGAAACAAAGCTATCGAGAAAGGTGAGGTCATGAGTCCGGAGGCTGAGCTGAGAATTCGCTGCAAGATGGAGGAGACCAAAACCAGAGAGTTGCAGGTGGACGTTCGGGCGCTGAAGGAGAAAATCCATGAACTGATGAACAAGGAGGACCAGCTCTCCCAGCTGCAGGTGGATTACTCTGTCCTCCAGCAGAGGTTCATGGAGGAGGAGGAGAAGAAGAAGAGCATGAGCCGGGAAGTTGCCAACCTGACAAATGAGCTGGAGGCCTCCAAGCGTTACAGTCGTGCGTTGAGGCCCAGTGTGAACGGCAGCAGGATGGTCAATGTCCCGGTTACCTCCACAGCAGTGCAAACAGAATCGACGGTCGGTGAGTGTCCTGAAGATGAGACGGCGGCAGGCTTTATCCAAAAATCAGTCCTCGAGGAAAACCACTTAATGAGCAACCTCAGACAACGGGAACTCAAAAAGCCTACGGTTCTCGAGAGATACCCTCAGGCGTCCGCTGAACTCGGAGCAGGGAAATCTTGGATACCCTGGATGAAAAAGAGGGAGGCTGGTGGATTCACTCAGACCACTCCAGAGAGGACGAACGGGACATCCCTGCTCTCTCAACCGGAGATGAACATGTCCCAAAAGCCGGGACAACCTCTGCGCATCCGAGTGACCCCGGATCATGAGAACAGCACCGCCACCCTGGAGATCACCAGCCCCCGAGCTGAGGACTTCTTCTCCAGCACCACCATCATACCGACTCTCGGCCTTCAGAAACCTCGCATCACAATCGTCCCAAAGCCCACAACCGTGACCTCAAAGAGCAAAGCCTGCGACATGATGGGAGGTCTCAATCGAACCAAATCTCCAGTCACCATTACTACCATCTCCAGGGCCAAGAGTCCAGACAAGAGCAACGGTGGCGGCTCTGATGGCCTTCAGTCACCTGTGTCCATCATAACGGTCAGCACCACTCCTGTGGCTGAAGCGTGCGCGTCGCCTGAGCCTCACAACATAACCGCAAGCCGCACAGTTATCAAAATGACTCAAGAGAAGCAGCCTGGGCCAGCACCTTACAGGAAGTACAACGGCAAAAGCAACATCATCACAACAGAGGACAACAAGATCCACATCCATTTGGGCTCCCAGTACAAGAGGGCTTCTGAGGGCTGCAGTCCAGTGTTGACCCTCGGACTTGGCTCTGAAAGCGGCAAGGAAATGTCCACAGGAACGGTGCTCCGCTCCCCTCGCCAAACGTCCATAGGGAAGACGACGACTCAGAGCAAAATGACCAGCAGCATCACAATCACACCGATCACCTCGGCTCCTTCCAGGCCAACACAGTCAGTGGTGAGAGATTTTAAGTTCTTTATTATCATTTATCCACAAGCATACAGACTCTAATTTACAAACCAAAAATGTCTGAACGGATGTCTTAATCTTTTACGTTGCAGTTGCTTCTGAAATGTTTCAAAATGAAATCAGGTGCTGTGTGCTCCCTAGATAGCCCTCTCTCCAGGTATAACACAGTGACCTTTATGAACCTGTGATCTCACTAGTGTGAACTAACACTGGAATGATCTGACATGCAATGAGTCCCACATCCCAGAAGAGACCCCTGAAAAGGTCTTGTTTAAAACCACGGATTTACCGACTGACAAAATTCACTCCTTTTAACCAAACACGGGCAAGAAGTGGCCGATTTGGATGTTTCACTTTTGCACTAGAAGATTATAAATGTACAGATATAACACCTCAGTAAAACTCTCAAAATATAACCCAGACTGATATCAATGTATACCTAAGAGGGGTGGCCCTCTGTATAAGACCCAGTAGGCTTTGATTTGATGATTTGCAGGTCAACAAATCAGAAGTGTGTAGCCCAGATTCAGGATGTTCCAGTTACTTGGACACAACTCCCCTTGGTTGGAAGGCTTTTATTTGAGTAATTAGAAAGAAAGCGGGAAAAAATGACAAAGCATTTGTTAAAGTCTAGGGAACCACACTGGTGTGGTGGTTAGCTCTTCGGTTTTACGGTGATAAGGTGATAAGGTACTCACTCTGAAAAGTGACCCAGTGTAGCAGGGTCAACGCTGTCCAATGGGGTAAAACCATTGCGCTGACAGAACGTAGCACAAACGGACTATGTGGTAATGGGCAGTTAGGGTTCTTAGAGTTTGTTAATTCTCTCCATATCTGTTTGAGGTTGTTCGCTTTCTTCACACAGTTCAGACTTGCATGTTAACTGGTTTCTGTGTATTGATTCTATTTGTGGATTTGTGTCCTGTGATACGGTGAGCGCTCAAGGTGTATGCCACTAGTTGCCAAATATTGTCCAGGAAAGTTTTGATTACTGAACCCTGCCAGAATAAGCCATCAACGTGGATGACCAATGGATGGATGAATGGTTAGATATTTCAAAGTAAACCATGATAGATCTTTTCCATCACAACAGAAAGAAGCTAGCACAGCGCTAACCAAAACTATGCTCACCTGGAAGCTCACCCCCGACCCCTGCATAAAAATAATGTTCTTAAAATACATTTGAACGATCCCTTCACAACCGATCAACCGACTGTTCTTTTTGTTTCTGGTATCCAAAAATCCTGTCCTCATGCTGTTTTGTTGTTTAATATTTTTACAGCCCAGTTCGGATGTGCAGTCAGCTCGGGGCGCGGCCACACGGATCCCTATGTCAAAAGGTATGAAACCGGGCAGCAAGGCGGTTCTGGGCGTGTCGACGGTGACAAGGTTAGAGTCGCGGGCGGAGAGCCAGTCGATGAAAATCGAGCTGAGGAAGTCGACACTTTGTGGCTCGGCCTCTGTGGCCGGGGGGAAAAGCTGAGAGCTAAAAATTGGCTGCAGAGGAAAAGACTCGATGTGAGCGTGTAATAATGATTGAGTTTGACGCTAAATGTTCTGCCAAATCCGACTCACAGCCTACGAGTTTATCTACAGCACACAAGTCGGACTCTGTTTAAAGTGGACTCTCTCAAGAGCTTAGCTTTACAAACCGTCTTTTATCTTTTCTCAATAAAGTTTTTATGTTATCTTAAGGACAGATTTTATGTTACTACATCCAGTTTGTTTTTCACAAAGCATCTCTTTGCATGTCTTTATTTGCATTTGGATTCATTTTCATACCTTCATCTTGGTAGTTTTTTTGGCAGTAGCTGTAGACTTGCTCTCATCAGTTACATTTTCCCATAACATGTGTTTATTCAACCACCGCTTTTGGAGGTTTCCAATCACTGATGCACTGTGAATCGTTTGTGAAAGTATGAATTGTCATCATTTAAGACAGGCACAAAATTAAAACTATTTATCTCTGAAATGAGTACAGCATCTCTTTGTGAATGAATGGTGTGTTTGAGCTTTTTGTGACTTGGAAGTGGGCAAGCATCAACCAGGAAACCTCCAAACTATTAACCCGAGCGTCTTTGTGTTATTCATCCATGTTAAATGCAATGTTCTCATGGCTTGTGATCTTTCAAATACACTTTGGGGACATTAATATTAAACTCAGAACACAGTGCAGTGCAAGTTGAGCACATAAACCTTTTTTTAATCTTGTTGACTGGACAGACTCGGACAGAAATTAAAAGTTTCAGGCTATTTCACTCAAATTGTAAAGGAGTTCAAATGAACAACAATAATTACATTAAAACTTTAAAGTTGCAAACCAACTGGGCATTTCCAGAGATAAAATTATTAATGCAGTTTTCTAATTCTGTTTGAAGTTCAAATAAGTCTCAGAGCTCCCCACAACATGTGTGTGAAGTTTCTTGTTCTAAATCCACTCTGATCCTGTATTTGATCATGTCTATAAACCTCTCTATTTCAGCCCTGCTCAGAACAGGCTGTTTCTGTGTTTGTACCTTTAAATATGTAAATGAGCTGTGTCTGACCACGCCCCCTCTCTGGAAGGGCTTGGGTGTACTCTGTGCTTTCTCGCTCCATGTCCTATTGTTTACGGTGAGAAGGCAGACTTAGAGGGCAGAACAAACATCTAGCTGTGGGAGTGTCACCCACCTGGGGGAGGGGTTACTGCCCTTTGTGATGTCATGAAGGGAAAATCTCCAAACGGCCTGTTTGAGCACACATTTTCTGAAAAGTGGAGCAGGCAGAAGACGGAGAGGATGGACTTTTCTGGGGTTTGTAGACAGACTAGAGATCCCTATTAGAGTAGAAAATGTGACCTTCAAAAAGACTTATCGGAGTTGGTTCCTCATTTTAGTCTCGAAATATGCAAACAGGGGGCGCTGGTAGCCTAATGGTTAGTATGTGCACCCCATGTACGGAAGCTATAATCTTCCAAGTGAGCGTCCAGGGTTCAAATCCGACCTCCTTTCCTGCTTTTCATTCCTCACTCTCCCTCGCCCTGATTTCTGACTCTATCCACTTTCCTATCTCTAAATAAAGCCCAAAAATAAACCTGTAGAAATACACAAACATATCTACATGTTATATGTGACTTTATGTTTTTCCTAATGAGGGTTTATGAAGATTATGTTCATGAAAAGACAGGACAGGTCTTGGTCTAGTTTAAGCTCCACACAAGGTTTCAATTTCTGCAGGACACATGGGAAAACTGTAAGATTACTTAGTTTGTAATGCCAATCGTTTGTGGATGCAGGCTGAGTATCTATCGCCCTCTAATGGACTGAAATAAAAATAGAAAAAGGCCTCGACAGCAGGGACAAATTGATTCTATTTAAGTGTTTTAAAAAAAGTTTGATTGCACAGAAACAGGAACCGGCATCCTCTTTTGTTGACTCACTTTAAAAATCCAATAAACACCAATCATCTCCAGGCTATCACATCTGCAAACAGCCGACTGGGGAGGATGTTATCTTCACAGTCTCAGCTGCCTTGATTAGCTCAACTTAATTAATAACTGAGGAAATTCTGCTGATGTTTGGGAACAAGGGGGCAAAGATGTTGAGCAATGCAGTGAGGAAAAGTCAAATGGGACGGAAATGGAGTCAGGAAGAAGCATCTGGAGAACAGGAGGGTAAACATGAGAAGAGTGTAAAAACACTGATTCATAACAAGCTCTGTGTTTTTGCTTCAGTGATGGTGTGTTGGCCATGACTCCCCTGAGGCTGCTGCAGACTGATTTGAGAGGGATCAAATGCTCTTCCTGGGAACAATATGAGAGGCTGAGCAGGATTATTATAAAAAAAAACAAAAAAAAAACACATTTGAGCCGGATCTCTTTGTACGCAGTCCTCTTTTTCCTCTGAGAAAACTGTTGGGAAACTAGGTTAGACTCTTCATTTTTCCCCAAAAGGAGTTTTATTTTAAGTGGCCCGCCCAGCAGAGGAGAAACAGAAATGGGCCTTCTGTATTTACACATTGACACTGAACTTCAGCTTGACTTCAGGTAGCTGGGATCGATATGAAACTTACATTAGCCTCAGAAGAGGAGCAGATTGCTGACACACTACAGGCTGAGACAGCTACATAGTTCATGCATTTTGAGTGGAATATTCCTGATTCCTGAGCAGTGTTGGGGGGTAATGCGTTACAGAACAATGCATTACTGTACTCAGATTACTGATTTGTTGATGCATTTGTTTTGCAATTCGAGTGGTCAGTTATTTTGTCACATTTTCAAATAAGCAATCTTTTCTAGCTAGGGGAGTTCTCTGTAGTGGACTATGTATCAGCATCAGAATCAGGGTTTATTGCCAAGTACATTTACACATACGAGGAATTTGACTTGGTGTATTGGTGCTAAACAATTAACAAGGAAATAAAGCAGAACTAGAAACAACTTAAATAATACAGTATAAGAAGCTATTACAATATATAAAATAGAAATATATAATATATAAAATATAAAAATATATAAAAATGTAAAATATAAAATATAAAAATTAAAACATTAAAAAAAATTAAATTAAATTAAATTAAAAATAAAAATAAAATAAAAATAATAATAATAATAATAAAATAAGATAAAATTAAATAAAAAAATTAAATTAAATTAAATTAAATAAAAAAATAAAATAAAAAAATAATAATAAAAAACAAAATTAAAAAACAAAATTAAATTAAATTAAATAAAAAATAATACAATTAAATAAAATGAATAAATAAATAAAATAAATAAAGTGCAGTGGTTCACAACTGGTGGGCCGGGACCCTAAAGTGGGTCGCAGAACCATTTTCAGTGGGTCCTGAATGTGTGCCTGGAAGAAAAAAATGCTGTCAAAAAGTCTTTAAGGTGCTTTTTTTTTTTTGACAAGTTTGTTTCATTCGATTTCTTTGTTCTATCACGCTTTGTACCGTCTCAGGTCAAAACTGCAACAATTTCTGCTTCTCCCCCATGTATGGAGGCTGTAGTCCTCCAAGCGGGTGGCCCAGGTTCAAATCCAGCCTGTGGCTCCTTTCCATGTCATTCCCCTCTCTCTCTCTCCCTGATTTCCAACTCTATCCACTGTCCTATCTCTCCATTAAAGGTACAAAAAGCCCAAAAATAAATCTTAAATTTATCGGGATTTTTCATGAAGGAGTAGTTGGTGGGTCCTGAGGGTTCAACCAGTTGAGAACCATTGATGTAGTGCACTCATTCAGCACAATCAGAAAAACTCATGGACACTACTCATCCCGTCGATAATGACTTCTTTGCTGTGGCACAACTAAAACGTTCAGCTTAACGCCGGCTGAGGATCAACTAAAACGTTTTATGGCATGCTATCACCTGGAGCCTTTAAGCACAGCATCCACCCAGAGTCTGCAAAGTGCACATAGAGGGAACCACACACACACACACACACACACACACACACACACACACACACACACACACACACACACGTGATGTTACTGTTCTGTAAGGAGAGTTGTGGCCTTCAAGGACACACATGTTCTGTTGTAATTTTTCCACCACAGGTCTGCTGATTGAAGCCATCTTTGGAAACAGTCGACGCTGAGCTGAGATCTGTGATGTCAGGAGAAGAAGTGAAGAAGGTGTGGAGGCTTGGAGATAAAGTTTCAAGACCTTCATTTCACTTTCGAGTTTCAACATGTAAACTCACTTTCCTGGGGTGGCTGGGAAGTGCAAACCAAAATCAGAAAGCGTGAAACACTTTTACCAAGGACGAAACTTATTTACATTTTAGAAAACAAATTTACAAGATGCAAAACACTTCTACAAGCGCTGAGACAAATTTACACACGGGAGAATCTTTCCAGACAAGTGGCAGAAGTGACCTGGAAGTGACCTGGAAGTGACCTAGCGAGCGGTCAATTAGTTTGTTTTAGCGTGAAGACTGTGCAAAGTGTGTTATACAGAGTTTATGGTGATTGAATTAATTTTTTTTCTGTTTTTTTAAACACATTTGAGACAGTAAATGCAATGTTTATTTGAATTTTAGCAAAATATGTTTGTGATTTAGGCTACATGGTGGTGCAGTCTAAATATGTCAGCCCTCTGATTGGCTGGTGAACAGTCCACGCCTCTCACCCAATGACAGCTGGGATCGCCTCCATCCCTCCTGTGACCCTGAACGGGAAAGGCAGTAAAGATAACGGATGGATGTGTTTACAAAAAATAAGTAAAAAAGAGGAATTCAAAAGTCGATTTTTGCTTGATTATCAAAACGTCAACTTTATTGTCCCCGAGGGGAAAGTTGGTTCACAGCGAAGTGAAAAAAACATAAATGCTAGAAACACAAACACAAACACATCGACTACAAACACCGTAAACAACATTAAGTAGGCTACATAAATATAGGAGTTCATCAGGTAACAACAGGAACTGAGAATGTATAGAAATGTCCATAAAACCACAATTTATACAAAATAACACCTCAGCATCATCGTTGGAGTTCAGTCGTTTGATGTCCTGAGTTATAAAATAATTCTTCACCCTGTTGGACTTTCTGAGATCTGTTTCTCCTGCCTGAGGGCTGACACTCAAACGCACCAATCAGAGGATGCTGAGGACGCTGTCGGATGTCTCGAGCCTTTAAGCTGCAGCTCGCCAGTCACCTGCTGCCAAAGATAGTTTAACTGAAAATGAAGATGCTGTAAAGGAATAGCACGTCGTTTTAAAGTGTATTTGCTGTTATAATAAACATACAGATGTGTTATTCGTGTTGATCAAACACATGATGCAGCTCTACGGAGGATGTCAGTTGTCTTATATTAATGCCAACTTTTAGAAGAGGAGTTCTGTTTTGAGATTTTTAAAACGTCTTCGGGATTAATGAATCACACACATAAAGCATCAACTCTTCCTGGTGATGGAAGCAGGCACTGAAATATGATGTCCTTATCTTCTTTCGAGTTTGTCCACCAGTGTGATGAAAAAATAAAAATCAATACTGGCAATACTACATTTCTGTATTATGAATCCTCTTTTCTGATTAGTCTCATGTTATATTCTAATATTTTGATAAATACAGTTTAATAATAATAATAATAATACATTTAATTTGTAACGCACTTCACATTTTTGCAAAAAAAAAGTGCTACAGGAAAAAAAAATAGAAATAAAAACAAATTTAATCAACTAAACAACTAACGAAACTAAAAGCACAAGCAGAAGGCTTTGTTAAAAAGTTTTAGATTTTCATGAGCTGTAATCATTAAGATTAAATTAAAAAAAGGCTTCAAATATTTCACTTTGTGTGTCATGACTCTAGACAATATAAAAGTTTCCCTTTTTTAAATTAAAATTATTTTTAATATTTGTCAATGTTTTTATGTCATTTAAAATGATTAATAATAATAACACAAGTGTTAATGTTTTCCTTCTGATGCCTTCGAGACAGAAAAACAAACTTAGAGTAGTGTCAGCTGTATCTAACCATAACAATGAAGGACAGTAGAAGAAGAGTGTGCCGAGTTCAGCAGGATGACGTCAGCCGCCCTCTTTATTAAGTTTGTGACGTCATTACGTCTACCTTGTTTGTAAACTTCCTGGAGACGCAGCCGTGGCTAGTTTATCAGAAAGCCTAAATAACCACGCAAAGGCGTTAAATCCGGGGTGTTTCCAAAGCAGTGACAGAGGCGTTAGCATCAACTTTGAATCATGATGGCGACCAGTTACAACGCCAAAGACGAGGACGGGCACATCACCGTGTCCGGGCCCGGCGGCGGGACTCTGCGGAGCAGGAAGCCGGAGAACACGGCGTTCAAACAGCAGCGGCTCCCCGCCTGGCAGCCCATCCTCACCGCGGGCACCGTGCTCCCTGCCTTCTTCATCATCGGACTCATCTTCATCCCCATCGGCATCGGCCTGTACGTGACGTCCAACAACATCCGGGAGTTTGAGGTAATGTTGACAGGTTTAGGTAAGACACAGGTGTTTGTATTAAACCACACAGCGACACAGTATGATGTTAAAATCCCCCGTAGAGCCGCCCTGGATGTCCGGACCGCTCACACCGGACTCCATTTAAAAAATGTGCAAATTACTGTGATTCGCATTAAATCAAATATTAATCGTCTCCTGTCCTGTAGACTCAACATATTCTGAAAGATTTAGTGCCACTTGTTAATTCGGCGTGTGTGTTACCGAAAAAAACCCTCTAATTTTAATAATAAACTTCTGACATGGCATTAATGTGTCAGATTATAATCCCACTAAAACGTCACTTTTGTTGAGGATGTTCAGTTGGAAACACTTTGAAGTAGAGATGCAGCGATTGGTTAAAATCAGGGTCAGTATCGATGTTTGTTTCATGACTTCTTCTGGTGCAGACTCACACAACGCCACCATTTTCTCTCATGTTTGACAATGAAAACAAGTCACAGTTTGTTCCACTTAGTCTGCCCAGTGAAAACTGTCTTCTCTCTGAATCAGTAGTTAGGTGTTCTAGATGTCAGCATTAAAGTGATTTGGCACAACAAGTAAACATCAGCTGCAGACACATGATTTGCTGATGTTCCTAAGTCTGTCAACAGAGCTGATATCGATGTTAAACCAAGACCGATGCTGAGCTGGATAAACACTGAAGCTTCAGCTCAGCAGAGGGAGCAACTTGGGGTTAAGTGTCTTGCCTAAGGACACATCGGACATGCTGCTGCAGGAGCTGGGGATCGAACCCAAACCCTTCCAGTAGAGAGACTACCGACTAATGACTATGTTTCTCTTTGAAGACACTTAACCCTGAGTTGCTCCCTCTGCTTCATCAGCAGTGTGTGAATGGATGAGTTAATACTGATGGACTCTTTACTCAGCGGCCTCTACCATCAGTGTGTGAATGGATGAGTTAATACTGATGGACTCTTTACTCAGCAGCCTCTACCATCAGTGTGTGAATGGATGAGTTAATACTGATGGACTCTTTACTCAGCAGCCTCTACCATCAGTGTGTGAATGTGTGTGAATGGATGAGTTAATACTGATGGACTCTTTACTCAGCAGCCTCTACCATCAGTGTGTGAATGTGTATGAATGGATGAGTTAATACTGATGGACTCTTTACTCAGCGGCCTCTACCATCAGTGTGTGAATGTGTATGAATGGATGAGTTAATACTGATGGACTCTTCACTCAGCAGCCTCTACCATCAGTGTGTGAATGTGTGTGAATGGATGAGTTAATACTGATGGACTCTTTACTCAGCGGCCTCTACCATCAGTGTGTGAATGTGTGTGAATGGATGAGTTAATACTGATGGACTCTTCACTCAGCAGCCTCTACCATCAGTGTGTGAATGTGTGTGAATGGATGAGTTAATACTGATGGACTCTTTACACTGCAGCCTCTACCATCAGTGTGTGAATGGATGAGTTAATACTGATGGACTCTTTACACTGCAGCCTCTACCATCAGTGTGTGAATGGATGAGTTAATACTGATGGACTCTTTACTCAGCGGCCTCTACCATCAGTGTGTGAATGGATGAGTTAATACTGATGGACTCTTTACACAGCAGCCTCTACCATCAGTGTGTGAATGGATGAGTTAATACTGATGGTCTCTTTACACTGCAGCCTCTACCATCAGTGTGTGAATGGATGAGTTAATACTGATGGACTCTTTACTCAGCGGCCTCTACCATCAGTGTGTGAATGGATGAGTTAATACTGATGGACTCTTCACTCAGCAGCCTCTACCATCAGTGTGTGAATGTGTATGAATGGATGAGTTAATACTGATGGTCTCTTTACTCAGCAGCCTCTACCATCAGTGTGTGAATGGATGAGTTAATACTGATGGTCTCTTTACTCAGCAGCCTCTACCATCAGTGTGTGAATGGATGAGTTAATACTGATGGACTCTTTACACAGCAGCCTCTACCATCAGTGTGTGAATGTGAAGGTGTGACCTGCGGTGTGAAAGCGCTTTGAGCTCGAGTCCATTGACCATAATGTATTCTTGCTCGCTGACAGGTTGACTACACCGGCGTCGACGTGTCCAGTCCCTGCTTCAACTGCTCACAGAACTACAGCTGGAACAGCAGCAGGCCCTGTACCTGCACGATACCCTTCTACCTGGAGCAGCCGTACGAAGTGAGGGAACAACGTTAATTAAAAACTTAAGAAGACTTTGCGAGAGCTGATATTTAATCTTTTATTTGAATCAACAGGGAAACGTCTACATGTATTACGGCCTCTCCAACTTCTACCAAAACCACCGGCGCTACGTGAAGTCCAGAGACGACAGTCAGCTGCACGGAGACATGGACTCCCTTCTGGTAAAAACTGTGACTCCAAACACACCTCGCAGTAAAGTAACTCTTAATCTCTAATCATACATATCCAGCTTGTTTAAGGTACACACATATTTCTGCTGCAGAAGCCATAACACCTGCAATAATTACTGAGACCTGACTGCCCCGAGAATTTAGGTAAACAATTCTGAGTCATTTATCAAAGAATAAGAACAACACAGGCGAGGATCTAGAGAGGAGGAAGTGCAAACAAACATCTTTAAAGGAAGAATGTGAGACTTTTTGATCCAGTAGATGTCGCCCTTGAGCTCCAGTATGAAACCAAAACAAACTTCCTGTTTGGCCACGCCTCCTCCACACTGAAGCCTTCGCTCTCCTCCAGAGAAACATCCCCAAAATTGTCCTTTGCTCGAGATGCAATCACCTGTGTCCCTCATTGTTGTGTTAGCATGCTGATGTTAGCGCTCTTTAGTTAGCTCATAGCTTGTAAACATTGCGAAATCTGAACTGACAAAAAAACCCGCAGTGTGTCAGCAGTGTGCGCAAAGCCTCAGACTTCTCTTGTTTACCCTCTTCGTTCACAGACACCCAGTAAGGAGTGTGAGCCGTACGCTTTTCATGACAAAAAACCCATCGCTCCGTGTGGAGCCATCGCCAACAGCATGTTCAATGGTGAGCCGGACTCTGAAGATTCTCCATGTGGTCTTAAAAAAACAAGACGTCTCACATGCTTTCTTTTTCTTTCTTTTTGTTTGACAGACACATTGGAGCTTTTTTACAACGACCCCAACGGCACCAAGGTCCTGGTTCCTCTGGCCAACACCGGCATCGCCTGGTTTACCGACAAATATGTGAAGTTCAAGAACCCCGGAGGAGACGGCGCAAACCTGACGGCTGTTTTTCAAGGTATCAGCAGCAGCTGTATTCATACACCCACCAATTGTATTTCGATGTATTGGTCAGTTTCATCCATAAACAACATGTTGGAAATGAAGACGCTGTAATCAAACTCCTTTACGGTCTTTTTTTTTTCTTTTAAGATTTTTTTGGGCTTTTTGTGACATTTTTTAAAAGAAGGAATCACTCTGCTCTGCCACACAGTCAGGGTCTATTCTAGACTAATTCAAGCCCCTAAGCCGGCTGTAAAAGCGTCATCGGTCTAAACTAAATTAGAAAAACAAGTGAACATGTTTTTGGGTCGTTCTCCTTCAGGTACATCGAAGCCGGTGAACTGGCTCAAACCTGTTTACGAGCTGGACAAAAACTCATCCAACAACGGCTTCATCAACGAAGACTTCATCGTGTGGATGAGGACGGCCGCCTTACCAACCTTCCGCAAACTCTACCGCACCATCAAGGACGCCAAAGTGATTCCAACTCTGCCCTCTGGAAACTACACCCTGGAGGTCGTCTACAGTATCCTTTGTGTGAACGTGACTCAACATGCCTTTAACCCTCATGCATCACATCTTTGTCCATTTGGTCAAATGTTTCCTCTTCATCTGGTCATCATTTTGTCTGTTATGGAACACATTTCTTGTAAGAAAGTCTCTCTCTTGACACATTTTGGAATGCACATTTTATTTTTTTTAATAGATCAATAGAACACTGAGACACATGTTTACTACCCTCTTAAGTCACTAAAGACAAAAATGTCCACTTAGAAAAAACTGCTATAAAAATAGAACAGATTGATATTTTTGTTTGTCAGTGACTTAAGAGGGTCGTAAATTTAACTGATGCCTGAGGGTTAAGAGAAAAACAGAAAGAATACTGACTTAGGACGTCAGCTTTAAAACACATGAAATAGAAATGTGATCATTTTCTGATTCCTTAAGACGACTTCCAAACCCCTGCTTTCAGTCTCCGTCTTTAACCAGCTTGAACCCAGATTATCCCGTCCGCAGCTTCGAGGGCAGGAAGCGGATGATCCTGAGCACCATCTCCTGGATGGGAGGGAAGAACCCCTTCCTGGGCATCGCCTACGTCACCGTGGGCTCCGTCTGCTTCTTCCTCGGCGTCGTCCTGCTCGTCATCCACCACAAGTGTGGCAACCGCAACAACAGCGCCGACATTTCTAACTGAGACGGCACAGCTTTTCCTCTCCAGCTCACCGCCGCCGCAGCAGATAGAGACACGCCCAGTCAGGGTCGACGTTAGCCGAGCGTACATATATTTAAATGTGTCATATCCTCATTGATTCTTCAGCACTCTGACACATGTTTAAAAGCTGAAGGTGGCTGATTATTTTCCAAAAATGAACCAAAAGAAGCCATCATTTTACAGCCTCAGGCGACATCTTTTGACAGATTATCCTCTGTGGTTAGACGTCAGATGGACCGACTTCCTTCACTACGTTAAATAGAAGCTTAAAGGCTTTATATGTGATTTTTCACACTTCAATAGAAATCAAGTATCTCCTCTGAAAATAACTCTGTGAGTCATGACTGTCTACAATGGGTGTAACACCCGAGTCCCACTGTCTGTGATGTTTTCAGAGTTTACAGAGTCCTATCTTCACTTTGTTTACATCGCCGGACGGCCGGCTGACTCCTCCCCTCGTGTATAAAAGTTGTTTAATTGAGGGACTAGAGAAAAGAAGAATAACATACTGTACTCACTGCTTAACTGTGTTTCTAGATCACGCTCATTTCAGGTAAATTTACATGCAGTGTGAAGATACCAGCATAATAAAGATCGCTAGCATTAGCATGCTAACACAACAATGCAGCGCCAGTTGTTTTGGTTTCATGCTCTCAAGGGCGACATCTGCTGGATCAAAAATCACATATAAAGCCTTTAAGCAGGAATGAGTCTATTGAAAGTTTAGTCGACTTTCTGGACTTTTCTTGTGATGTTCGTCAGCTTGTGTCGGCTGCAGTTTAGGTGAGCTGGAGCGCGGCGGCTGAGCTGCATGCTAATTCGCTGAGATGTTAATGTGTTTATATATCGAGCTGCTGGCTCGTCTTTGTGCCTCGTTACATCTTCAACATCAGCCAAATGTCAAACTATAGAGTCATGCTTTCACTGTGCCGGGGGGCGCCGCCGAGAGAGAGGAACATTAAATGTTCAGGGGAGGCTGTGAGTTAAAAAAAAAAAAAAATCTTTATTTTTTCTATTCATGTCAGAGTTTAAGAAAATGTTTGCGATGGAAAACCAGATTTTGCACATTAGAGCTCAGGTGGAGGGGGAGAGGGGGGTCTAAAGGTGGTTTAGAGGTTTTTGTCTTGGTTTCAGGAACTGTAAATGTGTGTGTGTTTGTTCTCAGTCAGCCAACCAGGTTAGGTGAATCAAAGCTTGATCTTAAAGACGTTTCACCTCTCCTTTAAAAAGACTTCTTCAGCGCTAACTTAGCTAACCACTCTCGTGAGTCATCCTTCATCTGTACAGAGGTTGAAGTTCCTCGCTCCGTCCACCACTTAGTTTAGAGCTAAAGACGCCTTTCAGAGAAGAAGAGGTGAAACATCTACAAGATCTTCAGCCGAGTGTGTGTTTAAAACTCCTGCAGATAAGTGTACAGCAACACAGTGATGTGGCTTTATGCATCGTCGTTTACACAAAATGATTCAAGTAAATCAAACACAGCATGATGTAACAGAAATGCAGTATGACCAAATACATGTGATTTAATGTTGATGTTTGTCTCTCACTGTTTACACCGTTTAGATCTAACCCGACACACACACACACACGTTGTTTCACATTAATCCTGCCACTTGCATCCGTTCTCGACTAGCTGAAATTATACAAATGCACTGTATAAAAATGATGATGCATGTTAAAACGTTTGGTGTAAAAATGTGATTTCGTCTTGCTGAATTGTGACTGCAAATCTGAGAAGCACTGGATTTCTTTTGATACTCAGTTTGTCTTGTTTTGTTGCTTTAAAAGAATAAACTTGTTTCAACCAAAGCAGGTTGTTTGTGACTCACCTCGTCTGATATTTGAGTTTTCTCCCTAACATGACAGATATAACTCTGCCCCCTAGTGTTTAAAATGGGTACTGCAGTCTAAATTCTAAACATCATAGAGAGCTGCCCCCCCCCTCCTCTATAGAGTGGATGCTCACACAGGTCACCATGTGGTGGACTCTGAAGCTTCAGTGTTTATCCAGCTCTGCATGGGTCTGTAAACCTTTCTGTGTCTCTAACCTCTCTCCATTTTTCAAAAGCATCTCCAATATTGATCCTAGTTTGAGCACGTTTCTGCTCGTGGAGCTTATTAGAAACATGCAGAGGCTTTTTAGGTCGGGTACAATCACTTCTATCTGAACCACTTCTCTTGCCCGCTTCCATCGCTGCAACACCTGTTGACCTGATAACTGCTCTCATATCTGACAAACCGAGGGGCGTCCAAAACGGGCCGTGTGGGGGTGTCTTAAAAGCGCCTACCTTCTCTGGTCCAAACAAATCCAGAGCATTCAGGAGCAGAATCTAAAGTTAGAAGGAGGACATACTGGCTGCTGCATTGTTGTCAGAGAAGCCAGCACTTCAACATAGCATGTTTCCTTAATGATCAGAGAGTAAGATACCTTTATCATCTCACTCTCTACACAGCTCACTGATTGGACCTTTACTCCTGCATCACAAAAATTAGCCTTGACATTTACAACTGTTTAAACATAAATGGGAAATTAATAATAAAATCCCAATTCTCTCTCTCCCCAGATTCTAACTCTTTCCACTGACTTAAACATTAAGGCATAAAAAGGCCCAATATTAAATCTTGAAAAAGTAATTATACAAACTATCTGTATTGCCTGGTGTAACTAAATTATTACGTAAAGTAGGGGTCATTTAAATGACTTAAAATTACTTAAACAACCATTTTTCCACAATTTCCCAATTTGGGATCAATAAAGTAATTCTATTCTATTTACCATCAGCGTCGAAGACCAGTTCTTGTTTAACACTGTAGGGGGCAGCAGAGCGCACAGTATGTTCTTAATATAATATATTTAATTTATTTTATTTATATTTATTCTATAATTATCTCTTTCTTTCGTTTTTGTAGGCAAAATTAATAAATGCAGGCAGTAGTTCCCGATCAACACCTGGTGGTGGCGGTAATGCGCCAAGGCGTTGTTTGCAAACCGCCAGGAAACACCAGAAGAAGAAGAAGAAAACGGAAGTAGAGCTTTCCGGTGTCCTTGTGTGACAGAGAGGCGACTGCAGACGGACTGTAAAGATGAACAGACACATATTTGTAAGTTTTTGCTCTTCTTTAAAATGCCACTTGCTTTGTAGCATCAACGTTTGACTAGTTTGTCTCGTATTCGTTCTGTTAACATGTAAGAAGATGAAACGCGAGGTTACATTTAGCTAGGGGTCAAAGCGTGAGGACGCCGGCGGAAGAGTTAGCATTAGCTTAGCCTCCTTATTCTGTGTATATCATGTGACGTCACAGAGTCCTTCATGTGTTTATTCTGTGTGTATCATATGTGACGTCAGAGTCCTTCATGTGTTTATTCTGTATGTATCATATGTGACGTCACAGAGTCCTTCATGTGTTTATTCTGTGTGTATCATATGTGACGTCACAGAGTCCTTCATGTGTTTATTCTGTGTGTATCATATGTGACGTCACAGAGTCCTTCATGTGTTTATTCTGTATGTATCATATGTGACGTCACAGAGTCCTTCATGTGTTTATTCTGTGTATCATATGTGACGTCACAGAGTCCTTCATGTGTTTATTCTGTGTATCATATGTGACGTCACAGAGTCCTTCATGTGTTTATTCTGTGTGTATCATATGTGACGTCACAGAGTCCTTCATGTGTTTATTCTGTGTATCATATGTGACGTCACAGAGTCCTTCATGTGTTTATTCTGTGTGTATCATATGTGACGTCACAGAGTCCTTCATGTGTTTATTCTGTGTATCATATGTGACGTCACAGAGTCCTTCATGTGTTTATTCTGTGTATCATATGTGATGTCACAGAGTCCTTCATGTGTTTATTCTGTGTATCATATGTGATGTCACAGAGTCCTTCATGTGTTTATTCTGTGTGTATCATATGTGACGTCACAGAGTCCTTCATGTGTTTATTCTGTGTATCATATGTGACGTCACAGAGTCCTTCATGTGTTTATTCTGTGTATCATATGTGATGTCACAGAGTCCTTCATGTGTTTATTCTGTGTATCATATGTGACGTCACAGAGTCCTTCATGTGTTTATTCTGTGTATCATATGTGACGTCACAGAGTCCTTCATGTGTTTATTCTGTGTGTATCATATGTGACGTCACAGAGTCCTTCATGTGTTTATTCTGTGTGTATCATATGTGACGTCACAGAGTCCTTCATGTGTTTATTCTGTGTGTATCATATGTGACGTCACAGAGTCCTTCATGTGTTTATTCTGTGTATCATATGTGACGTCACAGAGTCCTTCATGTGTTTATTCTGTGTATCATATGTGACGTCACAGAGTCCTTCATGTGTTTATTCTGTGTGTATCATATGTGATGTCACAGAGTCCTTCATGTGTTTATTCTGTATGTATCATATGTGATGTCACAGAGTCCTTCATGTGTTTATTCTGTGTGTATCATATGTGATGTCACAGAGTCCTTCATGTGTTTATTCTGTGTGTATCATATGTGACGTCACAGAGTCCTTCATGTGTTTATTCTGTGTGTATATATGTGATGTCACAGAGTCCTTCATGTGTTTATTCTGTGTGTATCATATGTGACGTCACAGAGTCCTTCATGTGTTTATTCTGTGTGTATCATATGTGATGTCACAGAGTCCTTCATGTGTTTATTCTGTGTGTATCATATGTGACGTCACAGAGTCCTTCATGTGTTTATTCTGTGTGTATCATATGTGACGTCACAGAGTCCTTCATGTGTTTATTCTGTGTGTATCATATGTGATGTCACAGAGTCCTTCATGTGTTTATTCTGTGTATCATATGTGACGTCACAGAGTCCTTCATGTGTTTATTCTGTGTATCATATGTGATGTCACAGAGTCCTTCATGTGTTTATTCTGTGTATCATATGTGATGTCACAGAGTCCTTCATGTGTTTATTCTGTGTATCATATGTGATGTCACAGAGTCCTTCATGTGTTTATTCTGTGTGTATCATATGTGATGTCACAGAGTCCTTCATGTGTTTATTCTGTGTGTATCATATGTGACGTCACAGAGTCCTTCATGTGTTTATTCTGTGTGTATCATATGTGACGTCACAGAGTCCTTCATGTGTTTATTCTGTATGTATCATATGTGACGTCACAGAGTCCTTCATGTGTTTATTCTGTGTGTATCATATGTGACGTCACAGAGTCCTTCATGTGTTTATTCTGTGTGTATCATATGTGACGTCACAGAGTCCTTCATGTGTTTATTCTGTGTGTATCATATGTGACGTCACAGAGTCCTTCATGTGTTTATTCTGTGTATCATATGTGACGTCACAGAGTCCTTCATGTGTTTATTCTGTGTATCATATGTGATGTCACAGAGTCCTTCATGTGTTTATTCTGTGTGTATCATATGTGATGTCACAGAGTCCTTCATGTGTTTATTCTGTGTATCATATGTGATGTCACAGAGTCCTTCATGTGTTTATTCTGTGTGTATCATATGTGATGTCACAGAGTCCTTCATGTGTTTATTCTGTGTGTATCATATGTGACGTCACAGAGTCCTTCATGTGTTTATTCTGTGTGTATCATATGTGATGTCACAGAGTCCTTCATGTGTTTATTCTGTGTGTATATATGTGATGTCACAGAGTCCTTCATGTGTTTATTCTGTGTGTATCATATGTGACGTCACAGAGTCCTTCATGTGTTATTCTGTGTGTATCATATGTGACGTCACAGAGTCCTTCATGTGTTTATTCTGTGTGTATCATATGTGACGTCACAGAGTCCTTCATGTGTTTATTCTGTGTATCATATGTGACGTCACAGAGTCCTTCATGTGTTTATTCTGTGTGTATCATATGTGATGTCACAGAGTCCTTCATGTGTTTATTCTGTGTATCATATGTGACGTCACAGAGTCCTTCATGTGTTTATTCTGTATGTATCATATGTGATGTCACAGAGTCCTTCATGTGTTTATTCTGTGTATCATATGTGACGTCACAGAGTCCTTCATGTGTTTATTCTGTGTGTATCATATGTGATGTCACAGAGTCCTTCATGTGTTTATTCTGTGTGTATCATATGTGATGTCACAGAGTCCTTCATGTGTTTATTCTGTGTGTATCATATGTGATGTCACAGAGTCCTTCATGTGTTTATTCTGTGTGTATCATATGTGACGTCACAGAGTCCTTCATGTGTTTATTCTGTGTGTATCATATGTGACGTCACAGAGTCCTTCATGTGTTTATTCTGTGTATCATATGTGATGTCACAGAGTCCTTCATGTGTTTATTCTGTATGTATCATATGTGATGTCACAGAGTCCTTCATGTGTTTATTCTGTGTATCATATGTGACGTCACAGAGTCCTTCATGTGTTTATTCTGTGTGTATCATATGTGATGTCACAGAGTCCTTCATGTGTTTATTCTGTGTATCATATGTGACGTCACAGAGTCCTTCATGTGTTTATTCTGTGTGTATCATATGTGACGTCACAGAGTCCTTCATGTGTTTATTCTGTGTGTATCATATGTGACGTCACAGAGTCCTTCATGTGTTTATTCTGTGTGTATCATATGTGACGTCACAGAGTCCTTCATGTGTTTATTCTGTGTATCATATGTGACGTCACAGAGTCCTTCATGTGTTTATTCTGTGTATCATATGTGATGTCACAGAGTCCTTCATGTGTTTATTCTGTATGTATCATATGTGATGTCACAGAGTCCTTCATGTGTTTATTCTGTGTATCATATGTGATGTCACAGAGTCTTCATGTGTTTATTCTGTGTGTATCATATGTGATGTCACAGAGTCCTTCATGTGTTTATTCTGTGTGTATCATATGTGACGTCACAGAGTCCTTCATGTGTTTATTCTGTGTGTATCATATGTGATGTCACAGAGTCCTTCATGTGTTTATTCTGTGTGTATCATATGTGATGTCACAGAGTCCTTCATGTGTTTATTCTGTGTGTATCATATGTGACGTCACAGAGTCCTTCATGTGTTTATTCTGTGTGTATCATATGTGACGTCACAGAGTCCTTCATGTGTTTATTCTGTGTGTATCATATGTGACGTCACAGAGTCCTTCATGTGTTTATTCTGTGTATCATATGTGACGTCACAGAGTCCTTCATGTGTTTATTCTGTGTGTATCATATGTGATGTCACAGAGTCCTTCATGTGTTTATTCTGTGTATCATATGTGACGTCACAGAGTCCTTCATGTGTTTATTCTGTTGTATCATATGTGATGTCACAGAGTCCTTCATGTGTTTATTCTGTGTATCATATGTGACGTCACAGAGTCCTTCATGTGTTTATTCTGTGTGTATCATATGTGATGTCACAGAGTCCTTCATGTGTTTATTCTGTGTGTATCATATGTGATGTCACAGAGTCCTTCATGTGTTTATTCTGTGTGTATCATATGTGATGTCACAGAGTCCTTCATGTGTTTATTCTGTGTATCATATGTGACGTCACAGAGTCCTTCATGTGTTTATTCTGTGTGTATCATATGTGACGTCACAGAGTCCTTCATGTGTTTATTCTGTGTGTATCATATGTGACGTCACAGAGTCCTTCATGTGTTTATTCTGTGTGTATCATATGTGATGTCACAGAGTCCTTCATGTGTTTATTCTGTGTATCATATGTGACGTCACAGAGTCCTTCATGTGTTTATTCTGTATGTATCATATGTGATGTCACAGAGTCCTTCATGTGTTTATTCTGTGTATCATATGTGACGTCACAGAGTCCTTCATGTGTTTATTCTGTGTGTATCATATGTGATGTCACAGAGTCCTTCATGTGTTTATTCTGTGTATCATATGTGATGTCACAGAGTCCTTCATGTGTTTATTCTGTGTGTATCATATGTGATGTCACAGAGTCCTTCATGTGTTTATTCTGTGTGTATCATATGTGATGTCACAGAGTCCTTCATGTGTTTATTCTGTGTGTATCATATGTGATGTCACAGAGTCCTTCATGTGTTTATTCTGTGTGTATCATATGTGATGTCACAGAGTCCTTCATGTGTTTATTCTGTGTGTATCATATGTGACGTCACAGAGTCCTTCATGTGTTTATTCTGTGTATCATATGTGATGTCACAGAGTCCTTCATGTGTTTATTCTGTGTATCATATGTGACGTCACAGAGTCCTTCATGTGTTTATTCTGTGTGTATCATATGTGATGTCACAGAGTCCTTCATGTGTTTATTCTGTGTATCATATGTGACGTCACAGAGTCCTTCATGTGTTTATTCTGTATGTATCATATGTGATGTCACAGAGTCCTTCATGTGTTTATTCTGTGTATCATATGTGATGTCACAGAGTCCTTCATGTGTTTATTCTGTGTATCATATGTGATGTCACAGAGTCCTTCATGTGTTTATTCTGTGTGTATCATATGTGACGTCACAGAGTCCTTCATGTGTTTATTCTGTGTGTATCATATGTGATGTCACAGAGTCCTTCATGTGTTTATTCTGTGTATCATATGTGATGTCACAGAGTCCTTCATGTGTTTATTCTCTTGTGGTGACTTTGTGCTGGTTTGTTGTTGTTTCTCAGGTTCTCCAGCAGGTGGCGCGGCGGAGCTTCTCCAGCACGACCCGCCGACAGGTCGACAACAAAGTCCCGCAGAATCAGAAGCTGTTCCAGGTAACAAAGACACACCTGAAAGAGACACACCTCAGAGACACACCTCAAAGAGACACACCTGAAAGAGACACACCTGAAAGACACCTCAGAGACACACCTGAAAGAGACACACCTCAGAGACACACCTCAAAGAGACACACCTGAAAGAGACACACCTGAAAGAGAGACACACCTGAGAGACACACCTCAAAGAGACACACTCAAAGAGACACACCTCAAAGAGACACCTCAGAGACACACCTCAAAGAGACACACCTCAAAGAGACACACCTCAGAGACACACCTCAGAGACACACCTCAAAGAGACACCTCAGAGACACACCTCAAAGAGACACACCTCAAAGAGACACACCTCAAAGAGACACACCTCAGAGACACACCTCAAAGAGACACACCTCAAAGAGACACACCTGAAAGACACACCTCAGAGACACACCTCAGAGACACACCTCAAAGAGACACACCTCAGAGACACACCTCAGAGACACACCTCAGAGACACACCTCAAAGACACACCTCAAAGAGACACACCTGAAAGACACACCTCAGAGACACACCTCAGAGACACACCTCAGAGACACACCTCAAAGAGACACCTCAGAGACACACCTCAAAGAGACACCTCAGAGACACACCTCAGAGACACACCTCAGAGACACACCTCAAAGAGACACCTCAGAGACACACCTCAAAGAGACACCTCAGAGACACACCTCAGAGACACACCTCAGAGACACACCTCAGAGACACACCTCAGAGACACACCTCAGAGACACCTCAGAGACACACCTCAAAGAGACACCTCAGAGACACACCTCAAAGAGACACCTCAGAGACACACCTCAAAGAGACACCTCAGAGACACACCTCAAAGAGACACCTCAGAGACACACCTCAGAGACACACCTCAGAGACACACCTCAGAGACACACCTCAGAGACACACCTCAAAGAGACACCTCAGAGACACACCTGAAAGACACACCTCAGAGACACACCTGAAAGACACACCTCAAAGAGACACACCTCAGAGACACACCTCAAAGACACACCTTAAAGACACACCTCAGAGACACACCTCAAAGAGACACACCTCAGAGAGACACACCTCAGAGAGACACACCTCAGAGACACACCTCAAAGAGACACACCTCAAAGACACACCTCAAAGACACACCTCAGAGACACACCTCAAAGAGACACACCTCAGAGAGACACACCTCAGAGAGACACACTTCAGAGACACACCTCAAAAAGACACACCTCAAAAAGACACACCTCAGAGACACACCTCAGAGACACACCTCAGAGACACACCTCAGAGACACACCTCAAAGACACACCTCAAAGAGACACACCTCAAAGACACACCTCAAAGAGACACACCTCAAAGACACACCTCAAAGAGACACCTCAAAGAGACACACCTCAAAGAGACACCTCAAAGAGACACACCTCAAAGACACACCTCAAAGACACACCTCAGAGACACACACCTCAGAGAGACACACCTCAGAGACACACCTCAGAGACACACCTCAGAGACACACCTCAAAAAGACACACCTCAGAGACACACCTCAGAGACACACCTCAGAGACACACCTCAAAGAGACACACCTCAAAGAGACACACCTCAGAGACACACCTCAAAGAGACACACCTCAGAGACACACCTCAGAGACACACCTCAAAGAGACACACCTCAGAGACACACCTCAAAGAGACACACCTCAGAGACACACCTCAGAGACACACCTCAAAGAGACACACCTCAGAGACACACCTCAAAGAGACACACCTCAGAGACACACCTCAGAGACACACCTCAGAGACACACCTCAGAGAGACACACCTCAAAGAGACACACCTCAGAGACACACCTCAAAGAGACACACCTCAAAGAGACACACCTGAAAGACACACCTCAGAGACACACCTCAAAGAGACACACCTCAGAGACACACCTCAGAGACACACCTCAAAGAGACACCTCAGAGACACACCTCAAAGAGACACCTCAGAGACACACCTCAGAGACACACCTCAAAGAGACACCTCAGAGACACACCTGAAAGACACACCTCAGAGACACACCTCAGAGACACACCTCAAAGAGACACACCTCAAAGAGACACCTCAGAGACACACCTGAAAGACACACCTCAGAGACACACCTGAAAGACACACCTCAAAGAGACACACCTCAGAGACACACCTCAAAGAGACACACCTCAAAGACACACCTTAAAGACACACCTCAAAGAGACACCTCAAAGAGACACACCTCAAAGAGACACCTCAAAGAGAGACACCTCAAAGACACACCTCAAAGAGACACACCTCAAAGAGACACCTCAAAGAGACACACCTCAAAGAGACACACCTCAAAGAGACACACCTCAGAGAGACACACCTCAGAGACACACCTCAAAGAGACACACCTCAAAGAGACACACCTCAGAGACACACCTCAAAGAGACACACCTCAGAGAGACACACCTCAGAGACACACCTCAAAGAGACACCTCAAAGAGACACACCTCAAAGAGACACACCTCAAAGAGACACACCTCAGAGAGACACACCTCAGAGACACACCTCAAAGAGACACACCTCAAAGAGACACACCTCAGAGACACACCTCAAAGAGACACACCTCAGAGACACACCTCAGAGACACACCTCAAAGAGACACACCTCAAAGAGACACACCTCAGAGACACACCTCAGAGACACACCTCAGAGACACACCTCAAAGAGACACACCTCAGAGACACACCTCAGAGACACACCTCAGAGACACACCTCAAAGAGACACACCTCAGAGACACACCTGAATTACATACCTCAGAGACACACCTCAGAGACACACCTCAAAGAGACACACCTCAGAGACACACCTGAATTACATACCTCAGAGACACACCTCAGAGACACACCTCAGAGACACACCTCAAACTGCTTATGTACCTTCACCTTTCTTCACAGCTTCATTATGAAACACTCATTTTACAATCTTACATCCTTTTGGAGAAACAGGAGAAACACACTCAAACATGTGAAACTTTGAGCTGCATTTCAAACAAACTTAACTCAGGATTAAGATCCAAAGTGTTTCTCTTCATGGGACTTCAATGTTTCTCCAGCACATTGTTGGTCTCTCAGACGTGGTTTACAGAGCTTACACACGTTTACCTCTTTTGTTTTTAAAGAGCTCATATTCTGCCCTTTTTGGGGTTCGTATATTTAATCTATGTTCCTACTTTTGTACGTTACAATCGATATAGTCTGAAAAAAGTGTCTGTTTTCATGAACTGCTCCTCCTTGCTCCCTCTACGCTCTGAGTCCGTCAGCTACACTCTGTTGAGCCCACACTGTTAGACCCCACGTGGGCCAAGTCTGCTCTGATTGGTCTGCTGATCCGCTCTGTCGTTATTGGTCAGTTGCTCAGCACGGTTTTCGGAAATTTCAACATGAGCTGCTGGGCTTGCCACAACGAGCCAATGGGCTTAGATCAGTGATCTCACACTGACAATGACGTCGCACTGACACATTTTTATGGAGGGGGGCTAGAACCGAGCGTTACATGCGGCTAATGCTACAGCTAACAGGAGGAGGTAGGAGAAGCAGCATTTCCGCGGACTTTGAATTTTTGCACAGAGATGTGACTAAACATGCACAGGACACTTGGAAAACACACTAAAGAGCAGATAAAACCAGAAAAAGCAGAATATGGGACCTTTAAATAGTACGAATAACTCACAGTTGCTGAGTTACACAACACCTTAAACTCAGCTTAAAGATCTTTTCTTATTTACTCATCAATCAATCATTATTTGTGAAGTGCAGCCAAGTCAAAGTCATCTTTATTGTCAATTTTGAGAGAGAGAGGACGAGGAGGACCGCTCCAGGATGGCTGGTGGAGGTTCAATGTTCAGAGCTGAGGGGGCCAGAGGGGGGAGAGAGGGGGGAGAGAGTTCAGCTTCCTGACAGCATGGTGGCTGAAGCTGTTCATTAGTCTGGTGGAGCTGGCTCAGAGGCTCCGGTATCGTCTCCCAGATGGCAGGAGGTTGAACAGTCTGTGTGATGGATGTCTGGGGTCACACACACAAAGCTGGATGCTTTTCGGGTGAGGCGGGTGTTGTAGATCTCGAGGAGGGAGTGAAGAGAGACGCCGATGACCTTTCCTGCTCTGTGTGTAAAAAATGTGATCTCGAGACGCTTTACAAAGGAGCCGGTTAAAGACCGTACTCATTGTTAAGAAAAATGAGATGGGAGAAGATGCAGGAAGGATTTCTCCTTAGTGTTCCTGTTGTCCACACTTCCTCGTCGCTGAGGTGGAGGTCAGAGCAGGCCGTGGTGGTTGTTAGGTCGACACAGTGTGATGGTGGTGGCTGGGCGTCAGGGACGTCAGGTGGTAGTAGAGCCCGATCACCTCGCTGGAGGTTGTAGGCCTCCCGGACTTCGAACACTCATTTAAATGATTTTGCCGCCGCCTTGTCTAAATAGATCTGAACTCAGACGCCTGATCCCGATTCCGATACACATATACCAAAAGTGATTCTGACAGTGTTGTTGTTGTGGACGGGTTGTCTCATGTTTAAACTCCAGAAGCCGTAGCAGAGAGGACTTTACAGGATTGTTTGTCACACATTCTGAATGGTTCCTGTTTTTATTTCCCCTAGCGGTGGTTCTTCTCATGAAGCCCTGAAACCATCAATCATTCATTTTATCAAGTATGTGAGAGGAGTGATGGATGATGCATGTCGTACTCTGTGTGTGTGTCTGACCTGCTCTGAACTTAACGCCTTAAAAAAAACGAAGCTTCTTCTGTAGAACTTTCCCCATTAGGTGCTTTTTAATGAACGCTGAGAACGGCTTTGAAGTAGACGATCAGCAGCTTTCACTTCTGAAGCAGTTCAACGCTTTCATGGCGTGGTTTAAATGAAGTAGTTTAAGATGATTTTAACCTGCTGTATAAGTGACTCGTAGACCAAACAAACTAGTTTCATGACTAGTTTGTTTTCCTAACACTGCTGGGACTGCTGGTTTTTGCTTCTTTTTTTAAATGAGGATTAAATCCAGCCTGCACGATCACCTGTGGACCCTGAAGCCGTTTTCACATCTACACTCCTGAAAATATCTAGATCATTTCAGGAGGACTTCTCCGGAGATTCCCCTGACCGGGAGACTATCCCTGTCAGACAGGAGGGGGGGTCCTCCATAGGACTCTATGATGAGAATATTTGTCTTTCTATCAATGCTAAAAACACCAGCGGACATCAACCCCAACTGAAGTTCTCAATGGATGTTTTCTTCATTCATTCATCCTATCAGAATCAAGGAATTTAACTCTGTGAACTGTGCTCTCTTATGTACAGGTACAACATTAAATATCAACAATAAACAGACTAATATTTACATGAAACGGTGAATAGTGCAAAAGATGCTGAAGTAACATGATAAGTAAAATGTGTTTGTGATTTAAAGTCATGTGTTGTAGTTGTAAGTCTTTCATACCGTGTTTCTCTCCTGCAGGAGAACAACGGGATGCCCGTCCACTTAAAAGGAGGAACCTTCGACGGCCTGCTGTACAGAACAACGATGGCCCTCACCGTCGTGGGTAAGACGGCTCTCTTCAGTGTTTTGACTTTTGGACTGCAGTACCCGTTTTAAACACTAGGTGTCAGAGGAGTTACATGTTGTTCCTTTTAAGCTTTTGTTTGTTCAGTGACAGAAATAGAGGATTGTATTTAAAGAACGAGACACCAGGACCCAAAATTTAATCTGTGAATGAAAAAAATATTAAGAAATGTAACATGAAGACTGAATATTATTTGAGTCTGCTGCGCACACAGAGGCATGCAGACTGATCACCGTCCAATCAGCTGCTTCTGACCAGTTTGATGATTTTTATTTTTGCCTGCACACACTCACTCAGTGAGAGCAGAGCCATGAGCCGCTTCCAAGACTTTTTTAAATTCCAGATTGTGTCTGCAGGAGTGACAGACAATGATTCAAATCACCATGGCAACAGCAGGCATGCCTGTTTAATCTGTGTAGTTTCAGACCTGCAGCTGACAGAGAATACTTATGATTTAGCTGCTCATCGGTGAGTCTGAGTGTGAGAGAGCGTTTTTTTGAGCCGTGCATTTACATCTTTTGACGATAGTGAATGCTCCGACCTGATTGAACTCTTTCAGTGTGAGCTCTCAGGTCGAGTCACTGGGCTTCAAATATCTGCAGCACTATGGATTAATAGGAACGAGTCAGGAAATGCTCACATCACTTCTGAAGGATCAAATATTTTGTTTATCTCCTGCCTGAAGCCAACATCACAGATTTAATCAAACATTTATTTAAGTATCCCGACTTGTTTCCCTGCAGGAACTGGATTTGTCGTATACGAGCTGGTGAAGGCGGCGTTCCCTAAGAAGAAATAACTCCTCCTCTTCCTCCTCCTCTGCTGAAGCTGTTTACTTCCACTTTAAAAAACCGGCCAGCTGATCTATATTGTAAGAAAAAAAGCTCCGTATGTTTGCTGTCATGGTGGGATATTGTTTCATGTTCATGGGATCAATATTTATTTTTCTTGTACACTCTGCGATAACCTGAGGATCAATAAAAAAACAAAAAGCCTCTCATGACCAAAACCTGTCTGTGGGGTTTTCTTTGTTTCTTCACTGAGTTTAAATATCTCACTGTTACATGAAGGAGGTCGAACTGTTCAATGTGTTTATGAGGTCGCAGCAAAAACAAGTCTGAGTCATGACAATGAGAGAGAAGATCGAGCTGTTCCTCGACCTTTGAGCTTCTTTGGGAGGCGGTATCTCAGTCTGTAGGGACTCGGGTTGGGAACAGGAGGGTCGCCGCCGGTTCAAGTCCTCGTGGAATACTTATGACACTTTCCAGATTTAAATTTTTGTCTAAAAAATTCTAAAAGGTCAGTTTGATTATTTTTTGAGTGTGACTTCTATTTTTTTTGTTTGTTTTGAAATAAATTCTTGGAACAATTTTTGTTCTGATAAGTTTTTTTTTGTAACCAAACTTGTCGTGTCTTAAATAATATGATTTGTAACGAGGGTAGGTGTAATAAGTTAGGTTTTTGTTTTTTCTTGTGACTGAAATAAATGACTACTACTAAGTCCTGGTTGGTCTGGTGGCTGGAGAGGTGCCAGGTCACTGACTGAGAGCTGCTGAGGAGCCCTTAAGCAAGACACCAAATCAATTAAATGTTTCATAACTTTTGTAGTAAAACTGGAACACAATCCTGAGTGGAAGTTCAGTATCCCAACACTAGAGGGCGACGTTTGCAAAGAAATCAGCTAAAACTGTCAGAATAAAATAATCTAGATGACATGCTTTTAACATCTAACATTGTCTGACCTCTGACCTCTGACCTGACATCACGTTCTGCTCAGGAACTCGTCGTCGTGGTCCTCTTTACTTTTGTGTCTTGCTGTTGTCTGTTTTTATTTAACGCAGAGTGTGTATAAGAAGAGAGACGACAGCCCTCAGGGCCCGTTCTGATATCAGTCCACACCCATCACACATCATTTAACACTTTGTCGTCAGCCAATGAGCTGCGAGCTGATCCTCGTTTTTCAGAAATGAAACCATTAAACAAACACGGAGGAATCTGCTGCGTCAGGTTGAGACATACAAATCAGATTTTTATGATCTTAGATGATATTTATGTGGAGTCGAACAACACAAGCCTGTTCAAAAGCAGCTTTATTTATTATTTTTGGGCTTTTATTGGATAGGACGGCTGAAGAGCGACATGAAATATTGGGAGGAGAGAGAAGGTGCAGCCTTCTTTAAAAAGTTGAGTACAACAAAGATGTAATGGTTGGTGGTATCTGAAACCATTTACAGAGATTCTACACTGAACTGAGAGATGTTGGGATGCTTTAATGACACATCATCATCACACAGGCTGTGACACACACTTTTGGAAAAGCTACAAATCTCCGCAAATCTTTGATTAAAAACCTTTAACATCTGGGAGAATAAACATCCAAATGAAATATCTGAGCTTGCTGTAAAAAGTTAGAGACTCTGAAAGTGCTACAAGAGGTTCCAAAAACATGATAACTGATGATTGTTGTTGTTTGGTTTTCTAAGATAAATTGCTGAACAAAAACAAAAACAAATTTGTGAATATGAAAAGAGAATATTGGGAACAAATTAACAGATTTGTAGGCATTATAATGCGGTATCTTCAACGACTTTGAGATCCCCCAGATCAGTAGGGGGGCCACAAGGGTTGACAAACAGTGGCTCATACGTTGCACACTTTTGCAATGACAGTAGGAAACCTCCCAAAGGGGGCCCCATCTGACAGCACTCACTCTGGTTGCTCAGCTAAGTTTTGCAGCACTGTTGCTGTGAAACCAAAAAAAAAGCCAACAAAGAGAAATGAAGAGAGAGTTGATCTGTCTACAGGAGAGCCGCCACTCATGATGACAGTTACTGCCTGCAACACCAAATACTGGACTCTAGGGTGGCGCTATATCACTGAAGAATTACTTAAAGGGGACATATGATCCCCCTCCTCCACCTTTTCAAACAGTCCCCTCCTCCACCTTTTCAAACAGCCCCCTCCTCCACCTTTTCAAACAGCCCCCTCCTCCACCTTTTCAAACAGCCCCCTCCTCCACCTTTTCAAACAGTCCTCTGTGGTCTAAATGAAACATCTGTGCTGTGCTTTGGTCAAAATATAACATGAATCAAGCACCAGAGGAGGTTTGTGACCCTGTATAAACCAGCTCTCTCAGAACGCTCCGTTTTGGTGTGTGTGTCTCTTTAAGTGTAATGACCCCCCCCAACCCCCCGAGTTTTCCCCGTAGACATCACTCCTCTGTAGAGAGAATAAAAACGGTGGACCTGCGCAAAAGTTTTGTTCTAGGCTGGAGGTGGAGATACCAGGGGATAGGAGGGGATTTCTTTTTACCAGAATCCCACTGTGACATCACAAGGAGAGCACATTTGAAACGGAGCATTTTTCTCTGTGTTGTAAGACTTATGCAGACCACAAACAAAGGACTGGATGGGTTTATTTCACATGTTGTGGGTCAGTAGACTCTCAGGTTACCCAGATATATGTTCAGAAACACTGTAGAAGAGGATTTTTCAGAATATGTCCCCTTTAAAATGCTTAAAAAAACATCTGATTTGTTTTAATTTTATGAATACTTTGCCAAATTTGACAATTTGTATTTGCTTCTGGAGGTTTTCCATCAGAATGTGATTATTATGGGAGCTATGCCAGCTCAGTTTGGTAAGAAAGAACTCACTCTGGAGCTTCTTTAACACATTTGCAGCTTCTAAACATGATATCACAGGAAGCTCTGTCTGTATGAAAAAGTAGGAGAAAATGACTGATCTGGACTCTGATGTTGGACGGGGATGTCAAAACTGCAGACTCATGCACTTCCGTTTTCCAGTCTGGCCATCTGTAGCCTATAACTCTACACACTAAGATGCATTTGATAAAGTTTTGAGGCAAGGCAGTTTTCCTATAAGTCATTTTTAATTCTCACGACAACTGTTCCCGCTCCATTTAATCCCTCCGCGGACTCCAGAAACTTCTTGTTCCGTTACTGGAAATCCGGAATGATGCATTGTAGAGGAAAATTCTGTCTTGGGGGGTTTAGTTTACTAGCAGAGTAATATTTTCCCATTGATTCATAGAATGAAAAAAGGGGGTTATGCCTCCCTAACTTTCCCTCCAATGATCCCCCCCCCCCCTTGCTGTCTGCGCGAGGCCGGCCCGGGACGCACAGAAGCCCTCCATCACCGGAAAGGAATGCAGAAAACTATGTAAAAGTTTCCGAGTGTGTTGAGGTTACGCATCATTTTTTTTCTTCTTCTTTTTGGCCCGGTTGGATGTCGTAAGAGCTCGCGGCGGGGCAGGCAGAGCTGGGAGCAGCCCCCCTGTTAAGTACCAGATTGTGTGGAGACTCTTCCCACTTGGAAAGAGGCTCGCCGACGCGTCTGGGAACCAAAAACCCGCGGAGCTCTCCGACTTCAACACCGGACCACATCACTCTCCCTTTTTCTCTCAGGTCGGAGGTCCACGACTGAGACTTTAACCTGGTTTCTATTTTTTATTCTTAAACCAACAAAGGAAATTCCACTGTCTCCTCTTTAGGTCAGTCCTGCATGCTTATTTTGGATTTTTTTTCGCAGTATGACATTTATTATTATTTGAATTCCAAGCGAGTATTTTAACATAAAGATTGTATAACTGAGTGCATTTCTTAAGGCTGTGATATGTCCTAGATCCTCTGTACCTGTAGTATTTTAGTTTCCTTCTAATTTGAAGCGGGATATCTCGAAATACCGGTGGACTATCTCTTTGAAGTGCTGTGCGTAATTGCGCACGACACCGGGATTTGACGCTCGGTTATCTTGAAATGGTTTTCTCCCCTGTAGACTGGTTAAATCTAATCTGCAGACGTTTTTTACATGCTCATATGGATGTTTTCAAGTCAAAATCAACAGAATTGAAGCTTCTCTTGGAAGAGAAAATACAGATTATAACGCGTAAAGCGAGAGCATGCAGATTTGGCTGGTTTTTCCTTTTTTAAACCAAATAATTTATTTGCGGTTTCAAGCTGTTAAATTGTGATTTTTTTGGACTTCACCCTGTGTAACACATGAAGTCTGTCGTTTTATAGTGTTGGTCTGTCTGGGGAAGAAGTTTTTACGAGCACCAGGCTCTTCCAAATATGACTTTGTTCAATATTCCTGGCTTGAAAGCTGCGTGTTCTGGCGCCTTTAAAACCTCTCACTGACACCGGATGTAGATTTAACTCGTAGTAGATGAATCTAAGTCAAAACGATGCTGCTCTGGTGTTTATATTCGGGTTTCTTGGAGGTCTTTGTGAAGCCCCGAGGCTGCTGAGGGACTGCCGGTGATGTTGAAACAAAGTCTCAACAGCTTCTTCCTTCGTGTTTCTCTCGCAGCTTCATTCATGTGCTGCTGAGCCAGAAGAAGCTGAAGATGAAGAGCAGGCTTTCTCTGGCCGCGGCTGCCCTCCTGGCACTGCTGCTGCTGTGCTTCACTCAGGCCCAGAGTCAAGGTAAAGCTGCTCCTCCTCCTCCTCCTCTCCTCTCCTCTCTGTGATCCAACACCTCTGACTCCATCTCCTCTCACCTCTCATTTCTCTCTGTCTCCAATGTGAATATTTAGCCTGAATAAAAAAAAATCACAGAGAAAGCAAATGTGTCTGTTTCTGAATTGTGTTTTTTTGGTTTGAACTGATTTGCCCTTTTTTTTGGCTTCTGTTTAACCTGTTTTTTCTCTAAAACTCTCAGTTCCCTTTAGGATTTTGAAAAATGTCGCTGCTCGAGGAGGAAAAAAAAAACAGCCTCCACTTCAAATATCTGGTTTCAATTTTATTAATCAGAGTTTTGCTTCCATATCCAGAAGCACTTCTAAAGTGGTTCAAGCCAAAGATACAACTAGTTCAGAGCAGTGAGGCATCTAAAACAGAGGCACCTGGCCAACTTTCCTCCCCTACGTCTTTTCTCCTGATGGAAGGGGAAAAGACAAAATATGACTTTCACATTATTTTCCAGAGTTGAAGAAGAAGAGAGAGGAGGAAATCTGCTCCTCTGCTGCTCGCCTCTGGGTTTTTCTCTCAGACTAAAAAAAAAAAAACAGAGAGAGCAGTAAAAACTCATCAAATCATCAAGAGCAGGAGGAGGGGGAGGAGAACTTTTGCTTTTCTCTCCTTCCAGCAGAGTTTCTGACCTGCTGTGACCTCCCTTTAATGTCCTCGAGAGGGCCCTCCAGAAGTCACGGCATCCTAAAGGGGTCGTATATATATCCTGGGATAGTTTGACAGGTTGGGGCCGGAGCTACAAGTTCAAACACCTTGGAGAGAAACGACTGGTCTCTGCTTCAAAACTGTCACAATTTAAAAGTGATAGATCACTTAATTAAAGCCCTTCAGAGCAGAAGATGTGAGTGTGTGTGTGTCTGCATGCTTTTGGATGGGGGGGTAGTTTTTGGTCGTTTTGGAAACAGAAGCAGCTGCCCCGCCGCCCTTGAATTGATTCTCCAGGTTGGTCGATTCCTCCATTTTTGACGTCCTGTCCCCCTTCCCAGTCAAGCCTGGACCCTGAGTCCTGGCTTTACGACAATATTTTACAGTGATATTCTTCACCTCCACACTAACAGATGAACTGGTTGGCGGTTTATAACCAAATGTCGAGATCACTATCGTAAGATCCAGCTAGATTTCCCGCCATTTTCTGTGATAGTTTTACCCTCGTTACATTGCGTTTTTCTGCGGTACAGTACGTGAGGAGAATCTGAGATCACCTTAGATCAGCATTACCAGAGCATGGAAAGATTAAGAGTTAGACACAAAGTTTCCACCAGTTAGATAATGTTAAAGGAAATAAGTGTTTTACTAAGGAAAAAGTTCCAATAGCGTGCAGATATCGAGAATGAGGATGATGCATTAAAGGTCACATATTATTCAAAATCCACTTCACCATGTTCCTCTAGCTCTAACATGTGTCTCTAGTGTGTCTACAAACCCCCCAATGATGAGAAAAGTCCATCCTCTACGTCTTTCCCTGCTCCACTTTTCAGAAAATGTGTGCTCAAACAGGCCGTTTGGAGATTTTCCCTTCATGACATCACAAAGGGCACTAGCCCCTCCCCCAGGTGGGTGACACTCCCACAGCTAGGTGTTTGTTCTGCCCTCTGAGTCTGCCTTCTCACCGTAAACAATAGGACATGGAGCGAGAAAGACCGAGACACCCGAGCCCTTCCAGAGAGGGGGCGTGGTCAGACACAGCTCATTTACATATTTAAAGGTACAGACACAGAAACAGCCTGTTCTGAGCAGGGCTGAAATAGAGGGGTTTATAGACATGATCAAATACAGGATCAGAGTGGATTTAGAACAAGAAACTTCATACACATGTTTTGAGGAGCTCTGAGACTTATTTAAACTGAAGAAGAGGAGGAGAATATGTGACCTTTAAACGAGTCTAGTCTCAAATACTAAAAGGATCAATGAGACATTTTGTACCTTCTTTATAATATTCAGGAGAAAGAATTGTTAGTGTCAGTCTCATGATTCTTCCCGCGTTTTTACATCATTTTGCGCAACCCTGTGAATTGATCTAATTTATAATCTGTTTAATGCGAGAGTATCTACTATCGTCGTCTGCTTCCTGTTACTTCTATGTTGCATGAAAAGCACATTTTCCCTCGTATTCGCCTGAAAACATCGCGTTCAGTCACAACCGGGCCGTTTGTTATTAGCAGCTCTTTGTCGTTAAGCTAGCCTGACTTGTTTAGTTGTACATGCTCGATTGATTTTTTTTACTTTTTAAAAAGTTCTTATAAAGATTAAATCCTGATGAAAACATTTTAGCTCTATAGCTAGCTTTTTACGCAACGCAACCTTCTATCATGTCCACCCCAACCTGAAGAATATCCCTTTAAAATATTCCACCATTAATAACCTGTGGTCCCTCGTGTACATGGAAACTTTTTTGTGTCTGTCGCTCTCCGAGTTGTTATCAACAACTTTTCATGTACACATGCATGATTCCCCATGTCAGTAATCCTAAATTCACCCCGACTCTGTGTGTGCACTCTTTATCCTGTTTGTTGACCAACGGCTCCTAAATCACAGTCCAGATCCTTCAAAATCAATCTTTAACTTTTTTGTGGAGTCTGGAGCTGAGCTGTACTTTAGGAGCCTCTGGCTTAGTTGAAAAAAAAAAAAAAGACGTACACATGACTTTGTGTATTCTTTTACGAGGTTTGCAATGGAGGAAAAGGACATGAAAACGATCCTCATTGTATAATCAGCGCAGCAGAATGACATACTCAGATTTTGTGTGATTTTCGTCATTTGTCAATCCAGCATCACCAGTTGGATTGAGGTCATGGACAGCCTGTCAGAAGTCAGCCGGTCCATGTTGAATCATGTTGTGTCGACAGGGACGGAAACGTTCTTATTCTTAATCTATGTTTAGAATCAATCAACAGTCAGACGTTTGGTTGGATAGAAACCAGACAGAGACATTTTAAAAGTCTGTAAAAGTGACCGATGTGGAAAAAAGGAAACTTCTAAACAACTACTTACCTCACTTTAAAATCTAAACGCTGACACAACAAGGAGGTCGTCGGGGTGAGCGATCATCGCCCTAGTTTTTGCGGTTTGTCGAGCTCTGTCGCTACCCGTCTGACTTTTTTAGACCGATTTGACATGTTGAATCGGTCTACAAAATATATTTTTGATTGACATTGATTGGCTGTTCAGCTAAGCGAATAATTGTACGAAGAGAAAAACGTAACCAAAGCAAGTAAACGTCTTCAACTTTTTATCTCGATTAGAAGTACCTACAGTATATCACGAGCGGTGAGCAACAGCGGTTTGAAAATGATCTTCATAAAAAACGGTTTATATATACGGATTCTTCTCTGTCCATTTTGGAATGACTATTGCAGACTACCGCCCCCTGCTGGCATGGAGAGGTATTTCCTCTCTCACACCCGCTCAGAACGTATGTGGTGATTGGTGGTCGGCTGTAGTCTTTGTAGTCTGTTAAAACCCCGACACACCGAGGAGATTATAACTGCTCCCAAAGTTTCTTCATCTGGTACAGATAAGCCACGCTCCAACTGATGTTTGACCAATATTTATTATTTTCCTTTTTGTCAGCAAACACTGTGAAAAACTAGAATGAAGTAAATAAAGACTCAAGCATTTATGAGCACAGACGATACAATACAAAAGCTAAACAAAATGCCCTTTATAAATAAAGATACAATTACGTACCGTGTGCGCCTTCTAACCATAAATGTTTAGGCTTTGCAGTCTTTTAAAGTCCTTCACAGACGCGTCTCCTTCACCTGTGTCCTACCGTTGGTACTAGCTTCTAGCAGCATGTTTTATTGCTTCAATTAAACATGTGAACACTGCATGCTGAACACTCAGCGCAATACACAATTAGACCAGTAGGTGTCAGTAACAGAGCATAGAATCTGAACACATTTCAAAATAAAAAATTTTCTCTGTAATTACGACAAAAACCTGTTCAAAGAAATATAATTTTCTACGACAGCTACAGAGATCGTCGGCCGTCGTGGTTGGCCGTCAGCTGTAGTCTTTGCGGTGTGTTCTAGTGCAATTCTCGGCCTTCGTCGCCACTAGTTCTTTGCCGTCTTCTCGGTGTGTCAGGACCTTTAATGAAGTTTGTTGTAACTTGCAAACACATCATTCACAATATCACCTCAGCTAAGAAAGGTGTTTTCGCGGTCAAAATATTCAGTGCTAAAAAATCTATTGTGTTAATTAGTATATAATTTTTTAGTGAGGTAAGTAGTTGCTTATTTGATTCTCTTTGGTTTTTCTTCTCAACGGTCACAGCCCAAATTCAGCAGAGTTTAAATATTCCCACCCTGTTTGTGTTTCCCTCGTGAATGCACTAAACTGTAGTGAAGTAATATCTTGTTGTTCTGTTGTGTTTGTTGTCTCAGTGTTGTTGTTGCTTGAGTTGTTGACTGTGGCCGCCAGCCACTCGAGCTCAAACGGAGGACATTTTTCTTCTTTGAAAATGGCCTCTCTCACATGTTGTAGTTTTGGTTTGTCTTGTGTTGTTTGCTCCAACAGTGAACTTGTCAAACTTCAACCCTAGGAAGTGTTGACTGTTGGGAAAATCCTTTCATACTTCACATTACAATACATCCTCCCTCCCACAGCTGCAGGATTAACCGCATTTTGCTTCTATCCCTCCACAGTCGCCCCTCCGTCAGATTTGAGGTTTAAGATTTTAAATGAGAACACGGTGCAAATGATCTGGCGTGGACCACAGACGAGGATACAGGGCTACAGGATACAAGTGACCTCATCCACAGGTGGGTGCCCCATTAAACCTGCGAGTTATGTCCTGCTGAGCTTGTAACATTACAAGTGCCGTAAACTCACTTACACACCAGTCTGCCCCGGCAAGACTCGACACTCCCCCCACAATTATCTGGAGATTTCTGCAGACACATGTTTGGCTCCGGGAGCTCTAATGATAAAAGAAAGGAAAAACATTATCACTGCCATGGAAAATTGTCAGCGTTGGTTTAGCACAGGAGAGTAAATCTTAAAAGCCTTCACAGTACATTAAACAGCTGGGATGGCTTTAAAAAAAAAAATAGCTATGAAGTCAGCTACATTGACTCAAAAAACCCCCTAAACCTTGATTTTTATAAATGTAGGCCAATATTCTGCAAAAGTTTTTTGTGCGCCTGTTATGTAAAATGCACATGCTTTTAGTAACTTGCATGTGCGTCTTTATTTAAAGTAAATAAACTAAAATGGATTGGGGCATAGTTCATTTACTCCCTGAAATTGGATGTACACAGTCTTCTACCTTTGCCGAAGACATTATTTCTTCACTGCCTAATTTTGAATCCACCCTTAAAATGTATGCTGCGGTATTTGATTTGATTTATTTATTTGCATATTAAAAAATATAGACTACATATATATTTACACAAACAACAAAATAGGCAATATTCAGTGCAGGAAGAGGCAAAAAAGAGCTTAGAAGAATCCTCCACCTAAATAATAGCCTATAACCAAATAAAACAAAAACATAAGATGCAGAAAATGCATCCACCCTAATATTTACTCTACAGACACGTCCAGGTCTAACTATTAATGTTAGACTAAACCACTAAGGTGGTGCACATATATACATTACTGTTACTTACTGTTCAGAATGACTGACAGAATGGAGCTCAACAGTGACCACCCACTTTGTCGGCGGCTGTGGTTCCTGAAGTAAAATTTCTCCATTCAAATCCTCCCTGGACATTTAACAAAATCCTTATATCACGAGATTGACGACTGGAACTGAGACAGCCAGCTGCCCCAATACTCATGACTATATTACATTTAATTTGGCACCAAAACGGAATTTATAAACGGAAGAAAAGGCAAATGTACAAGACTGTGTCCATATTTTTTGTCCGGAGTCAAGGAACTACACATCCCACAATCCATTGCGAGTGGTATCGATTCTGTTTGAAAGTAACTGTTGTTGTTGTTATCGTGTTTATACTGTTAATGCTAGTGTATCTTGTAGTTTCTGTTTGTGTTGTTGAATACATAAACAACATTCACTGCGGCATGACAAGGTTATTTGTACATTTCGTGTTAGCTAAGTAACTAGCTAGCCTGCTAGCGAATCTTATCTGTTCGGGGAAACATTGCCATGGTAACAGCGAGCTCAACCAATCAGGGCAAAAAAAGGGCAAACTAGTTATTTCTCACTCCTTTTATTTTGCATAAATTTCAAAGAAGTAATGACTTTGTTTCCGTTTGTATACAGATTTAGATTACAGATAATTGGGATTCAGTTAATACATGTTGGAAGGCAGATCTTTATACCTCAGTGTTGTTCAAAATACAAAAAGTTTAATGTTTTTTTTCACATTACTACCTGTTTTTAAATCTGTAAAAAAAAGTTAAAAAAATATCCCCTAGTTATTTTTTACCCTAAAGCCCTGAGAGTGAGACTTACTACAAACTAAGCAATCACATGACATCAGCCTTGTGTATCCTGCAGTTGGTTGTGCACGTCCTCAGAAATTAACACTACTTGTCACGATTCACTTAAATTGATCATCCTCTTATCTCGTGTTGTCACAGCACTTCCAGTCCACAGATCACATGTGGGATCAGGTCTTCCTGAAGCCCCATTTTGACTCGTGGAGAAATGAAGTAATGCTGCAGTTTCCTAATGGCTTCCCTCTGACTTTGTGCATTCTTGTAGAAGAACCAACAAAAGAATTTACTCTGACTGCATCTGCAACTAAGACCACCATCTCAGACCTGATTCCAGATGTGGATTATGTAGTAACAATATCTGCATACACTGGATCAGAGGAGAGTCTACCCATCTCCGGCCAGATCACAAGTGAGTCACCTTGTACCTGAATGTGTGTGTGTGTGTAAATTAGCAACAGGCAGCCAAGCCAGTGCTAAAAATTGTATGCAGCTGGTCGCCTTTTGAAGAAAGTCAATATGATGACAACCTACCCTCGGGTTTAAAAACTGAATATAAAACAGGTCTAAAGTCTCTTACGCTAAGTCGACAAAACAACCGGAACATCTGACAAAGAGCAGCTATGATTGGACAGGACAGTTTTTCAGTTCTTACAGTATAAAGGACAGCAAGATACACACGTTAACATCATTGAGTCTTGGTCTTGGTCTTGATCTTCAGATGATATCACATGATCTTCATTACAGTGTTCATCTGTTTTGAGCACAAGCCCAAAAGGGACTTTAATTTATATTCTTGATCATGGAAACAGAAGTTGGCAAGACCTAGTCACCACAAGTTCCATTTAGTCTCACATTCATGATGCATTTAGACAGTTTTCTGCTCGGCTAACGTCTGAAAGCTTGGCCTGAAATCCTGATTGGGCAGATATCGGTTAATTCCACAGCACTGGGAGCCAATCAGGACAAAATCCAGCTGTGCTAAATTTTCTGTCTTAAACTGCAAAAACAGGAACACCATTTATCATATTGAACAAGTCAAATTCAGTCAAATATTATATATTAAATGAACATCCTTTACATTATACATTATACATTATGCAAATGACATACTCAAAGGACCAATCAGCAAGATGTGTAAAGAGTGAAATGATAAAGTGAGCTTACTATCTGATCGGACATTAAGGAAACATGCTATGTTGAAGTGCTGGTTTTAAGACCCCCCCACACGGACGTTTTGGACACCCCTCGGTTTGTCAGATATGAGAGCAGTTATCAGGTCAACAGGTGTTGTAGCGATGGAAGCGGGTCAAGAGAAGTGGTTCAGATAGAAGTGATTGTACCCGACCTAAAAAGCCTCTGCATGTTTCTAATAAGCTCCACGAGCAGAAACGTGCTCAAACTAGGATCAATATTGGAGATGCTTTTGAAAAATGGAGAGAGGTTAGAACACAGAAAGGTTTACAGACCCATGCAGAGCTGGATAAACACTGAAGCTTCAGAGTCCACCACATGGTGACCTGTGTGAGCATCCACTCTAGAGAGGGGGGGGAGACAGCTCTCTATGATGTTTAGTATTTGGACTGCAGTATCCATTTTAAACACTAGGGGTCCGAGGTATATATTACTCCTTTAAAAAAAGGGAATGTGAAGATTTAAAAGTATTTTTACAGCATAAAGAAATCAATAATTGGAAGGCTTTATATCCATGAGAAAAAGGCAAAAGATGAAATACAACACATAAACAGTTTGGGCCACTTAACAAAAAAAAAAGTTTATTCTTTGAAAAATAGGGACTTCGAACGATCAAAAACATTACAAACCACAGATTTAGGTGTTGAAAGTGCCCAGAGGAGGTAAGATTAAAACAGTTGCAGCAGATTGAAGACATTAAAGCGTCATCTGATTTTACATACGGAACAGTAAAGTGTTAGTGACCCTGATCTTCAGTGGAAACTGAGGTCTTCACTTTTTGTCACGGCAGCAGTTTGGTGGAGTCACCTGCTCTGCATCGCTGTGGACACTGATGATCTGAAAATCCTTTGAGCTTTAGAGATTTTCTGGAAATCTGTCAGAAACAGTGACCTCAACTTGGTAGTTCCGCCACTCCAGAGCTTTTTCTTTTTTTTTTGCATGTTTGTCGAGAGGAAACAATTTTGCACAAGAAAACCACTAAAAAAGGAATTCAGGTTTAGTATCTGTGATCTGCAGTCACAGGAAAAGTTCATGGTAAGACTTTTTATGGACACTTGCACCTCAGCCCAGATGATTTAAATCGTCTAATCATTTACATTAATGTCTTTCAGTCGAGTCCAGTGGCAGCTCAAGAGGAACTCCCAGGAAACCAGACGCTTCAGACTCAGTCAGTAAGTTCTTTATTGCATTTATTTTAATTTGACGAGGGGTTTTGATTCATTGCAAAGATAATGAGTCACAAACTTTCAAGTCTTCACTGTATCTCCTCGATTTTTTCCACTTTTTGTGTCTGGACTTTCCTCCTCACTGCTGGGCGTCGGCCATCAGTGTGAGCTCAGCGAACCACACAACACCCCATTGTATAGCAATAATCAAAATTACTAAGCCCCAATAAATCTCTGAAGTATTCAGTCATCCTTTCGTCCCCTGCCGGCCAATTATGCCAGTGTGGAGGAAGCTGCACATGCTCAGTGAAGATAGGGTCATAGGTGGAGCGGGGGAGGGAACCGAGAGGGGGGGAGCCCAGCCCTGAAGTGCTGAGAGAAGTGGAAACCATTACATATGCTGGTTTACAAGAGTACTGCTGCTGCTGCTTCTGCTGCTGGTGCTGCCGTGGCCCAGCTCTGCAGAGGAGGGTGAGGTTGTTCTGGTTTTTCCTTCTTCCTGAGAGAGGAAAATCACAAGGAAAACTCCCAGTGTAGAGCGTCCTGTGTCTTAACATACATACAGTGCAGTCTGATTTAACGTCCATGGTTACTTAACAGCTGTTTCAGGATTTTTAAATAACTAGACTAAATAACAAATAACGAGCATTGAACCGGGTTCTTTCAATAAAACATCTCATTAAATGCACTTCCACCACTTTTCCAGGTTTTCATCTGATTATTAAAACAACTTACCAGAACTGAAGTTCACCCTAATTCTTTTTCCAGAAGCAGAAACATCAGTATTTAGGGAACTAAAAGTTCTCAGATGAGAGCCTGAAAAGAAAAACTTGATGCATGGATTATTATCCTGTGGGTAAAGTGCAAAGAAGGTATCTGTCACGCATTAACTGACGACACTTTTCCCCCCAGAATGCTCCTTCAGTGCCATCGCCGATGTCGTCTTTTTGGTGGACGGCTCCTGGAGTGTGGGCAGGCCCAACTTCAAATACATCCGCAACTTTATCTCAGCCACAGCCGGCGCCTTTCAGATCGGAGAGGACAAAACGCGGGTGGGCGTGGTCCAGTACAGCAGCGATGCCCGGACCGAGTTCAACCTGAACAGACACCTGACCCGACCGGCGCTGCTCCGAGCCATCGGCTCTCTGCCGTTCAAGGGAGGAGAAACAAAGACAGGTACCGTTTTAATCTCGCTGAAGTAAAGATGTTTTTTTTGATGTTGTTATTTTTATTCCTTTTTTTTACTGTAAACAAAATAGAGGATTACAAATTCCTACCAAAACGTAAAAGTAGTCAACACATCCTTAAAATCTAAAGGATGCTTATGAGTAGGTCTGGACGATATGACAAAAAATTTTATCACGATAAAAAAAATTCACATCAGTCCATATCGATAATTATCACGACAATTGTCAATCATTATTTCTTTCAAATGTAAAAGCTGATTTTTGTTCCTGAGTTAAAGTTGAAGAAACCAGATGGAGTCTAAATGAAGATGTGTCCTTTACAACTCTATTTAGTGTTTTGAATCTAGTATTCTGGTTCTTTATTTTTCATTTCGTCCCCAACTTTCATTTTACATTTTCTTAGAAAATCAAACTGTTTTCATCAGCCTTCCTTTTCAAACGTTAGGTCAGACTGTTTAGTGTCTGAAGATATTCACTCTCAAGAAGTGTTACACCACATCTTTGTAAGCCGACACTTTCTGCCTGTGCCACGTTTAAAATCTAATCCTCTGCTGTCTTTCTTACTCCAGGCGACGCCCTCAACTACCTCTTGACAAACACGTTCACAGAGGAGGCCGGCAGCAGGAGCGCTTTCCCCAAAGTGCTGGTGATCATCACGGATGGCAAATCTGAGGACCCAGTGGAGAGTTACGCCAAGCAGCTCAGGAGCAGGGGGGTGGAGATCTTTGTCCTCGGTATGACGCCAGAACAAGTTTATTACATTCCACTTCCTACATTTTCCATTCCTATTTTCAATGCTCTCGACTGTTAGTGATGTAATAACAGAAGGCATCATTAACATGACGAGCGAGTGATAGCAAGTTTTATGTCTGTGTACGCTCGGGCGGCTCTGTCAGACTTTCCACAGCGCGGGGAAGGAGAAGCCGAAGTGTGCTGTTGCTATGGTGATAAAAGGGGGCGGTTGATGAAATAATAATAACAGCTCATCTTGTGCTGCTGGTGAAGAAACAGGTCACTACTAGACGAGTATCCAAGTAAATATTCATATCCTCTTTTCAGATTTAAACAAAGGAGACTTTTCTCGAATCACAGGAAAGCTTGCCTGTGACATTTTAGCAGGGGAACAGTTCTCTGGGATTTGAATTATTCACTCCTAAAAAAACTGAAAAAGCAAAACAGAAATGCATAAAAATACAACATACTAGACTTCAAAGTAAAAAATATAGCTTTTAATCCTTTGTAGCTCCACTGACCACAGACCAGCATTATTGAATATTTAGGCTCAGTGTCCGTCTTGTTTTTTTCCGGGCAGAAAAGCGCTGGCTGTGGAAGCGTTTGTGCTGAGAAGAAAAGCGCTGCAAGTCCGTCCTGTCTCCATAACAACAGTTTGTTGATAACGGCCGCTGTATGGCCGACGCTGCTCCGTTACTTTTTACTGCATGTTTTATATTTGAGATTATTTATTTCCTGATCAGACGCAGAGCGAGGAGGATGTGGGTACAAGACACGATCCGTAGGCGGCTAAACTACGGGGTATATCATACATTTGGAAAAGAGCGCCAGTGACGTCAACAGCGCCTTTCTGAAAAGTTAACGATTTTTAACTTGAGCGCTTGGCTTACCGCTAAGAACGCTCTCTACTTGATGAAAACTAAACTGGAGTTAGGGCACGAGCAGACACGTCATGCTAAGCCTCTCAAAAAAAGTCTTGGCCTGCATCTTGGGGAATAAAACAGCATGGAGCTTCTGTGGAGCAGGGTTGCGTGTGCCTATGAGTGACCAAATAAAATAGGTGGGAAAAAATGGATTCTAGTGCTCTCGCCGTTGCTTTGCTCCTAGACAAGGAAGAAAAAAACCAAAGTGGAGGAAAAGCTTCCTACTTGATTCGATTGGCAGTTTCAGCCAAAATGAAACGAGCGCTGCGACTCCGCATCTTGAGCAGAAAAGATGCTCAAAAACGTCTTGAGAAACGCGACGCGCAGCAGCAGGGAAGAGCGCCTGTCAAGCGCTGTACTAAAGGAAAACAATGGTTTTGATCGGGCCTTTAAAGTACTTTTTCCATCCATCAATCTCTCAAACTGTAAACAACAACTCTTCACTTGTCATGTCAGAGTGCTACAAATGAATATAGAATGTAAAGTCTTTAAATGGAGACCGACCAGTTTCAGATTTATAACGCGTGCTGCCACATATTCCAGCAGGATTACATTGAAATTGTTTCGGCTTGTAGTTGCTGACTGATGTTGAATCCAACTGTAGATCTTTTAATATTTGAAAGTGGAAAACACATTTTTAACTAACAGTTTCAAGATTGCTCAGTTCCTCCAGAACTTCAAACCTGGAGGAATTATGCACCCATTACCTCTAATGCAGTAATCCTTGCATGATGCCATCGACTATACAAAGTCTGCTGTGGGCTCACTGGTGTTGTAGCTCAACACAGAAGGATTGAATTTCACAACTTACATTTTGTTTTTCTTACAACAGGCATACAACAGGCTGATCCAGAGGAGATGAAGCTAATGGCCTCCACTCCTTACAGGAGACACGTCTTTAATGTCGCCAACTTTGACATGATGAAGAATGTGCAGAAAGACATCATTGTTCAGGTGTGCGCTGGTGTTGACGACCAACTCAACTCACTGGTCAGCGGAGAAGAAGGTGGGATGTTCTACTTTTAGAGTGTGTAAAGAAATGGACAGACTTGTACTTACCCAGTAAAAATACATTTGTGTACAGTTTTTAGCTAAACTAGATTCAGATAATCCAATAACTTTTTGTTTTCAGTTGTTGAGCCCGCCTCGAACCTCCAAGTCCTTGAGGTGGCCTCAAAGTCCATACGAGTGACATGGGAAGCCTCCATCGGAGAAGTCTCTGGATACAAGGTGCAGATGATCCCCATGATGACCGGCAGCAAGCGGCAGGAGCTTTACGTGGGCCCAGGTCAGACCTCGGTGGTGGTCAGAGACCTTTCTCCTGACACAGAGTACCAGATCAGTCTGTACGCTCTGAAGGGCCTGACGCCAAGCGATCCTGTCATGGTCATGCAGAAGACACAGCCGGTTAAAGTATCAGTGGGTGAGTAAAACATATGGATACTACTTTCCAGATAAATCAATAAAAATCAGCCAAAGTACTCTATTTGAGGAAATTGCCAATATGGCACTATACCATTTAAAGGATATTTAAAGTACAACCATTTTAAACTCAAGGAATCAGTGTTTCTTACTTCAACATTTGGCATTCCAGCATGAGGACACACTAAAGATAGAGGGTTTCATAGTTTGAGATTGGAATAATATTATATATGGAGCTTGACAATTTCAACTGTTTGTATCTTCTTGTTTTTCCAAAACTAGAATGTTCTCTTGGTGTGGACGTTCAAGCTGAAGTCGTCCTCCTGGTAGACGGATCCTATAGCATCGGTCTGGCTAACTTTGCTAAAGTCAGAGCTTTCCTGGAGGTGCTGGTGAACTCCTTTGACATTGGGCCAAATAAGGTCCAGATAAGTTTGGTCCAGTACAGCAGGGATCCCCACACTGAGTTCTACCTAAACACCCATCATGACCTACCCGCTGTGGTGAAGGCTGTGAGGACTTTCCCGTACCGCGGAGGCTCCACCAACACCGGCAGGGCCATGACCTACGTGAGGGATAAGATCTTTCTGGATGTTAGAGGAGCGCGCCCCAATGTCCCCCGTGTCACCATCCTCATCACTGACGGGAAGTCATCGGATGCCTTCCAGGATCCAGCCACTAAACTGAGGAACTCTGATGTGGAGATCTTTGCTGTGGGTGTAAAGGACGCTGTTCGTTCTGAGCTGGAGGCCATTGCTAACACACCTGTGGAGACCCATGTGTACACCGTAGAGGACTTTGATGCCTTTGAGAAAATTTCCAAAGAACTCACACAGTCCATCTGCCTGAGGATCGAGCAAGAACTTCGCAAAAGAAGTAAGTAAAATTTTATGTTTACACTCTATGCAGATGACACTGTGCTCTTTTAAACTTCTTTTAAGCAATTTACTGTAATGTATTTGTTATAAATAATGGATCTAACTAAAGTTTGGTGGAGGTGGTAATGCTGATTTAGGCTGAGGCTCTGTGTCAGAGTTGGTAAGATAAAGAAATTCTGCGTGGGGTTGTGGTGGCCGGTGAAAGCTAGCAGGAAGAGGGGTGGCTATGGGATGCTGGAGCTAACTGTCCAGCCTTTCTGAGAAGACTGGGACTACTTGGATGAAACACGGGAAAGAGAGGTTCCCACTTGATGACCCCGGTGATGTCCTGACTCTTGCTGTCCATCTGTTTACACAGTTGAGTTGTGGGAGCCAGTGGGACCATGTGTTAGGTATCGGTGTTATCACCACCTGGCTAGCTCGCATAAACGGAGACTGGGTCTGTTGAAGGTGGCGTCACTGTTTGGGTTGCAGTGCAACTAACGGCCATACGGTGGGTTATGTAACTCAATAGTAGGGCATAGAGGCATAATTGGGATAAGAATATGTTTATTTCACATCAAAGATAAAGAGCTGAAGAAGTGCAATGAAAGCTATCTATCACTCAGTGGGCCAATCAATTCAAAGCCCCCCCCCCATTTAGTAAAATGTTAAAAAGAGAACCACCTGTCAGCTATTATGGTTTAAATCATTTGTAGTGTGTTTGTATTGATATTCATTGATATTGAAACCACATTTAATAATTAATTACAGGAGTCAAATCTAACTAAACCACTGCTGACTGGGAAGGAGAATACAGAGTTGTACCAACCGTCTTCCATATGTCCACAATTACTTTCTTTTCACTTTTCCGAGCGTGTCTCTCTCAACCAAACTCTCTCTCCCTCAATGTGTTCAACACATGTCCACCTTTTGATCTTTCAAGGGCAGAGAGAGTTCCTGCATGTGGAAACATTAGAACTGGGTCAAGAAGTGGTTGAAGGGGGACTTCTTAGCGTTAGTTATAGCACCAGATGAGACTGTTGTTATAGCATCAGGACAATCCAGACTGTCAGGTGTTTTGTCCGTTATGTATCTGTAAACAAAGCTTGACTCTGAGATGCATTCTTTGTACTGAAACTATTAGCCAACCCCCTGAGCATCTGGAAGTCAGGTTTAAACAAGCAAGAAAAGTTCCTCAGAAATGCTGCTTCACCCACTTAAAGCCAAATATTAATCACTCATTTCCTTGGCAAAAAAAAGAGCTTTCGAGTCTGCCAGCATAGCTTTGGTTGCAGATTATATAATACTTATATAAAAGTGACTTTATGTCAACATAAGAGCAGTGTGCAGGAGCCTGAATGAGCAGTGCAGGCACAGCTTCCCTCCAACATGTTAACACAAAGTGCTCCAACAGTGGGGAGTTTCACTGCACTCGTCATCCACTTGTTGTTTGAATGATGGAGCTGTCAGCTGGTTGCAGATTGTACATATTTTATTAATTGGCCTGTAGCTCAAGCCTTTTAAATCATTTACTTCTGATTTTATAAAGAATTCTTTGTTGGTGTTTTTTCTTCCAAAAGAAACATACTTTTGATAAGGTTAAGGCTAAGCTTGTCAGATTGCAGATTTCGTCCTCCGAAAAAGATTTTGGGGAAAATGAATACCAGAAAGACGAAATGTTCAACAATGCATGTCTCTGTGATCCCATTCCCCGGCTTGAATGTCTGTCTTTTCTCTTTGTAACTTGGGAAAGCTCTGTCGAGAGGTTAATTGACAGCTTTCTGGCAGGAAGCCCTGTAGGCAAACACCTTTAATTACCAATCTCAGCTCAGTATTATCTGTACAAACATTATGACCGAGGAGAAAGAGACAGTGGAAGAGAAAAGAGTGGCCTAGAGGCAGGGGAAGAGCTTGGCTTTAACATAGCTGGAAAGAAAGTAAATTTCACCCAAATTGTAGGTGCTCGTTTCACAGAAAACACCAATCCATGCATTTGCTGCCATAAGTATTTGGTTCACTGCATGCTGGTTGGAAAAATGTACTGAAAGATAAATAGCAGAGAGTTTAGTCTGATCTCAAATGAACACATGGAAGAAAACTCATTATGAGCTCCTCACTATGGATAAGAAATATCTGTAAAACGGTTGAGATGGTAGTAGATATAGAGTTGGAAATTGGGATGAGGGGAAAGTGGGGTAAGGAGCCACAGGTTGAATTCAAACTTGGGCTTCCCGCTTCAGGGACTACAGCCTGTGTACATACTGTACATACAAACTAACCACTTGACCACCAGCGCCCCATCAAAATCGTTTTTTAAGGTATACCCTGAGAGGATGTATCTTTAATGGGCAACCCTATTTAATTAAATCTAAGGGTTATTCATAAATGTGTATAACTAGGGGTGTGGCTGAGTTGACTGATAGGTGGATGCGTTGTTGCTGTTTACCAGAAAACTTAAGCCGTACCCCAGCTCCACCTCTTTACCCCACTACACCAATCACAGTCGATGGGCTTCAGAATGGCTCTGCATCCTTTTTTTTTTTTTTTTTTTTTTTTTTTTTTTTACAGCATATGGTCTTTTGTGTTTGATTAAAATTCCCTTTCTACCTTCCAGGATTTCTCCCACCAAGGGCGCTGTCCTTCTCAGAGGTTGGCCCAAGAAGCTTCAGGACTTCCTGGGAGATGGATGCCAGCTCAGTCGAGTCCTTTTTGGTTCAGTTCAGGCCAGCAGCTGAAACCAATGGTCATTACGTGTCCATGTCTGTGCCCGGGGACACGCTCACCGCCCTCCTCCCCAACCTCACCCCAATCACACGCTATGAAGTCAATGTTTATGCACAGTATGACAAAGGGGACAGCTCGCCTGTGACCGGCTATGAAACTACTTTAGAAGGTATTAATTGTGGACTGAAAACATTTACCTTTTTCATTCTTTAAGTCGGTAAATAGAAGCGGTATTGTAAGACGTGCAAATGTGTTGCAGAGCTCGGCTCCGTGCAGGACCTGAAAGTGTCAGAAGAGACCACAGAGAGCTTCAGGGTGTCATGGCAGCCAGCTCCTGGAGCCGTGACTCGCTACAGGTTGACATACGAACCCGTCGGGGACGAGAGGACGAGGGTGGAGACGGCTACTGTGGGAGCAGAGACGACCATCGTGCTTCTGGGGCTCCTGCCTAAAACCACCTACAGGGTCACCGTCAGCCCTGAATACAGTTCTGGATCTGGAGTGCCTCAGCAGATTGATGGCACCACCAAAGAAGGTGACCATAACTTCACATTACACTCTTACAAATAAGAAGTAGTTTGGAGCTTGAATTTCTGCTCCTAGATCAAACAATAGTTCTGTTTTACATCGGGTATTTCATAGTTTCTTTAAGCTATAAATCATAGATTGTACAAGAACATGTGAAATCAACACCTCCTTTAAAGTGAGGCCAAAAGATATAGAGCTCCCCCTACTGTCTGGCTGCAGTATAGGTCAGAGTCTCGATTGGACAAACTATAAAATCAAACGACACAACAGATACATTTTTCTCAACTCTGGTTTCCGTCTTGATGACAGTTAGTTATTATCACGCTGATATGTGTTCAGTTCTTTTTCTTTGTCTGGCTCCCTCGAGGAAGCTCTTTGTTTTATTAGTTACTTGATGCTACAAAACATTGTAAAATGTCATGTTTTACAGCTCTGTTGACTCTGTGTGCACCGGATTAGCCGAGGAAGAGGAAGAACAGCGAGAGGAAACATAATGATAACTAACACAGGAGTCAGTGAGCTATAAAACATCTATAAACAGACGGTTCTGGTGTGGACCGTAACCACCTGAAGTATCTTTGACGTTTTTATCAGTAAGCTAACTGTGTGCTTGTGTTAGCAGAAGCAGCGTGAGGTCAATAATCTGCCTTTACCAGCAGCTCTGCACTGCACAGACTCTGACTCCAAATGTCCAATATGTCCCCGCTCAGGGGATATTTTGACTTCATTTTTTTTACAGCTAGAGGTGGAAATGTGCTGTCCGTAGTTATATACAGTCAATATCATAAAGTAGTCCAATCTGGAAACACCAACATCCTTTAAATATCAGGTGAATCAGAGTGGTTGTTCAGGCAGGCCGTCCCAACCAATGATCCCGAGGAACCTAAGAGAGCTCAAGAGCTCAGAGGAAAAGATGACCATTCTTTTTTCCCTGATAAAATGTGTCATAAAACATGGATACCATATCTGTAAAAAGTAAGACTTACAAGGATATGTAGAGCCTGTAAATGAAAAGTCTTAACCCTTGAAAAAAGGCCTGGGGGTAACAGATAAGGATCAACAGATTTCGAGTGATTGAAGCATTAGATATCCTGCCAGAAGTCCAGAAATCTGAGTCGCTGTTGAGTAATGCCTGACTCACCAGTTATGATGCACAACAGGTGTCTGCAGATGTCTTTTATATTCATTATTTAAAAACTATGATGGATGTGACTTTAGTCCAAGTCCTGATTTACTCAGATTATAATTTTTTTGACAAGTGTCGTCATCTGCCACTTGGCGATTGCGTTCACGTTCCTAAATTGCCTTGGAGTTCCAGGAGTCCACTCACCTTTGACCCCCAGTGGAAAGTGAACTCTGCAGTGTTAGTACAACCTGCCACCCATCGAGCTGCTCGTCAGATCCGCCCGGCCTTTCAGGGAAAGGAATGAAAAACAGACAGAAGCACATTAAGGAGGGAAAAATGTGACAGCTGGGTCAAGATGTACTCTTGGGGTGATAAGCAGTGAAGAAGGAAGGATCAGGAGATAATGTTGTGGGAGTTAAGACATGCCCTTTAGTTTCTGGACTCAGTGAAGTCCTGACACTTTGTGATCATTTGTTGTCTTTTGAAAAGGTTGATAATCTCATTCATCAACCTGTAATGTGGGATGTTAGGGAGGGATTGCGTAGCTACTGAAGATAAATATCGTTTAGCCAAAAGACTGGAAATAAACACTTTATATTCCTGTCCATGGCAACAGCATTTCTGACCGTGTGGGCGAGTACCGTTCACCTCCTGGTTCCTCCAGCTGCTTGTCATCTGAGGTGAATTTTTCCTGTGTTTTTGACGGTTTATAAAAAAAGAGTCAGGATTAATCCCAGCTTGCACCTCTCTGACATGAAACGGCCAGCTGGCTCTCAGATGGAGAGGTGTTTTCTCTTCTCCATGTATGGCTTACAGTATTGTGTCCATTAGATTGTTTACCTGTTATGACTTTATCTGAAAACTATGAATGTATGAGGTTAAGCACCAATTGGCCCTTTCGCTTTCAGCCTGTGTTGAAAATACTCAGTTTCAGCAGACACTGAGATCACTTTGCTTTCTTTTTCTTCCCCCCTTTTTGGAAAAAATTAGAGTTCATTTCACTTAAATTGTGTGCCATTTTCATCACTCTGTAGGAAAAAATCACAGTCAGACAGATGCGACAATAAAAGACTTCACAGTAAGAGTCCAAAAGAGGCGTTAAGAGGAGCTAAGTAGGGCGAATGAGTCAGAGAGCGTTTACTTAAACAATTATCTTTTCAAAGAGGAATTGTTTGAACGGTTTAAAGTACCTCAGACTAATTCACATCTTGGTAACTACACAGCATTCTACTGTGCAGCTTTACCCAGAGTCCTGGTCAAGGACTCCTCAGAACATGTTTCTACTTTAATTTATATCCAGACAGACAAGAGACACATGCACAGCGGTCCAGGACAGTTTTGCAGGAGGATTTTGGGAATAAAGACGCTTTCTAAAGCCTCCTGTGGACAGGTGTTGAGAACTAGCATGCTAACCCAAAACACTTAAACAATGCATCTGGTTCGCCCAATGTATCTGTGATGTCCATTCCAAATGAAGTCTATTTTTATTGTAATTTCTGGTCTTTTTATGCCTTTATTTACAGACAGGACAGTGGATAGAGTCAGAGATAGGGAGAGAGAGAGAGAGTGTGGGAAATAACATGCAGGACCCACTTGGGCGTCCATGGGCTCCGTACATGAGGCTAGCACACTAACCACTAGGCTACCGGCGCCCCAAGAAATCAAAATTAATTCCCCCAAAGGTGAAACACAACTATAACAAACATCTTTTCAATACGACACCAGGAAGTATTTTCTTTGCATTTTTCCTGGTGTTGTATTTGATAGACAATTGTAATAAACGTGTTCTAACTTGGGGGCGTTTTGAGGGTTTTGAAAGTCGCCATCATCGTGTCTATCAGCCGATTGGTGTTGAAACATATATGAATGGGTGTGGCGCCCATTTTTAAAGAATGATCACCTTGGAGATCCACCCTGGTTGAAATCTTTTTGTTTGCAAGCAAGTGTGCTTTGTATATTTACATTTTAAAAAAAGCTTGTCATGTAACTGAACTATGTTTGACTCATGTTTTTGGATACTGGTTTCATTTTCTGACTTTGTGTCTCACCTTGGCAGTCCGCGGTTCCCCACGTGACCTGAGGGTTTTCGACGAGACCACGTCCTCCATGAAGGTCTCCTGGGAGGCGGCGCCGGGGAATGTGCTGCAGTACCGCGTGGCGTACAGACCGAGCGCCGGTGGCACCAAGAAGGAACTGTCCGTCAAGGGCGACAACACGGCCAGCGTCCTGAAGAACCTGCAGCCGGGCACCCAGTACGACATCTTCCTCAGCGCACGATACCAGTCCGGCCTGGGCGACGCCTTGGAAGGACAAGGCACCACGCTAGAAGGTAATCCGGTTTCTGTTCCGTTATTTTGGGTTCCTGGATGACAGCACACATGTTGAGTGAGCAATCCGATGAATCAAAATGTTCCTTTATCTCTGTTTTGATCTCCATCAACTACTCGCAAATATGTCCTTAGAAGCTGAATGTTTAAATCTAGAAATGCAAAAGAAAGAGTGAACACATGTCAAAGCTGTCTTCTAAAGTCAACTCTTCAAGTCTCTTAACTCTTCAGACTGACATCCTTTCTGTGTCACTTCTGGCATGCAGCTGTGACCCACACGTCTCCCAGATTAAACTATTACTTTGTTTTTATTGCGGCTCTATAGTTCCACACGCTCAGCCAGTGTTTGAGGTTTTACTGTAATTGCTGTGACTAAACACTGGCAGACGACCAAATCATCAGAAGGGCCCTCAAAACAAACATTAATAAAAAGTCTGTGTTTAATCTCGGCTTTCTTTTTAGCTGCAGAGGAAATGTTAGAAGATATCCTATTTTCAGTTCCCCCCCGGGGGGGCTTCAGAGGTCGGGCTTATTGTAACAGGAGAGGAATAATAAACAGCCCGGACAAGAGGGGAGAGAGGTGGTGAGAAGGAACCGAGGAGGAGGATGAGAAGAAGAAGAAGGCCTCCAGCTTTCAGATAGTGTTCTAGAGATATCAGAGAAAGTTTATTTTCCTAATGATTTTTGTAGCTGTTGTTCCTCATTTCATTCTTTATTGTTGGATCATTTGGAGCTACACAACAGGAGATTTTGACTCCTCTTTTTTTTTTGATTAAATTCTTTGACAGGACAGTGGACATATTAGGAAATCTGTAGAGAGAGAGGGGTATGACATGTGGGAAAGGAGCAGCAAGTCGGACTTAAACCAAAGCCACCCGCTTGGACGACTTTAGCCTCAGTACATGGGGCGCGACCTAACCACTAGGCTACCAGTGTCCCAGATTTTGGACATTTTTACTTTTTAATAAAATATTGTGATCAGAAGGAAAGATCTTACTTATATGTATTTGATGCAAGTCCGGATTTGGGATGTGCCCGATTAGTTGACTGATTAATTAAATGTCACAACCCCTCCCTTTGATTTTAGACAGTTTTCACCATTTTCTGAGTGATATTTTCCCCTTAGAGTAGTTGATTTTTCTGAATTATTTAAGTTTAATGGACAGGGAATAGGCAGCTAGGAACATCTCTATTTCAGCCACAGATGTGTATTTATTCAAAGAGGCAATTCATAATTGGGAGGTTTCAGCTGTTAGAGGATTTATGGTTACAGAAAATGAGGCAAACGTTCACTAACAAGCTCACCAGGGCAGATAAACTTGAGAGTGCATGCACATGCTCCATGCAGACTCACCCTGCAGATGTGAGCAGATGTTATGATTTTTGTCACACTGACTCTTTTAGCTACTGATTCTTAAAATGAAATATGGTTCGGCATCCTTGTTGCCTCTTGATTCAGAGTCAGATCATGTGACTGCTACGGCTGCTACAGTTTTGAAGAAAACTTTGGAAACCTTTGGGAGTCAAGGTTTCTGTTTTGTACAGATTGGATGTAGTGAAGCAGAACTTGCTAAGTCGGCGGAGCTGTAGCTGTAAAATCAACAGTGGACACAGCAGGCAGTCATCCAGCCACACAGGCTGAGAGGTGAGATGAGACACAGCAAGACCGGACAGGAATGTAACCCAGCTGAGAGCTGGGCTGAGAGGTTAGGAGGAGCTGGGAAGACTGACTCATTCCTGTCTCTGTTTCTGTCGTCCTCCCTGTTTATGCCTCCATGTGTCTCTGTTTCATGTTGACTCTTCTTTCTCACCTTCATGCCCCCTCTCCCACGTCTCTTCAATTCTGTTATATTTATATCTTTCCTGTCACTTTTCTCTTTGTGTCTCTGTCTTTCTTTGCCGTCTACAGTCTTTCTGTGTTGGCCTGCACAGCATCCACACAGCGCTTACAAATCAATACGTCCTCCTGTTATTGTTTCTCCTCTCCTGTACTCCAGGTTGCAGGGGCATGCACTGGTTAAGCGTTTTTTTGTTGTGTTGGGTTCACGGTCTGTTTTTAGCGTGTTGCTAAGGCCCTGCAGACATCCCCGGTGCTGGCCCACATTAGAAGCAGCTGGCAGGAGGTTTCTTCATTACCTTTATTTCCCTCACATGTGGGGTTAAACCCGACTCAGCTGCACTGATACTGTACCCACGTTAAAACATGTGAGCTCACTTCGGTCCAGTTGTAAAAACTCTGATTGTACAGTAAGAGCCGAGTTAAGCTCCGTTTATGACCAAATGAGAAGTAAAATGGAAAGGAAATCTTCATGCCAAATCCAGCAGGTTATGGTGTTTCCTGTGATAAATTAAAACCATCAAAAACGTATAGATACATTCAGCAAAGTCTCAGTCTTTACTCGTTGAATTCATGCCAGTAAATCGCAGAATATGTTTAAATGTGGTGAGTGTAGCTCCAGTTAGTTTTGCGTAAAGCTGTCCACAGCCCGATAGTAAAGGCACTGCAGCTGCCTTTGGTTTTTTGTCACAGAGTCTTTTTCTCTTAATACACTATTTGGAAACATCCCAAAAGACTTGACATGAACCAGGACTAGTGTGACGGTAGGATGGGGATGGAAAAAGCTTTTTTAAAAAGTTGAGAGAAGTGAGAACATTTCAGCAACCACTGAGGAAAAGTCACAGAAGTTACAGTTGATCTTTAAAAGTATCTGAGAACTTTGAAGGTTTTTTTTTTCCATTGAACCCTTGAGCTAAAGTTCACCTCTCATACCATAAAGCTGGAGGTGTTTTAAAGGGGACATATTCTGAAATATCCACTTGAACAGTGTCTTTGAACATATATCTGGGTAACCTGAGTGTCTACAGACCCACAAAATGTGAAATAAACCCATCCAGTCCTTTGTTTGTGGTCTGCATAAGTCTTACAGCACAGAGAAAAATGCTCTGTTTCAAATGTGCTCTCCTTGTGATGTCACAGTGGGATTCTGGTAAAAGAAAATTCCCTCCCCTCCCCTGATATCTCCACCCATGGACTCCAGCAAAACTTTTGCTCAGGTCCGCCATCTTTATTCTCACTACAGAGGAGTGATGTATACCAGGAAAACTCAGGGGGCGGGCTCATTGCATTTAAAGAGACACACACACCAAAACGGAGCGTTCTGAGAGAGCTGGTTTGAATAGGAATAAATAGATGGATGGGTGGAATGATGGGAATAGATTGGTAGAAAGACAAGGGGAGACTTGCAGACCAGTGGAAATTACTTTTCATATCCTGTGGTTTTCTTCAGACTTGGTTTGTGCATAAAAAAAAAGGTTGAGGTGGCGTTTTTTCAGGGAGCCAGATATTCCACTCTCCATCTGATGGCTGTCTTTGGCTTTTCATCTTTTTAAAAGCCTGAATATTCATCTTCTAGTTTTGAGAGACAGCGCTCCTTGAAGCAGATCAGAAGTGGCAGTGGCAGCCGTGGAGAGCGCTCCCAGCTGCCTGCTAATGGCGGCTGCAGTGGCGTCTGTGTGGTGAGGATGGGGTGACGGCGACTGAAACAACAGACACCATTAAAATGATTTATCTACATGACGTCGGTGTATATTTTTCTAACTCAAATGAAAAGCGGCCTGTCAAAGTTGAAGCCTCGTCAGACTTTGCATGTTAGCAAAAGCAGAGAGAGCTTCATAGAGCAGTTCTATTTGAGTTCAATATTAAGATGTTTCATGACAAGCTGCCCCAGTCTTCTCTCTTTTATTGTTTTATACGTGGGCAACAAGGGAGCACCTGTTTGAAGGCCTGCGTCTGCTGTTTTTTTGAGCTTGCAGTGCCCATTTTCTATCCAAAACCAACGCGGTTCAGCATTTCCAGCGTTCAGCGTCCTAAGTGCAAAAATTTCCTTGGCGTCAGCTGTTTTTTGTTTCTTGGCTCACAGCCCTCTCAGTTGAAAAATAGTTAAACTTTTGTAACCCCGCTGCGATCTTCAGTGTCACTGCTGCCTCACCGAGCAATCAAAACCAAGAATCAACTTTGTCAACGACAACTTTGACAGAGAAACTAATCCGACCCGTCTTTTGGAGGGTACTCTTTCCATGTGAAGAGCTGCTGCGAAAGCCAGGACAGGATTCCTTAAGCATTTCTTGTTCTCTTGGTGGCATTTTCTTGGTCACTACTGAGGGAAGCAGAAGTTCCGTGAGAAACTTCTGTTACCTAGCAACAGTAAGGGCTCTGAAATTGGGGTTGTGAGCGCTGCTAGTGGACACAGACCTTTGTTTAGGAAACATATTGTGGTGTGGGTTTTAATAAGTACTCAACTTTAGCTTCTTCACATGCGACCCTGGTCTCCTTGGTGAAAACCATTTGTTGTGTCATCATCATTCCAAGTGGACTTATTCCATCTTTCCACGACGTCTGCGGAGTTCACACATTCTGGACGTCTGGAGCTGTGACTCTAATTGTCTAATAGTGATGCAGATAAAGTCCTAATCGCTTCCCAAAGTTGTGGCTTAGTTGCTAATTACATTGCATTACCCTCCATAGGTATGAGTAGGAACAGTTAATAAGAACAGCCTGTGTTTTTTCACTTCCTGTTGGGCCTCGTCAGTGTGCACTGAGATTTGTTCTTAATTGACTGGTCCTGAATTTTATTGTCTTGAATTCCAGCCCAGAAACATTATTTCCGTCTGTGAACATTAGCCGAGCCTTCCCCCCTCTCTCATAAGATCTCTATCAATTGGCAAAATCAGGACTGTGATGTATATTTCAGGCTCACTTTCTTAATTATTCAGATTTTCTTTCATTAACATTTTGGAAAATTGGCTTTTGGTCTTTCCACCTCCTCTAGATTCTTCCATCACTGACAGACATTCAAACATCCTGCTCTGTCTGTAAAGGAAAGTTATAAATATGTCACAGGCAGGAAATAGATTTGTTCAAACAAATCTGTCAGGGCTTTGGTTTCTTATAGGGCTGGGAATCTTTGGGTTTCTCATGATTTGATTCAGAATCAATTTTCGGTTCAAAATGATTCTCGATTCATCGATTCAAAGTCTATTTTTGAATGAGTTCATACTTCAGGATCTACTCCAGTCATCTGTGAGTCTGGCTGAATTTCCTGCTGCTCTATTTGGTGTTCTACTCAGTTAAAGAGCTAGCCTTAGCACTTAGCAGGGAATGACTGATTAATCAAAAAATAAATAAATAAATGTTGGAAGTTATGAATCAATTTTAAATCTTAGAAGAGAAGAACCACGATTTTTACATGAATCGATTTTCCCACCTCTAGTTTCTGATATTCTCAAGTCCTCAGAAAGTTCAGTTGAGTACATGGAAATCAATGAAAACAGTAATGCTATGTTTGTGGGTGGTCTTGATGTATCATCTGTGAATAGAGCCAGTTTTAGAGTTAACATCGCTTCAACAATGGGTACATTTTTGTGGTAGGTAATTGGTTTACTTAATTACACCCCCTTTATTTTCCCCAAATGTTCTGACAGGAAACAGGAATTGTCTTAGAGGTGTCTTATAACTGCATGTTGGTCAACAAGGCACAGCTGGGCTGCAGTCTCATTCTCTTGTTGTTTTACCTGTGGTTACCAATGCAGAGAGAGAGTCTATGGCTACAGGCGCCCAGAGTATTGGGTAAACAGGAATCTGAAGCAGAGCCTTCAGGATGTTCCCAATACTTCCAAAGTACAAAAACATTAAATGTTACAAACAACAAATTGAGGATTATTTCCCCAGCCAGCATGTCCATGTGGGCCCCATACGGGTTAAATGTGAGCTGCAAATATGTTGGTTTGTCCACTGGTTCCATGGTAGCCCCAGCTGTGTTTGCCCATATGAGTCCTGAGAGGGATCTACCTGGGTTTTAGGTTAGTGGCCTATCGCTGGCTAATTTATGTGAGACCCATGTAGGCCCCACCTCTGCCTTGAGGAAAGATCTCACCCGGCCTTAGGTGGGGCCCAACCGGGCTGCAAAATGGGTTCCATTACAATGGGTTGGCTATAAACTAATTGTGAACACTTACTGGTTTCTAGCATTTGGTTATGTCCACTACTACCGGACTTTACGCGTTCAATATTGCTAAAAACACCATGTGAGATTGACGCTAAAGTGCTGGTCATATTTGAATCGGGTCCACTGAATGAGGTGCCATGTTTAACAAGTTAAAAAACTTGACTGTGAGAAGCATCAGTGAGTCACCAAAACTCTTAGAAAACATCCTCCAAGAATGTACACAGACACAACAACAACATTTCTCAAAACAATAGCTTCTAAATTGATATCAGCAGATATTCTTCTATCTTTTGAACTTCATGAGATTTAGTTCAGGAAAAGCTCTCTCAAGTTAACAATGAATTTATTTAAAGGAAATGTAGAGGCTTATTCCCTTCTCTCCTTTTTGCCATTTGGATTTTATATTTATAGCTTTGCCAATATTTCCTGAGGTCATTTTGAACCCTAAATTAATCTCAGACATACATGGGTGCTGCAAAACTGCTCGAAAGAGGTCAGACGTGGCATCAAATTTGAGCTATCAGATGTTGAGGCAGACACAAAAAAACATTTCTGGGACTAAACAGGCGGAATGATAAGTGTATTACAAAGTATTTCCTCTGTAAAATCCATCACACTCATCAACCAATATCAGCGTTTAATGAAAGATAGCCATAAAGTAAGACTAAAGTTAAAAGTTAAGATTTCCTCCAAGTCAGAGGTTTGAGTTCTTTGAATCGACAAGAAAGTAAGGGAGATGCTGGAACAAAAAAAGCTGCATTAAAGGCTGCACATTTCAAATGAACCGGTTTAATTTAAATGTTTCTACAAAATACTGAACATCAAAATTTGCAGCTGATATGATGACGTAATATAAGAAGACGTGTTACTCCTGTTTTTCCTCTCGCATGTCTCCAGCCTCACATGCTCTGCACTTTTTAATGAAGCAGAAACGACTAACAATAGCTTAAGAAGTAGAAAACAAAAGCTGTGGTTAGACGTTCAGTTCTTCTGTCTATTCAATGGCCTTTTAATCGTCTCCACTTTACCAGAACATGCAACGGGTTCCTTTGTTTGGAGGGAAGATGGATTTAAAAAAAAAAAAAAAAAACCTTAAAAACACTGGAGGGAACATTAGAGCAACCCAGCCTGTGTGACTTCAGTCTATATCAAACTTCACTAACCTTTGACCTCACAGATGAGCTGTAAATATCTGGTGTGTTTTGGGCCAATATTTGATCAATCAATATTAATGAAACTAAACACATAATGTGTATTGGGTCTATTTAAAGTATATAAACTACACATTCCTGTGTTAATCCATCCATCTGCTTGATTCTTTTCAGAGGGAGGTCCCCCCACAAACCTGGTCACCAACGACGTGACCGACACCAGCTTTGTGGCGTCCTGGACGGCAGCGCCGGGGAATGTCAAGATGTACCGGGTCCGATGGAAGTCTCTGTTCTCTGAGGAGGCTGGAGAGAAAACGGTGGCGGGAGACGTGACCAACACCGTGCTGGACGGTCTGACTCCTGAGACCCTCTACCAAGTGTCTGTGGTCGCCGCCTACGGTCACAAAGACAGCGAGCCGCTCGCGGGACAGGAAACTACTGACGGTAAGACGACTAATGCTGCATAAAGTAGACACATTTTAGGGGACAGTTCAATATATGAATTGGAATGTTAACTCATGTAAGTAAATCAGTAAGGCGTCTGGGCGACAATAAAGTTTGGAAGAAGTTATCGGGCCAGGAAACTTGGTCTTCAAAAACGGGAGAACTTGAGATTTGTCTTTCAAAGGTAAAAGTAGACATGCCCTCCCCTGGCAGCCCTGCAGCGTTCTCCCCCCGGAAGGCTTCCAGGGAGCTGGCCAATCAGAAGAGAGTGGGCACATGGGGAGGGGGGGCCTTAAAGAGACAGCAGCTGAAACAAACTGTTTCAGGCAGAAGCTGAAATTAGAGTTTTTACTGACACCAGTATCAGATAAATATGTGAAGCTGCTCTACAGGTTTCACAGACTGACAACATGGAAGGTGAACATGAGGAGAATATTGGATATTAACAGTCAATGCAGATGAGATGCAGATGATAAGCTCTGCATGACATGAAGGGTCAGTCCAGGTGTTTGAATGTTGTGTTGTCAGGTCATGAACCCGCTGAGGGAAGTGTTCCCTGTATTGTTATAGTAACACACATGGCAGAAGAAAAGACTTGTTTTGATTATGAGGTCAGAAGAAAATGAGCCAAAGTCCACTTCCTCTTAGCTCAAGATCAAAACGCAGTTCAGTGCTTGTGTAATCGTACAGTTGGCATCCTCCGAAAAGGGTTTTGCTTTCTAGTCAGTGGGAGAAGTCTGAATTTAAATAAAGGTATTCAGCTGAAATACTGTAATTAGGAGTAAACACACTAAACTCAAAGCGGAGGAGATTTATTTATTGTTGCGTCGTGTGTGTTCTGTGAATGACGCGATGTGAACTGCATGCTGACATAACGCATCAGAGACAAAGCACACTGTTAAAATGTCAACACATTCCTCACTCTATATGCACACAGGGAGAATCAAACCAATGCAAACAGCCCCCCCCATCCCCCCTTAAAAAACAAAGCAAAACAAGATGAAGATAAACTAACAGGTTTGAGTACATATTGTTCCTCGTACATCTCCAGCTTCACATATTTGTTCAAATCTATCAACACAATGAGAAGTTGGACGCCGTGTGTTTTTCCTTCACTAAAAGTTCTCCAGAGTAAAATCAAGTAGTCTGAAAAACCTTCCTCACGATCATTAAATATATATTATATTCCCTTACAACGTTTTTAATCAGCTGCAGCGTCGTAGGAATAAATTAGTTTCCTTTTTAAGGGTTTGGTTGTTTCTGGGGAAAAGGAAAATGTGGTTAGCATTTCGATCACTTCTGGGTAATTCATGTCCTTTCATTTTGGCTCCAGCTGATGGTATTACTCAACATCTATGCATGTATTTATGAATACAACATGATTATGAAAGAAATATAAAGGAAACCACACTTGGCCTTGAAAATGGAGTGGAACAAATTATTTTTTATTTAAGGTTTGGATGAACAATGGCTACATGTTTGTGGCTGTTAAGGGTACATAAAGGGGTTTAAGTTAAAGTCAGGGTTGGTCATTTCCTCCAGATCCACTTTTTAAGATTCTGGTTGAAGTTGTCTTTAGGTCCTGACAGAAATGAATAACTCATGTTCTCTGAAAAAGGAACAAAGAAAATCGATCATCTGTATCAGTTTGTAAGTCTGTAAGAACTTCGACCCATGTCTGACACGAGGTACCAATCTGATGAACCAATCAGACGCCTCCCTGTCTCCCTGCTCGCTCTCTTCCCCACGTGTGCTCTAGCTCACACTCAAAGCATGAGCTGAGGTCTGCTTCTGGACCAATGGAGTTCGTGCATGTAAGTGAGGGGGCGTGGCTTTAGAGGGAGCACAGAGGGGAGGCAGTGGGTGCAGACGGAGCACTGAGGGAATGCTACTTTCAAAATCATGCTAGTTTTTTTTAAATGACCAACCCTGCCTTTAAGGTAAATCCATGGTTCTGCATGTTTTAGGCTGAATTCAGTTTTGAAAATGAATCTTTTTGTTTTACAGCCTCTGCTGCTGGTAAAAAATTGACCGTGTCGGACGAGACTGAGCGAACCATGAAGGTCACATGGATGCCGGCACCAGGCAAGGTGGTGAACTACCGGCTGAAGTATGCTCCCATTGGTGGGGGGAAAGAGGTGATCCTCAGGATCCCTGGGACATCCACTTCCACCGTCATGAAGCGCCTGCAGCCAATGACGACCTACGACATCATCGTTCACCCCATCTACAAGCGCGGGGAAGGAAAAGCAAGGCAAGGAGTAGGAACGACACGTACGTTGGTCCATAATTCAACCCTCTGACAGACACTGCAGAAACATGTCCATCTCACCCGAGAGCTTTTAACCTGAGTTCTTTCTCAAAGCATTTCCATTGGTGGAAGGAAATTCATAAATCTGCTGTCTGGGTGATTTCTCACAGGCTGAATATAAGTTTAATGTTGAGGCCAAAATGCAAAGTTTCAAGCTGAATGAAACAGATGGTGAACTCATGGTTTCACTTGCCTCCTTTTTATATACGCTATGGGACTTTTACTTTCCATTAATCTCATTCCCAGAGTCGTGGGCTGCCCTTTGATTGGCCTGACAAATATGTACAGAATAAAAAAATGTTCATTAGTTAGATCTGAGATTGAGATGCACCAATCGACCCGGCCGCCTGGTGACTAGAACTAGATGATTTCCATCCTGTTCAGACGTGACTGGTGATTGATCTGAATCCGTGCCTATGCATCACTTCGCAAGTAATGTTAAAGATTAATGCATATTGACATTGAACCAATATAAACAAGTTTTTAAAACTCTTCAGCCCCAATTATGGTTGACAGAGGCAGTGTGGATGACAGAGGCAGAGAGGTGAGAGACAGTAAGCAATAGTCGAATAAAAGAGTCACCAGTTATCTGATGGGTGATTCATGATTTCTTCAAGAAGTCAGGAGGAAAACAGCTAATGAGAAAGATATTTACATTGTCCATTTAAGAAAAGTAAAGAAAGGAAAATGTCTCTGCTGTTGATTCTAGTTCTTTGAAGAGAGATAAATTGGAATTTGGCAGGTCAGACCCTGAAGATATCGGAAATCAAATTCTTTCTAGTTTTTGGTTGCTTCTCAAACTTTTTGCTCAGCCAGATTCAGAAAAAGTCACAGGTGTGTTTGCTTGGTTTCTGTGGTGCAGTTTGTGACTTTGTCCTTTTGGCTGCATGTCAACTGGATGTTAGTAATTCTTGTCAACTTAGGTTGTAGGTTTGATGTGGAGTCCTCTGTCTTTCAGTCTTTTTCTGCTGCCAACCCATTACTCTGTGTTGCAGAATCTTTTGGCTGACACATTGATTAATTGTCTTAAAAGGCCTTCGTATTATTGACCTTTTTCGTTCTGTTTTGGACGATATGTCTGTATATAAATGCGTTTGAACTTCAGATACCCCTTCATGCAGTTAGAATTTTTGGAGAAATTACGATTTAATTTTCTAGTTTTGAGAGGACGTGCTTCTTAATGTCTTGGACGTCCAATAATTTAGCTGGCAAAGATTAAACTCCCTGCTAAATTGGACTGGTAAGTGGAAAGTATTGCTCTAACTACCTCCCTTCATGTTCAGGATAAGGATGTTAACTCGTGCTCTTTAAGTATTTTAAAAAAAGAACTTGATGAAACTGGCTTGTTTGACAATGTTGTCACTCGTTTTAATAGCAGTGTTAACTCATGTCATAATGCCTTGGAAATGAACGCGGCTCTATCATCCAAGTTGCAGATTTGTTTCCATTGTTCCACCAAAAACAATATTTTTTGACTTAAAGGTTAAAGCGTCTTTCAGATGAATATTTGTCACCCTTAAGGCGCTGCTTCCTTTGCGAAGAAGAGGACGCTGAAATCACAGTTCAACACGTGCTAAATCACACGCTACCATTACTAACACACAGCATGACACTGTGCTATTTAACAAAAGACACCAGGTTCAAGGTATTGTATTATGGACTAATGAGAAACTGGCTTCTATGTGGTGCGGCTGATCCAAAAAACCTTTGCCAAGAGTTAGAGATGTGTTTACGTTTTAAGCTGCACACGTTTGTTCTAAAATTCTGGCCTGGGTTCTTTCTATTTCAGTGTCGCCATACAAGGCTCCCAGAAACCTCCAGACCTCAGAGCCAACCAAGACCAGTTTCAGAGTCACCTGGGATCCAGCGCCTGGAGATGTTAGGGGCTACAAAGTTACCTTTCACCCCAGTGGAAATGATGTGGACCTGGGTGAACTCCTGGTCGGTCCTTACGATAACACCATCGTTCTAGAGGAACTCAGGTAAGCTTTCTTAACTGTTTGATATTTACTTGAATTTTTTAATTTGGGACCTTACGGGGATTCCTTGTCATTTGGAGCCAGCTTCAAGTGGACACTGAAGGAACTGCAGTTATTTGCACTTCCCAATTGGCTTTCATTTTTTAACAACTGAACATGCCGCTTGGAGAGAACTTTTATCAGTATGCAAATCTTATTTCCATCTTGCATCTACCTAGAACAAACCTCAGGAGATAGCAATACATACCTTCCTAAAACAGCCAACATCAATCACTCCTATTGGCAGTAGAACAAGTCTGTAGGGACTTGGGTTGGGAACTGGAGGTGTGCATAAGATCCTGTTTGGGCATGTGTGTGTATTTCAGCCTATGTGTGTTTAGCACGACTCTATAACATCACTCAAACATTGAGTTTATCACGAACATCATTTGCACCTTGCTGAATGTTTCTCAACGTATTAGATCCAATTTTTACACAAAACAGCTTTTATTATAGTGAATAGGAATCATTCAGCCACAGCTAATGAAGTATTCCTGTTTTACCAGCTGGTATCCATAAATACACATCTGACTGTTTTTCCTAGTGCGGCAGACTCATGCTTTCTGCTCTGAGTCATTTTGTACAGCGGGAACATTTTTCAATTAGGGGTTCCTAATTTTTAAAAACAGATGAAGGAAAATTCTTCACTCTCCTTTGTTGGATTTTTATTTATTTAATTTTTTTTAGCTTTTGCAAGTTACAGACAATCCGTTAAGGGCAGGGTTGGTCATTTTCTCCAGATCAATTTTTTCCAGATGTTGGTTGAAGTTGTCTTTAGGTCCTGGCAGAAATTAATAACTCATGTTCTCTGAAAAAGGAACAAAGAAAATCCATCATCTGTATCAGTTTGTAAGTCTGTAAAAACTTTGACCAATGTCTGCCACGAGGTACCAATCTGATGAACCAATCAGACGCCTCCCTGTCTCCCTGCTTGCTCTCTACCCCTTAGCGTGCTCTAGCCCACACTCAAAGCATGAGCTGAGGTCTGCTTCTGGACCAACGGCGCTCGTGCATGTAAGTGAGGGGGCGTGGCTTATGAGGGAGCACAGAGGGGAGGGGGTGCAGACGGAGCATTGAGGGAATGCTACTTTCAAAATCATGCTAGTTTTATTAGATTACCAACCCTGCCTTTAAAAAAAGCCAAAAGCTACTTCTTCATTTGTGAACATTTTGTTTCATCCTTTAATTTTTTTCTGTCCCAGTTGAGATTGCTGAAAAACTGATGTTGTTTTCCTTTCCTCACAGGGCAGGAACAAAGTACACAGTTTCTGTGTTTGGGATGTTTGAGGGGGGAGAGAGCATGCCCCTGGCTGGAGAGGAGAATACGACCCTCATGGACAGTCCTGATCCGCCTCCTGTCGATCTCTCTGGTAAAGCCGATAACTGCTCACACACTACAACCCCACACTCGCACATGATCTACTTCAGAGCCTGCAGACCAGACACTCTCTGCTCCAAGTCGTTTCAAATGGCAGAGCGCTGACTTCCAAGTGCCAGAACCATGAATTATTAGTTGTCGAGGGGAGTTGATATCAATGTCAGTCTGGGGATCGCAGACCGCAAACTGACTGCAGCTGATTACGATTAGTTCAAATTACTTTTAACGTCTTGGCTCCGTCATCTCGCTCGTATCTCATTTGGAGTGCGATGTGCAGACTTGTGCTGAAGCCTTGACACTTACAATATTTAATCACCCATTAGCACACGTTCACCTCACATGCTGCGCAGTTATGTTTTGTAACCACCAAACAATGTGACAGCCTTTAAAGATATAGCCTCAAACATCTATCTCCCTCGCTCCAAGATGAGCTCCTATTGATCTCAGAGTCTGCTAACCAAATGTTCCTTCAGTCATGAAAAAGTCGATTTTTTCCTCCTCTTTTTTTATGTTATTCAAAGCGTGGAAAAGAAGACTCTGCTTGCAATTACAGACTTTCTTTATGATCTAGTGCATTAGCTGCGGGGATGTATGCAGTTAGGAAAATGTTATGCTTCTCATAAGACCCCGAGGACGTGCTCTGCCTGTGCAGAAAATTCCAGCTGTAATACGGAGCAGACGCGGTGACCGACTGCTCGCCCTGCACAGAACAGGCCAAGATGTTCCATCGAGCGTTCTCCTCGGCGAGCCTCATATTTTAGAGCTCACATGGACGGCTGCTTAGCAGACACTTTGTCCAGACCGTCTGACCTCCACGTGGTCTGTCGGAGCTGCTAGAACTGGTCAATCAATCAATATTTGTAAAGCGCCAATTCATAACAAGTGTTATCTGGAGACGCTTTACTAAAAGAGCATATGGGATAATATGCAGGAAGGATTTCTCCTCGCGTTCCTGTTGTCCACACTTCCTCTCTGCTGAGGTGGAGGTCGGAGCAGGACGTGCATGAAGGAGGACGTAGGGACGACACAGTCTGATGGTGCTTCATAGGTTTCAAAAACAATTATTTTAGAATTGTTCATTAAAAACTTTATTTTAGGGATGAAACGATGATGAAACGGCACCCTCAAAACGTTATTGTCCATCACATTGTGATAGAAAATGACCTTTTGTTGAGGCTCAACATGAAAACATACAAACATTCACACTAACACTCACATCAGGTCATAAATAGCTAAAAGTACCCTAAATAGGTAAAAACACATGCACAGTATTTAAAAAACATCGCTTATCTAGCCTTGTTTAGAATGCATATTGCAGTGGGAATAAAATTGTTTCTGTAAGTTTTCTACGACATTGGATTCACGTCACCACGTTTCTTATTTCTTAAAGCAATCACATTGAGGTCAGATTATCAATAAATCTGATTCTTTTTTTTATAATTCTCAAAGTTATACTAGTCATTTTGAGGTTGTGTAGCTACTAATAGTTAAACATTTGTTAAAAATGAACATAGGGATCCAAATCAAATAAAAACATTAAAAGCATAAATATGAAACATCTCTTTGAGTAAACTGAGGGTGCAGCCTTTGGTTCTGCTGTTGAAGCACGGAAAGCTTTTAAAACACAGATTTTTCAAACATTTGGCAAAACAATCTCAACTCTTCTTTTTTTTAAACCCAACCTTTCAGCTTCATCAACAGCATGAATCTCTTCAGATATCATGTAGATACATCAGCATGAGCTAAAAATATCTTTGATTTTGTTCATCGACTCAAAGAGTGTCTCTTTAAGTTTGGCTTGAAGTTGCAGCTCATCGTGCTTTCTGTTGAACGCTCTGGAAGCTTGAACCTCTTTAGATTCATTCTTTTATCGAGCTTTCAGGGTCATAAATGAATATGCTTACATCATGTAAAAGTCAGTTTAAATCCAAACGTCCAACTTAATATGTCTGAAAAACACACCAACATTTTCTCCATCTGTTAGATTTGACTTTTGATTGTTTCATTATAAGTTTTTAGATGATTTCAACGGTTACTCTGAGTGCCAAACTAACAACACGAGATAAGAAAGAGCGAATGAATCCAGAAAGAAATTCTATAAAAACAGAAGTCAGAGCTGCTGCAGGTTTCTGCAGGACACCAGTCAGAAAGTCAAAGTCAGGAGTCGTTGTCTGCAGAGTATTAGAAGCCTCTTAAAGCTGCCTCTGTTTATGACATCTGTTTTTATAAATGACCGTCACAGCGACATGAGCATGTTGTTTAACCAGCAGTGGAAACACTCAAACAGACTCGAGGCCAAGCATCCGAATCAGTTTCCTCAAAGCGTCGAGCATCTGTCTCCTGCAGTCTGCTGAATCAGAACAATAATAATCTGTGTCTCCTAACGTGTTTTCAATTGCACACAGGAACCCAGACTTTAAGCGCACTCTGCTGCATCGGCCGTGGCCTGTTGTCCTAGAGAGAAAAAAAAAAAAGGACGAGCGGCCACTTCTCTCCTCTGCAGGTGCCCTGGAGCAGGAATGTGTGCAGTAACTTTGTGAAACAGCCGGCCTCGTATATCACAGTGTCAAAGAGGCTCGGTCCTGCTGTTGGAGGGGGTGGGGGGACAGTCTCCAGAAGAAGACCACAGGGCTGATTCTCTCTGCTGGACATAACAACCAAACGACTCGCTGTGCTGGGAGACGCACAGAGAGAAAAAACGACCCTGAAGAGAGAGAGCAGATAATCCAGAAGTGACAGCTGTTACACGACATGTTCAGAGTGTGAATTATTTGTTACTGTGTAAAACATTCTGCTGTATAAACATCTTCCACTTTGTGATTGTGAGAGCTTTTTTGTTGTTGTACTTCTTCTTCTTCTTCTCCTTTCCTCCTGATGTATCTCACTATTATCTCCTCACACTGTTTCCACACGTCCTCCACAAATATTCATCTCTTAACATCTCAGACGCTCATGTTGGGAGTCTGTGCTGTTGCCAGGGTTGTGTGTCTCTCACTGTCCCGTCTCTCCTCATCGCCGCTCTCTCTGCAGAGACTCAGTGTAAGACCAAGGCCAAGGCCGACATTGTGCTGCTGGTCGACGGCTCCTGGAGTATCGGCCGCATCAACTTCAAGACCATCCGCAACTTCATCGCCAGTATGGTCAGCGTGTTCGACATCAGCCCTGACACAGTTCAGATTGGTAAATTTGAACCCTCAGTTTACTTCCTGTATGAAGTTCAGTCCCACTAAACACTGAGTAACAGCACGTGGGCTACTTTCACTTTTCATTTACAGTCCATCGTTTTCACAGTTTTTATCGACTTTGAAAACATTCAGCATGTTTTCTTTAACTTGACTGATTTTTTTATTTTTCTTGCTTTTCAATTTTCCCCCCTCACTTCCTTTTTTTCCGCAGGTCTTGCTCAGTACAGCGGAGACCCAAGGACTGAGTGGCACCTGAACACCCACCCAACCAAAGAGTCCCTGATGAAAGCAATCGAAAACCTGCCGTACAAGGGAGGCAACACCATGACAGGTGATAGGACAGCTCAAACTTTCCTAAAGACTCAATACAATGCATAGATACATAGAAATCTACAAAAGCATAATTAAGCTTCATAATTCATTCACAGTGTTTTTTTGAAAAAAGAGGCATCTGTACCAATGTCTTCAGATGATTTGATTCAAACAAGCATGGAGTCATCTTGGATAAGAACTGACTGGTGCAATCACAAACCTCTCTCTAGCACTGCACCATCGAGCTCTCTTTAGCATGTTTCAAAAGTTGCTTGTAGTCTCTGCATGCTTGCTCTCACATCTTGCAGTATTGTCTGTAAAATATCTCCATCAGTCACGTTTTCCAAATTAAAAGCAGAAAAGAGATCTGTGTGTGATCCTCTTTGGTGCGACAGATCATCAGCTCAGCGCTCTCACAGGCGTCATATTTGATCTCATGTTCAGCACCGAAAACAGAACATACAGTCAGCACTACTTTGTTCAGTCCACATCAGGAAGTAATGATCTAAGCACCAGCGTGGTACCCAAATGTTTTTACACTGAATTGTTGGGGTCCTTTGGCTTGAGAAATGTGGACGCTTTTGTTATGCAAAATGTTCAGAAATATACCGGTGTGTACTGCGATTGAAAAATAATGAATGGAATTCATAATGTCAGGTGTTTCTTGTTTTTGTTTGCAGCCCTACATGGGTTCGATTTGTATTAAAAAAGGGGTGCAGGATGGCCTAGCGGTCACACGGCCAATGTGCAGAGGCTGTAGTCCTCGTTGTCATGTCTCTCTTCAGCTGCCAAAACATTGGTAAACATTTAACAGGCTGAACTCTTTGATAAACTATTCACTCCTTGTCTTTCAGGATTGGCTCTGAACTTCATCCTGCAGAACAACTTCAGGCCTAACGGAGGGATGCGAGAGGACGCCCGGAAAATAGGCGTCCTCATCACTGACGGAAAGTCCCAGGACGAAATCATCATGAAGTCACAGAGCCTGAGGGAGAGCGGTATTGAGCTCTACGCCATCGGTGAGAGATTAAACTGTCAGCGAATGAAACCAATGTCACTATTAGAGTCTCTGTTCCCTCTGCAAAACAAGAACCTCAGTGGTATTAGGATGGTTTGAACATGTTCATATTGTGCTTGTCACTATAAATCAACATTTAGCTGCTGCAATTTCCAAAGATTCTAGATTCTTCCCCCTCCATTGGGCAGTTTACATGTCAGAACTGGAACAAGTCTTTGAAAAGAAGCTGATCAGTCTGTATCTGATGATGCACTTATTGAAAGGTTAATGCTGCACTGTATACATTTCTGTGTTAAATACACAAACTCATTTTTGATGCTTGCGTTTTTGCTCTCAGGCGTGAAGAATGCTGACGAGAACGAGTTGAGGTCCATCGCCACCGACCCCGACGAGATTCACATGTACAACGTCAACGACTTCCAGTTCCTGCTGACCATCGTCGACGACCTCACCAATAACCTGTGCAACAGTGTCAAGGGTCCAGGTAGGAGGGTTGGGGGTGGGGTGGGGGGGGCTTCATTGTGAAACCTTTTCCTCTAGTTTCAGATTTAAAAGAAAAGTTAAAGGAATACTTCACCCATTGAAACATGAATCTGTACTGACATTGGGTCATATATGTAGAAATGTGAATTACATTTTGAAGTTGGTGCCTTCTTGGCCGAGAAAAGGCTGAAAGTGTCTTTTTGGCTCATGTGGATGAAAGACACTAAATCCCAGAATGCACAGCACTGAACAGCACAGGGTATTGAAAGCTCCTCATCAATGGATTGAATGTTTCAGATTTCAACTCAACTTCAACTTTATTTGTCCCGGAAGTCCAATTGGTCAAGACAGTCAAAGACAAAAGTACAGCCAAAAAGCCAACACAGATTCTTATTGTCTCACTTTGCATACTGCGTTTCAAAGTCATGTTTCAATCAAACGGAGCTGTGCTGCTGCTTGCAGCTATAATTCCTGCTCGTTCTCTGAATACCGCTGAGTCAGATTTACACTCTTCTTGGTCGTTACTGCTAATGGAGGTCAGATGGAAAATGAATATTTCTTTTCTGGAATTTCCAAAGTGCTTTCCAGGAGTTTAAGACTAACAACCATATATTTAGAAGATCTAACCGCAGGCTTTCAGTCAGGTTTTTTCTTTTTTACAGATGCTCCAGGGCGTGAAAGTTGCTCTGCTCATCAAGTTGACATAAACCTTTAGTCGGAGGGAAGACATCAGCCAAATGACACTTCCTTTTTGCACAGCTGCTTTTAAAAGATTAAGCTTTGTGGTGGTTGAAAAGTAGAAAGGGCAGATGATGCAGTCGTTTTAATCTCATAATGAAGACGAATAAGTTTAACTCAAAAGATGAAATCCACTCACTTTGACTCAGTCTGACAGCCTCCATTAATTATTTCTGACCATCAAAGGACGTTGAAACACACATCCATCCTTCTGATGGAAACGTTGACATTGGAATTGCTTTTTTGGCTGTAAATCAGTTTTAGGAGGAAATGCAAAAAAAAAAGAAATAGGAGAACAACATGACGAGGGCAGATTTGTGGTGGCAGGGTTCACGGTGTGAAATACTCTACATGTCAGATCTCATTCCAGCTCCTCCTGCTGTTCTCCTTTTTCAGGAGGTGAAGAAGTGGAGGTACCCGAGGCACCCACCAACCTGGTGACCTCAGAGGTTACCCACCGCTCCTTCCGTGCCACCTGGACGCCACCCGGCCGCACCGTCGACATGTATAAAGTCACTTATACGGCTGTGGATGGAGGAGCCACCCAGGAGGTGAGATTCTACAATTCTACAATTCTACAGTTCTCTTAGCAGACGCTTTTATCCAAAGCGACGTACATCAGAGAGCAAGAACAACACAAACAAGGATCTAGAAAAAAGGGAACAGGGTCGTGTGTTAAGGGGCTGTATCTTCATTTCTTGGAGCGAAACACAGCGCTCTGTAGAAGAGTTTGTTTGTCTTAAGCTTGCAGTCTGAATCACTGCGAGCGCTTGAGAATAAGAGAGTCCGTTAGACATTTTTAAATAAAAGTTTCTGCAACATTTTGGGTGCAAATTTAGCCGGCTCATTTTACTACATGGCATGGAAACTTCTTCACATAAAGATCTCACATAAAGAGTTGTTTTTCTTCTCACATCTTAAACCTGGTTTAGATCTTCAGTTTGACTTTGTGAAAAGACTCAGGTAATTGGTCTGATTCAAAGAATCCAGTTATAGGGAATCTTCTTCCCAGTTCTAAAATCTTCATGTGCACCAGCTGTTAGTGCTGGAAACGATTGTGAATATCGAATAACATCTTGTTTGCTTGTTATTTCCCTTTTGGCTCAAATGAGACTTGGCTTGAACTCCAACAGATAACTTCTTTGTTTTGTTTAATTCCTGCGCCCCACCAATCAGGTGAGGTTTACTTCTTCCTGTGAGTTTGGATAATCACAGGTTGTCACTCCGGTAAAAAAGCAGAATGATTGACACTTCACTCCTCCATGTTGTTTGATATTTTGTTATAAGTGGTCCGATGTGACGAAACCTTATAAGACAGGTTCAAAACCGAAACTCAGGTCTGGTTTTTATTCTAAGCCCTCAGGGACTTAAATTCTGGATCCCAGTTACTTTGGTAAACCTGCATTAAGTTTACACTTCACCTCCTGTCGGTCCTATCGTTGGAAACCGAGCTCTGGGTCGTTTCCATCCTTTGTGCTTTTATTGGCCTGCGTGATTCAAATCAGCCTGGTCTGAAATCAAGCAGAGTTTCCACTGGATCCACTATAGACCTCACACTGGGTCGAGACGTCTCCCCATATGGCCTCGCACTCCTCTTAGACGTGTTTATATTGGACTGTAGAGAGCATAGGAACACAACAGCATTAGACGGATGATATTTACATGCCGTGTGTTTAGTGCAGCTCTCATCAACAGTGATTTACAGCCGGTGCAACAACAAGAGAGAATGGATCCTAAATAACAGAGAGAGGCCTGCTGCCAGATGATGAAACACATCTTACTGTAAAGCTGGAACATTTATCCATAAGGGAGGAATGAAATGTAACCATGAATAGACCTGAAAATGATTAAGGAGTGTCTGAATGACTTAAGATAAGTAAAAGCTTTTTAAGGGACAGCTTGGGTGGTTTTGTATGTTTTCACTTTTTTATAGCAAAAACATGTCAGAGGTGGAACAAAGCCGAAGTTTTGCAGGTCAGAAGTTGGTCTTGTTCACAGGTCACCTTTAAAGAGGACATATCCTCCCCCTTCTCCACCATTTCAAACAGTCCCCCTGTGGTCTAAATGAAACATCTGTGCTGTGCTTTGGTCAAAATATAACATGAATCAAGCACCAGAGGAGGTTTGTGACCCCCCACCATCCCCCCCCCCCCCCGCATAAAGTGTTTTTCCTTCTCTTGTTATTAATGGACCGACCCTGAGCCTCCCTTCTCCTTTCAAACGTCAGCGTTGTATAAAATAGCTCGGCAGAAAATTGCGATAAGATAAGAATTTTGTTTGTTAGATCAGATCTTGTTTGGTGAAAGTGTTTCCATATCCACTGAAACACTACAACTCTGTCTTTTACGTGAGAAGGACAAACACCTTCAAGTGGGCTGAAGAACTATCCGTGCAGTCGAGATATTTCCATCAGATCTGAGCTCATTCCTGCAGCTTTTTAAAAACGTAACCTGATTTCTGAGAATACTTGCGCACTTGAAGCCGCTTGAATGTAATCGCTAACAGACATCAATAATTCGATGGAAGGAAAGTCTTTTTCGGCAAGATAACGACCTGGAGAAGCTGCAGCCTTTTTTCTGTTTGTTTGTCATTTCCCCTCTGGGTTTAATTTTCCAGCTGAATAGAACAGGAATGTGACACTGTGGAGCAGCCAATTTGGACATCCTACACGAGGACTTTTCCCACCAGCACATGAACGCAGCACGGCAAGGTTCAGCTTAGCGCACTATAATCATCTAAAGGTGAAAAAAACGAGAACCTGGACCACCACCAACCCCTGATTGATAAATGCTGATGAAGCGATCGCCAAGACCGATCAGAGCAGCAGTTTCAGTCCAAACCTTTAACTCACAGAATGATGAGCTGATAACCTGCCTGTTTTGTGTGTTCATCTCTCGATAGGACGTTAATGCTCTTTTCTTTATTTCATCGAGTCAAATGAATGTCTGAAGAGTGGAGAAAAATATGACCTCTAAGTGAAAAGCAGCTGTGCAACACCTTCTTGATCGGTCTTGATTTAAAATCTGAAGTCCGCCCAGTCTGAGAGTCAAAATGCTGTCTATTTAGAGGCGAGACCAAAACCTTAAAAAAGTGATCCGGTCTTGAGACTCAGACCAATTTCCAGTTCTTCAATACTAGTATGAAGGAGTTTACAAGAAGAACAGAATAGGAACAAGCATAGAGCACATATTAACTCCAAAAGTAAGCGTCCACATATTAAAGCTTTAATAGAGAACAATTCTTATAAACTGTAAAAACTTTTTTAAAAAAAGAGTTTTTAAGAGGGGAATATATTGTTTCTTGAAAAACAGTTTTCCTTAATTTCAGTATTTTAAATAAGCAGAGATCTCAAAAAATGCTGACCATATAAAACCCAAATTTCCTTGTCTTGACTCGGTCTCGATCCCTAAATGTCTTGGTCTTGACTCGGTCTCGATCCCTAAATGTCTTGGTCTTGACTCGGTCTCGAGCCCTAAATGTCTTGGTCTTGACTCGGTCTCGATCCCTAAATGTCTTGGTCTTGACTCGGTCTCGATCCCTAAATGTCTCGGTCTTGACTCGGTCTCGATCCCTAAATGTCTTGGTCTTGACTGGGTCTCGATCCCTAAATGTCTTGGTCTTGACTCGGTCTCGATCCCTAAATGTCTCGGTCTTGACTCGGTCTCGATCCCTAAATGTCTTGGTCTTGACTCGGTCTCGAGCCCTAAATGTCTTGGTCTTGACTCGGTCTCGATCCCTAAGTGTCTTGGTCTTGTCTTGGTCTCGGAGCACTTTTGTTGCTGTTGTATCGATCTTTTTATTGATATTGTTTGTTATTTTTAAGAAAGGTTTTGGAGTTTAGAAATCTGGTATTGTTGGGCGCTTGTGGCCTTGTGGTGTGGTCATGTGCAGAGGCTGCAGTCCTCTGGGCGGGCTGCACAGGTTCAGGTCCAACGTGTGGCTCCTTTGCCGTGTGTCCTTCCCCTACTCTCTCTCTCTCTCTGACTTTTTTCTCCTTTATAGTCAAGAACAAAAAATGTAACCCATGGATGATTTCTGAAGAAGGTTTAATAATCTGTCTTTTATTATTTCAGCTGCTGGTCGACGGCTCAGTGACAACCACAGTCCTGGAAGGCCTGACCCCTCTGACCGAGTATGTGGTCAATGTTTACTCTGTGTATGACGAGTTGATCAGCGAGCCACTGAAGGGCACCGAGACCACCTGTAAGTCAGTCTCTTTTCTTTTCTTATAGACATCTAAAATCGAGTCCTATTTACCACATTTGAGAAGTTTCCACATAATTTTCACGAGGCATTTGTTGCCCTAAGAGGTAGTAGACATGAAGAGGATCTTTAATGGCTGTTGGCATTAAATGGATTACTCCCCCCAGTTTCCTGTTTCACACACAACGATGTTACTTGTTTCCAAATCTCATCCAGCATCTTTCTATCAACGCACATTAAGCATCTCATCTTTTAATACAAACAACGTTTCCATGTTGTAATGCTAGAAGATAATCCTGAAATAAGAGTCTCTTTGAGCCATTGAGACAAAAGTAGTTTTACATCAGGGCGGCAGCCTTTGAAAATACATCTTACATAAGCTGATAGAACTTGATAATGTGTAAAGTGCTTTTATTTGATTAGTCGTCCTTTCATCTGCGCTTTAACTGTTCTTCAATGTGCGGCGGATTTTTACAATGAGCTGTTTCCCACTGCTATGAAATAAGAGCTGATTGTCTCTTGATTGATGTTGTTGTGCTGTTGGATGGCATTAGCAGTCACTAGATCACTGTGGTTTTTTCCAAATTAACACTCAGTTTGAGCACAATTTCCTTCTATAAACGCAGTCTGCAGTCTGTTATTCAGCCTCATATTTAAAGCCTAAACGGCTCAGGCTGCAGTCTGTCTCAGAAATGAATGCTGAGTGTTCAGTAGAGTGCTGTTCAAGCCGATGCAAAACCGCAGTGTGCTCCATGAAATCAAATCAAATCAAAAAGGTAGAAACATAGAAAAAGCTTGAAAATCCATCTGCAAAATATTCTTTAAAAAGCAGAAGCCTTCATTGGACATGTGATACCAAATATTCTGCATGTCAGAAGCACTAAACTTTATGATGTCTTTGGAAAGGTCAGAGATTTTTTAAAATATGGCCTGGACGTCGCGCTCCTGTTTGTGTCATTATCCTATTTCTCTGCCAAATCCTCTCCAGAATACCAAATATATAAAACATCCTTAATGACTCACGCAGTCGGACATTTCATCCCAAGAATCTGCTATTTGTGCTCTTCGCCATCTTCAGAGACTTTCGAAAGTCATTACTTTGTAACTATTAAAACAGCCAATTTAGTATAATGATATATCACATATCACAACATATGGCCATTTGTCCTCTTAGAGCTCTTACCGTGTATATCTGTCTTCTTAGAGCTTTTGCAGTGTTTATCTGTCCTCTTAGAGCTCTTACAGTGTATATTTGTCCTCTTAGAGCTCTTACAGTGTATATTTGTCCTCTTAGAGCTCTTACCGTGTATATCTGTCCTCTTAGAGCTCTTACAGTGTATATTTGTCCTCTTAGAGCTCTTACCATGTTTATCTGTCCTCTTAGTGCCCCTGTCTGCAGCGAAGAACATGAATGTTTACGACGAGACCTCCACCACCATGAAGGTGAGATGGGGGGAGGCTGAAGGTGCCGCAGGCTACATGCTTCTGTACAGATCCATCAACGCCTCCGAGCCACAGCTGGAGATGGAGGTAATGTAACAAACCCTTCAACGTATGAGAATGTGCAGTGTTTTCTTTTAGCCTCGCAGCGACTCATGTTGAGCGATACAAGCACACTAAAGCACCAAGGACACAGGCGCTTATAATCAACACAAACTCACACATCTTAATTTTGTGCATTCCCACATTTATTTTATAAATTCGGACTTCTGCTCGTGCTGCTGACTGCTTCCAGATGGCGGTACGAGGATGTTGATGATGATCACTTAGCAGAAAAGAAAGTGGACTTCAACCAGTACGGCTCAGGCCAGGTCTACAAAATGCAGAGCCCTCAGTTATAGGAAAGATTAGCTCATGGTGTGAAGTCATCAGAGTGATATAAACAGAACAGATGCTATTCGCTTCTGTGGTGTTAATCTACATGTGCAATTATACAGCAGAGGAAAAATCTTTTATTGCACACGAGCTGGTTTTTCCTGGAAACATTTGCGAGTGGAAATGAGGACCTTAAAATGAAGTGGTGCATTGGATTATTTATCAACATTCATCATTCGACGTGAATACTGATTAACATGATAGATGAGTTTATATACAGCACAGCATGGCACACTGTGCTCGGCTGTGATGTAATGTAAATACTACACGGCCAGAAGTATGTGGACACCCAGATATCAAAATGATAGGCTTTAAAACCCAGCTTCAACAGCCTGCCCTCCTCTGGGTTTAGTCTTTCCAACAGATTTTATGACCTGGCTGCAAAGATAAGTTCACTCCATCCACATGAGCGTTGTTGCTGTGTGATCACGTCTTGTTCTTAGTCTCTGTTCCACGGGGGTTTACGTCAAGGATCCATGCAAAACCAGTCATGTTCTTTAGCTCCAAACTACTACATCATTTTCTTTAAGGGCAGAATATGCAATTTTTTTTGATCCAGCAGATGTCACCCTTGAGCACCAGCATGAAACCAAAACTACTCGCGCTGCATTGTTGTGTTAACATGCTAATGCTACCGATCTTCCACGCTGCACAGTGGAGCCAATTTGTGATTAATTAAGTTTCAAACTTGCAGAAACACGTGTGGGTTGGCTCGCAATGACATGACCTTGACATCTTGTGTATATAAGACGCACTTTAATAACTTTTTTCCCATCTTGAAAGAAAGTTGGCTGTGTCCTAGAAATGGGTACGACCAATGTACCAGTATAAAATTCTTGGTTCTGCAAGTGCAGTTGCCCCACCATCACCCTATTGCATGAGTCAATGGAAAGTTCCCCACGTTCATTGTGTATTACAAGCTGTGCTGGGATACAAAGCGATGCAGACCCAGACTGATTGTGCCACTTCTTTTCTCCGTCATGAGGTCATAATGGTACAGCGGTATACAGTTCTGTAAATACAGCTTGTTTGATTGAAAGATCCTTAATTGAAGTCAACGATTGACCAGCTGAGGTGGGGAAGCTTGGCTGTTGATCTGTACTTTAAAACTACCAACGCTCCCCCCACATCATGTTCCCTCCCTCTGTCTCCACACAGGTTCGTGTTAGTGGTGAGGTGACAAACGTCATGCTGGAGAAGCTGACACCCAACACAGCCTACGCCATCAAACTGTTCGCCCTGCACGGAGAGACTCCCAGCGAGCCTCTGGATGGAACCGGAGTCACCTGTAAGTACCTTAAACTGACCCCACACTCGACATAACTTGGGCTCTTTTTCATCTGCAGACATTTTACTGGAGTCGGTCCACCTCTGGAAAACGTCTGTCCAGCCTTAAATCAAATCAGTATGGAAACAAATGTCTTTGTATTTGTTCACTGTATTCTAGTCATAAGACACCAGATCGTACATCCTTATGTTACTTAAAGAGGGTTAAAGGAGGGAGAAGCACTTGCTTAACAGAGTCTCGCTCAGTCTTAGTTTCATGTCAGCAGTTATTTTATTAGACCATGATAACATCTCTTTGCATGCTGGAGCTCATATTTTAGATTTTGAACCAAGGCACTAAAAAACAGAATATCCAAAGCAGCAATTTAAAAACAGAGCTGCTGTCTGGTTTTCAGATATTTAGTTGGTTTTGGCTCCAACCTGTCCATCAGCATGATTCACTATCTACCCAAAAACATGTGACTGTGATGCAGGGATCGGTTCAAGTTTAAATGGACATATTTATTTCCCCCCTGTCCTCCCTCAGTGCCCAGGCCTCCCGCTGGAGTCCTGAGAATCTCGGATGTGACTCACAGCACCATGAGGCTCAACTGGGACGCTGCTCCTGGAGCGGTCCGCAAGTACATCATCAACTATAAACCAGAAGAAGGAGACCTGAAGGAGGTAAAAAAAAAAAAAATCTGAGGGTTTTGACGTTCAGAAATTAATCCAATACAGGATTACAGATTTAAAAAACACGGCCTGGGTTCTGGCTCACTTTAATGACGGACATTAAAAAGCACTGAATCCTCTCGATTCTGAAAACAATCTGACAGGTGGTTAAGTAGTCTTTCGTCCGTTAAATGAGGAAGGTTAGAAGAGAACTACAAATGTCAAAAACAGAAAGTGAATATGAAGCATCACTGGAAAATTTAGGAAAATAAGATTTGTTGATTCCAGCTCCTTACTGTTGGTCAAAAACTCTAAAGACTTCACAGGAGTTCTGAGACGCCCGATCCACATTTTTTAACGATTCAAACATATTTTTATAAGTTAAGAATTAGAGGAGGTTATCCAACATTCATCAACAGTCCAAATTGTCACATGAACAATTAAAAACGGTTTGATTTGAGCTTGCAGCGATCACCAGCCATGACTCCCTTTTAGCTCGTATCAGCTGGTCTTCCTCAGAGTCATTTATTGTTGTCATTGAATATTTTTCTAAGGTGACACAAAAGTTCCTTTTCACATTAAAACCTCACTGAAGCTTTACTCGGCAGTGATATCTCCGTTCTGTGAAAATGACCGACTGTGTGCCGAGTCGAGAGTTCCAGCCAGAGGAGCAGCTCCTTCTATGTTGGCTGATTTTTTTTTACGAGTAAAGCGGTCTGCTGGCAGCAGAGCAAAGGGTCATACCGGCACCTCTCCGCCCTCATAATTTCTCACTTGGACGTCATCGAAGGACAAACAGTGCGACATAAATCTGCAGCTGACGACACAGTCAATGAGCACATGTGTGTGACACTTCCAGAAAGTTCTGATGGATGATTCACAGAACATCAACTCCTCTTTAAGGATTACGGCTGAAGCTTTCCTGTCTCTGCAGAAGAACGTTGGATTACTGCCTGCTATATGTCCAGGTTTCTTCTTTAACGGCTGCTAACTCACTTCTCACTCTCTGCCAAGATGGAAAACTTTACAGAGGACACACGCCTCAGCCGTTTCTGTGTTTTTTTTATATATCAAAGCTGTGCTGTCATAGACCTCACAGCTCTGTCAATCTCTGCACATCTTGGAGAATTTCAGTAACATTACTTCACTAAAGACGCAGATAGACGTTTCTAAAACAAATCTGAAACTGCAGACCAAGTTAAAAGAACATGGGCACATTTAAACTGTGTAATCCTGCAGAACCTGATGCATTAACACGTTAGTCACACTTCATTAAGGATTTTAATCGCATCTTATTTTGTCCCTTCAGGCTCTCCGTAGATAGTGGTCCTCAGTGTCTCCCTGTAGTCTCAGTGATGTAAAAGAAGAACACTGCTGCATCTTTGAATGTCTCATTTCACTTTAACAAACTCTCAGACAGCTCAGCTGATGAGTCCAAAGTACTATCCCCTTATGACATCACACATTGACCTTATGACATCACACATTGACCTTTGTTACTGTTCCTTTGAGCTTTTTGACCTCACTTTGGGATCCCTAACCACTTCCTGTTTCTGTGCTTAACTTCCAGTCCTCACCTTCCATCTACAGGAAGGGGCCTTACTTTATTTCAAAATAAAAGCACACAGCAAGTAAAGTACTCTCAGCTTAAATCAGTAGAGAAATTTAAATTAAAGGCCTAAAAAAAAAAGTTTTTCAGACATGCATGCAATTAAGAATTTGATTAATCGTGATATACTATTCAGTGACTTTAAAAAATGTAATCATTTGACAGCCCTTATTTCAACGTGTTTCACTTTGAACCTAAAATACAGTTTGAAATGGAGTCATGGTCTTTAAGGTATCCAATATTAAATCTAGAACAACTCTTTTCTTTGTGCAGATTTGGGGATTTTCTAGAAACTGTGACTGTGTGTGTTTTAGAATTAAAGAATTCTTTAAATGTCAAGCAACCCACTTTACTGATAATCAAATCTGTCTCTCGCAGGCTGAAGTGGACGGTGGCACCACCACCCTGGATCTTTCCAGCCTGATCTCCCAGACTGAGTACGATGTGGCAGTCACCCCGGTCTATGACGAGGGACCTGGCACTGTGATGCTCGGAAGCGCCATCACAGGTCTGAACCATCTTCTTCTAATGTTTTTGTTCATCCAGCAAATATTTTTTTATATTCAACTTGTACACACAGTGCAACACTCAGTTTCTTTTACCGACCATGAGCTGCTTTTCTCAGAGGAAAGAGACTTCCTTTAGCTCACTGACCCCCCCCCCCTCCCTCTTGTTTCGGCCTGTGTGAACAGATGTTGTTCCTGCTCCGAAGAACCTGCAGTTCTCTGAGGTGACGCAGAGCTCGTTCAGGGCCACATGGGAACACGGAGCCCCGGATGTGGCCCTCTATCGGGTCGGCTGGACCAAGAAGGGGGAAACCAACTTCCAGTTTGTGAGTTGGCCAGTCTAGCCTGATGGCACTGAACCTTTTAAAAGTTATTTTACATGTACAGTCAAATGCAGTAAGTTAGGACAAAAAGACGTGAGCAGCTAGGATTTAAGGTCAAATCAGACAAAGGAGGAAAAGTCCTAAGACAACACATCTGCTCACTTGGCTTGTATCCATGATGTAGCCGGATTTGTTTTGTCCGACTTACATTCCTTATTTCTAATCAAAATGTGCATCTCCAGCAGCTGGACAAACAATCCAGACCAGTTCTGTCTCTTGAAATATGCAAATGAGCTTTGCTTGGACGGCACGGTCTGTCTGCAGTGACACCAAACATCTGGTCGGAGTTTCCTCTTCTAACCGGTGGTGAAGGTTTTTCTGCCTGCAGCTTTGGAGTATTTCACATCTCCACTTTAAACTGGAGCCTAGACTCAAAATGCAAAATGTAAATGTTAAGACTAGTTTTAAAACTAAATGTACACCGTCCATCGATGGGTAAAGTCACAATTATGAAAACTGGAGATGGTTTGGTTTGAATGTAAAATGAAACATGCTGTTGTGCTGTAACACTGTCAACTAATGTTTTTATTTTTATTACCAAGGAAGAAAAAAAAATGATATGACTAATCCATTGTGGCTTCACAGATTCTTTAAACTGACAAGCCTCACAAAACGTAGCTAATGTGTTTGCCAAGACTTTAAGTAAAAACATCCAGGAAAGCTGGAGCATTAATAAAGCTCTCTTTGTTTGCCTTCTTCTCATATTTGGGCTCTCCAGCGTTTCCCGCTTATATAACCCGACCAATTCACAGTTCAGCAGAAAAATCACCTCAGAGGATTAACCTGCAACAGGAAGCTTTTCACACTTCACTGTCCCCAATCAAGAACTCCACATTAAAACAAAAAATCTCAAACGCTTTACCTTCCCCAACAAAACCACAAGTTTGCAGCTTTCATTTTTCACAATTTACTGCTCATTATTTTTTTTCCAAATCGTGCCTAGAATCATCTAGTGTGTAGCCAGCTTTAGAAAGTCCTGCCAGTAAAACAAAGAATAGAAAAGACCTTTATTGTCATTGCTATAAAAACAACAAAGCTCTTGGCAGTGGCAGCACTGACAGAAACACATGAATAATAATAATTGTTAAGACACAATTAAAAGCACATCAAGAAAACATTAGTTAAAAGCACTTAAGTCTAAAAAAACTCTAAAAAACAGGAAGTACTAATTGTGTAAAGCAGCTGTCACATTCATTAAAGAGTAATGAATAATAAACTGCTGGTTCTGTGGTTTGCTTACTCTATCTCCTTCCAGAGGGGAGGGGGGAGAGGAGACAGTGTCCATGGTGGGTGGGGTCTTTTTGTTTTTAGATACAGCTGGCTCTCCTTTAGAGCCAGCCAGTTTATACGTCACTGAGGGCTGGTACTGAGGGTTAAGTCCCAATCACCAGCTCTGATCCGCCCTCACCACCAGCTGTAGGTCCATCCTGTCCTCTGCTGTGCAGCTGCTGAACCACACAGTGCAGCTGTAGACCGGGAGGCTTTCGACGGCGACCCGATAAAAGTTGATCAAAGAACCCCTCCAAGGGGAATTACAATTATTGTTAACACACCTGTCCTCCATCACCAGGCCATCCTGAATAGCGATGAGACCTCCCACGTTCTGCCAAACTTGGACCCAGACACTGAGTACGGGGTCACCGTCACAGCCATCTACCCTGACGAGTCAGAGAGTGAGGACCTGATGGGAAGCGAGCGTACATGTAAGCAGACCACCAGCTTCTGAGTAAAAAAAAAACAAACAAACACATTTACCACTCACAGATGTTTCTCTAAATATTAACTTTGTTGTTTTCTCAACGTCTCTTTCTAGTGTTGACCTCTGCAGAGGGTATGTCTAATGAGAAGGACAGGTTCTTTCTCTTTGTAAGGATTATGTGTTGAATGACTGTGGACCATACAGGACAGTGTTGGTGAAAGAACACTGTTTCTTTAACTGCATGTGTGTGCAATTTAGTGCTTCACTCTGCGCTCACACCACAAGCTACTTTAGAGCTCTTCAGCTAGGTTAGCTACAAGCTACTTTAGAGCTCTTTAGCTACGTCAGCTACTTTAGAATTCTTACCTACGTCAGCTACAAGCTTCATCAGAGCTCTTCAGCTACAAGCTACTTTAGAGCTCTTCAGCTACGTCAGCTGCAAGCTACTTCAGAACTCTTATCTGCGTTAGCTACAAGCTACTTCAGAACTCTTATCTGCGTTAGCTACAAGCTACTTCAGAACTCTTCTGCTACGTCAGCTACAAGCTACTTCAGAGCTCTTAAAAACAAGTTTTTATAGCCACATGTTCATAACAGTACAAACAATGTTCATAGAGTTAGTGTTTGTGCAGCTGTGGTGTGAATGTAGATTCAAAGCCTTAAATTCAGAGTGTGAACGTTAAGGTGTAACAAGTCATCGTCCACGCGTCCATGAGAATCCATCATCATCCTCCATCATTCACCATTTTGTCTTGAAACATTTCTGTTGTCACGGTGTCATTTGTGTCACATTATCATGTCATTTTATCACCTCATCATCATGTCATCCTCCATCAGTGCTCACCTGAGTCATCTCGTTTTTGCTGTTGCATGTTGTTGCTTCATTGTACAATGTTTCTGCTGGAGGGTTGGAGGTCATTCAATTAGGTGAAAAGGAACGATACCTTTAAAGATTTTATATTTTATATTAACACATATTAGTACATTTCTGTTCATATCCGTAGAATGGTTTTGTTTTTTGTTTTCTGAATATTTCAAACGCTGAAGGGATTTTTTTATTTATTTAACAGCCCAATTAGATCATTTTAAGTAGCAAAAAAAAAAAAGCGGTCCAGTTATCTTTAATGAACATATCTGAGTTAGAAGTCACCGAACTCCAACCCTGCACTGACCAGCTTTAATGACTACCATGCTGCTTCCATCAGAAAAAAATACCGTCCTAGTTTTTTGACCTTCGGGATTGTGGGAGCATAACCATCACCATCCTCACCATCATCATCGCTAATAAAAACAAATCGCAACATCCAGATTAATCCTCCGATTATTTACTGGATATTATTTGTGTGCTCTCAGTGCTTCCCGAGCCTCCTCGTAACTTGAGGGTTTTCAACGCCACCATCTCCTCGCTGACAGTGAAATGGGACGCAGCCCCCGGCCCTGTCCAGAACTACCAGATCACTTACAAATCCCTGGTTGGAGGCGAGCCTCTCAGGGTAAGTTCACTCCTCATTTTATAGTATTTAACAAAGTAACGGGCATATCTTAGGTTGGAATACAGTGCTGTCATCAGCATACAACATTAAGTTCATGTGTTGGTTTTACACATGATTTTTAAAGAAGTATTCAGTCAGTGTTTATTAGTTTATTTAATCTCTTACTTTTGATTTTGCAGCAAAAAGAGCTCTTTCACTTTGGGCCTATGGTTTTTTATTCTGGTGCATAAACATGGACGTGAACTTTAGGCTGTTATTTTTGTTAAAGAAAGAATGTGTGACATTTTCCACATAAATATATCATAAATCAAGTATATCCTGTCCTGTGTAAATGTGTCTCTGAGTCCTGACTGTCTACAATGAGGGAGAAGCTCGAGTCCCGCTGGCTGTGTTGTTGTCAGAGCCGTGTTTACATGGACGGGACGGCCGGCTCCTCCCCTTGTGTATAAAAGCTGTTTTAGGCAAGGACTAGAGAGAAGAAGAAGAACATACTCACTGATTATTTGGATGTCACCTAAGTGTTTTTAGATCACGCTCATTCTGTGTCAGTTTTCATGCAATGTGAAGCTAAGAGCTAACTAAAGAGCGCTAACATTAGCATGCTAACACAACAATGCAGCTCTTATAGTGACTGTGGGCATCGGGCCCAGGTGTTCTCAGTTTTGCTGAGAGCAGAGAAGGTGCAACTTAGCAGGCCACAGGGCCGTCACATCACATATCCTAGCCATGAAGTTTTAGGTAGTTTGAACCAAAGAGCCGGAGTAACATAATACGATGTCTTCACACGAAACTCTTGGCTCTTTGTTTTATCAGGAGACAAAGTTTGGAGCTGCTCCACGGACGCTGAACAAAGCAGTAACTTCAGAGCTATTTAATATGTTTACTTTAGTTTTTATGACCAAACTGTCCACGGTCCTTTAACTGTTGAGGTTTACCAGAAAACAAGTCCCGCTCTCCCTTTACAGCAAAGCTGAGAACACTCTGCGTGTCCTCTGCGTGTCCAGGATTTAAGCAACAATGAGACAGAATTCCTCTTTCGGGTGGATTTTCCTGAAAGCGGTCTAACAAATGGAGGTTTTGTTCCACTGTGGTCCTGTCTGACCAGAGGGAACATCTCCAGCGAGCTGCAGCCACTCGATGACAAATCACTGAATATCTCAATGTGATGGAGAGCTTTGAATCTGTCACAAGAGTTCACTGTATGACTCCCAGAGCGCATTTAGAAACACATCAACCAAGAACAGACTGATATGATGGGAAGTTTTCTGTCCTCTGGAGAAACACTTTCAGGATCTCTTTAATGAAACACAGACATCAGACTCTGCAGGGAGGGAAACCAGAAGGAAAATGCTGTGTCATCTTTATTCATTATTATAAAACAGATCATTTAAAGGATCAGGAGCTAGGAAATTCGTCAAATATCGGGGCCTTTATACTTCGATTTATACAAAAAAAAAGTCCTTATATTAAACTTTCACAAAGAAGAACACAAGAACATGCTATTGATTTATAGAGCTGGTTTGGATAAATGTGTTTTGCCTTCTATCTAAAAGGTTTTGCTCAAAAGTCAAATCCCATTTTTTTACCTGAATTGATTGATTGGAATTTGAAAATCATTATCAACCATCTGTCTCATGATTTATACTGATGAAGATCATGGGTGGTTTTGTAGGAATTTAAAATGCTTCTCCTTGCAGAAATGCGTGTGAATGTTAAAAGCTGAAATGCAAAAAAAAAAGAGAAAAAGGTTCCTTAAAGGTGTAGGTATGGTCGGCTAACCTGACCATGCTGAAAATGATGAAGTTGAAACTAAAGATGATGAAGATGAAGCTGAAGGAGATGGTGAATAAGTTGCTGAAATGGTGAAGGAGCTGCTGAAAATGCTGGATTAAAGTTATACTTGATATGATGATGATGATGAAGACATATTGCTGAAGAAGATGGAGTTGTTGAAATGATGAGAAGAGTGCTGAAAAGTGTGATAAAATGTTTGATATTGTGAACAAAATGATGAAGAAGTAGTTGAAAGTCAAGATGCAGGAAAGTGCAGAAGAAGCTGATAATAAAGCTAAAGATGGTGCTGAAAATGCTGCATTGAAATCATGATGAAGAAGAGTAGATATGGCTGAAGATGAGGAAGTTCTTGTAAATGATTTCTTGTAAATAAAAGAGGGCGCTGAAAATACTGAAGATGGTGCTGAAAAGTGACAAAAAAAACGCCTACTATTTTATGTAAAAGATGAAGATGATGGAGAAGGTTCTGAAAAAGCTCAAGATGGTGCTGAATCGTCATTCCCACAAAAACGATCTGTTGCCAAAGTGTGTCATCTGCTTCATGACAGCATCCCCGAGCCTGACGGTGTCATCAGACGAGTCCTCCGTTTGGCCTCCTCACATTCCTCCTCAGTGACTCAACAGTGATCAGAGCTGGAAATAACTTTGAAACTTTGAAAGGAAACTATGGGCAATATGAAAAGAATCTCAGTGAGTTACACATTTTTATTGTGTCTCTGAGATGTTATGACAGAGCTCCCCCAAACAAAGAGTCAGCGTCCAATCATGATGTCAGTGGTCTCTGATCCCCTCGCTGCGTCAGATGTGTTACCCTAAAGACTCGCAGCATCTGGTGTCCTGTTGTCTCCTGCGGGCTTGTTGACTTTAACATCCGTCATATGAAACCAGACGGGATGTTTGTTTATGCAGGATGAGCTCAGGGTCTCGTCACTCTGCTGAAAAATGAAGAAAAAACTGTCAAAAGCAACTCGTGGGGAATTGTGCAGATATGATGGGAAAAAAAGACGGAAAACTACTGTTTTTAAAGGGGGAGGGGGAGTAATGTCCTAGACTGATGCTATGTAATATATTATTAAATCTAATAAAATATAACAAGCTGAGAAGAATGATGGCTCTACATTGAGGTGGTCTGTCTTTAACTATTTGTGGAATAAATCAAGCAGGACACCCACTGAGGTAATAATGAAGAGTCCCAGTGAGAGTCCAATCATGACCAATCACGATGACACACTGAGAGCGTTTTAGTCTCTTTAACTTCCTGTTAGGCCGTCCTATGGGGCGAGCAAGAGCCCACAGTTTGACCCAATAAATCTACACAAAACACCTCAACAAAGAAGAAATCAAGAGTTTTTAATAAAGCACTTCAATATGTAAATAGTTAACAAAAGTCAACAAAGGACTAAATCATCAAGACACTCAGTTCCTAACTGAGAAGCACTGCAACCCCAACTCTACAAGGCCATCAGTAGCTTCACCTGGGCAGAGCTGGAGACAGCAGAAGGGGAGAATTCAGGATTTAAACAGCACAGGGAACAGCAGCCATGACACTCCCACTCAGCAACCAGGACGTTTGTTCCTTCTACTGTTTGACTTTAAAAAACTACTGAGAAATGATGGAAGATAGAGAGTGCTTGAGCAAATTTAAACCATAAATAGGCTTTTGACCTCTGAAACTGTAGGATTGCTAACTGCAAAAAATACAAAATATTCTATATTGTTATCCAAAAACTTGAAATACAATACGTTTTGGGTTTTGGATTTTGGATTTCCATGGTAGAGGATGTGGCTCGGTGCTTTCTCACTCCATGTTCTATTGTTTACGGTGAGAAGGCAGACTCAGAGGGCAGAACAAACACCTAGCTGTGGGAGTGTCACCCACCTGGGGGAGGGGCTACTGCCCTTTGTGATGTCATAAAGGGAAAATCTCCAAACGGCCTGTTTGAGCACACATTTTCTGAAAAGTGGAGCAGGGAGAAGACAGAGAGGATGGACTTTTCTCATCATTAGGGGATTTGTAGACAGACTAGAGACACATATTATTGTTAGAGGAACATGGGGAAATGGATTTTGTATGTGACCTTTAATTCTCATATGAGACAATGAGAAAGTAACTGTTATGTGTACATTTGTCACAGCCAGATTTTGTTTTTTGACTTTGGCACTTTCAGTGTTTTATTAAACTTGCCAGAAAACATTTGAAACTTGGTTGTTAAAGCTGAATTGTTTCCGCGTCACAGGCTCAGGTGGGAGGGAAGAAGACCAGCCACATCCTGCAGAAGCTGGACCCTGACACTCAGTACTCCGTCAGCGTGGCCGCCATGTACCCGACAGGCTTCAGCAAAGACATCTCTGGAGAAGGACAAACCAGTAAGAGACGGACATCACAGGAACACAGTTTGAAAAGTTTACTGCTAGCTTGTTCATTTTGAGGAAGATGTAAAGTAATACCCTCGACTTCATCCTCCTCAAACTGTATATCTGCTCCCTCAGAGCCTCTGGGTGGCGTCAGGAACCTGCAGGTGCTGAACCCCACCATGACCACCCTGAACGTGCGCTGGGAGCCGGCTGAGGGCCGAGTGAAGGAGTACAAGGTCCTCTACGCTCCTGCTGCTGGAGGAGCTGAAAGCATGGTAGGACTGGTAGGGAAAACACCATCTGCTGCCTGTCAGCTGGCACTCTCTGCCGTGTTATTCACTGTGTGTGTGTTTCAACACGTCTGTCGCTTTAAATCAGTCAAATAGCTGAAGAATTCAGCCGTGACTGTTGTGTCTTCTCACCGGTGACATAATCCTCATGCCTCTGCACCTCACCCTCATTTTTCAGTCTGATAATTGTTTCGAGCTTCTTTGGAATTTGAGATGAGTCATGCATGTTCAGAAGCTGACAGTAATTCCATTTTCAGGAGATATTTGAAGACCGTTTTCATTTGGCAAAGAGTCTGCAGGCTTGCCCTTTCATAACCTGAGTCTGCTACTGATGGAGAATAACTGGACTGGAGCGTTCAATTAAAGTCTTCTGCATGGCTCAAAGGCAGCAGTGAAAGCTGATGATGCTGCTTCTTTAACCACACAAACGACTTTGCATCATTTCCATTCCCAGCATGCTTGTTTCTCCTTGTGTCTCCTGTCTTGAGTTGTGGCAGCAGCTCATCTATCTGATATTTTGTTGAATCAGGAAACGGTGACCGCAGGAACAACCAACACCATGCTGCGAGGCCTGCAGCCCGACACCCTCTACACCGTGTCTCTGGTGCCCGTTTACGCTGCAGGAGACGGAAAGACCATGTCTGAAAATGGAAGGACAAGTAAGACTTGGCAACACTCAACATTTTAGTGCTTTTAGATGCATCATTTCAACTAAGCGCTAAACGGCTTGTTCTGCAAATCAGGACAAAGATCCCCGAGATGAAATCAAGAAACGGCTTCAAGCCTCTACGTAAGACGTTGATACCTCTTTACATAGACTCTCTTCTCCCAGCACTGGAGAGCAGCCCTCCCCTGGCAGCCCTGCAGCGTTCTGCCCTCCCCAGGAAGTTCCTCCAGACAACTGGCCAATGAGAAGAAAGTGGGCACAGGGGAGGGGGGGGGGCTTAAAGAGACAGCAGTTGAATTTAACTGTTTCAGACAGAGGCTGAAATGAGGGTTTTAATTTACAGGCGCCATTATCAGAATTAAAAATAAAATAAAATATATTTGAAGAAGATAATTAAGGTGTTTTTTTGAGCTGCAAATAATGCAAAGATGCTCTTTAGGTTTTACAGACTGACAAAATGAAAGATGAACATGAGGAGACTATGGGGTCTTTAAATTGTGCGACTAACTCTGAGATCCTCTCGTCTGTAGGGCCGCTGGGAGGAGTGAAGAACCTGGTGGTGACGGACCCCACCATGACTTCTCTGGCTGTGAACTGGGAACCTGCTGATGGAGCCGTTCGCCTGTACAAGGTGTTCTATGTACCTGTGACCGGCGGCCTGGAGGAGATGGTGAGACCCCAAGAAGAGACACTGATAAAGAAGCTGGTTAAGAAGAGAGCAGACTGACTGATGGTTTTTTTTTTTGTATCTACAGGAACAAGTCCCCACTGGCACCACCTCCATCATCCTCAGGAACTTAATGCCCGACACGCCGTATACTGTGTCGGTGTTACCAGTCTACCCAGCAAGGGAGGGAAAACGCCAGTCAGAGAACGGGAAGACATGTAAGTCACTGTTGGGCTTCAAATGTTATTTGAGACAAAATGTGAAATTAATTTAGATTAATAACAAGAATCATTTTCCTGCTCGCAGTGCCTCTGGCAGGAATTGGCAACATGAAGGTGACCAAACCAACCATCACCACTCTCACCGTCACCTGGAATCCAGCTGATGGGAATGTTCAGGGCTACAAAGTCATCTACGTCCCTACCGATGGAGGGATGGAGATTGTGGTGAGTTCTTCTTCTTCCATTGTTAATGAGTCGTGGGGTGGCGGTAGCTCAGTGGGTAGAGTCGGTTGTCTTGGTAAAGCAACCTTTTACAGAACAAGGTCACAAAGTGCTTCACAAAATAATACCATGAGTTATAACAACATTTAAAAGAATCATACAAGATGAACAGAAAAAACAACATTTTAGAAAATCACATCACATAACGTCCAGATTGAATCTTGTCAGAAGCCGATTTGAAAGGAGAGCCTTCAGCATCAGTAGAATCTGCAGAACGTCTGAGAATAGGAAGAGATTTCCTGAGTGTCGGAGCTACAAGTTCAAAGGCATGACCACCTTTAGTTTTCAATAAGACTCGAGGGACAACAAGTAGACCCTGGTCAGAAAACCTGAGGGGTATAAACAGAGGATTCTTCTCGTGTAAACGTGAATGTGCTGCCTGCTGCTGCTAACGCTCTCTACTTCTTGAAAACATTTTAAAAAATGACGCTAGCTCTCAGAAAAAAACGCTCAGTGGACACAGGGCCTTAAATGTTTAAAGGCTTTATCTGTGATTTTTCACACTTAAATATAAATCAAGTATATCCTCTGAAAATAACTCTGTGAGTCATGACTGTCTACAATGGGTGTAACACCCGAGTCCCACTGTCTGTGATGCTTTCAGAGTTTTCAGAGTCCTATCTTCAGTTTGTTTACATCGCCGGGACGGACGGCTGACTCCTCCCCTCGTGTATAAAAGTTGTTTAATTGAGGGACTAGAGAAAAGAAGAATAACATACTGTACTCACTGCTTAACTGTGTTTCTAGATCACGCTCATTTCAGGTAAATTTACATGCAGTGTGAAGATACCAGCATAATAAAGATCGCTAGCATTAGCATGCTAACACAACAATGCAGCGCGAGTTGTTTTGGTTTCATGCTGGTGCTCAAGGGCGACATCTGCTGGATCAAAAATTGCATATAAAGCCTTTAAACGAGCAGTTATTAACTAATGAAAAATACAAACTAACTCAAAAAGAACATTTAGCCGACAAGTTCTAAACTGTTATATCATCATTTGACAAGTTTACATCTTTTAATCCAGACAGTTTGATTTGAGACACAGTGCTGACTTTTGTGTAAGGTCTGAGTAAAGACCAGTATCTTCTCCAGTTGTTTCAGACTTGACAGCAGTTGGATTTTTACTGCTGGATGACTTTAAATCTGATCTGGAAAATGTTCAAGTATGAAATATTTTGGCACCGATCGTCTGCGTCGAGCCTCTTGGGTGTTTTTAAACTCGATTGAGAAAATTAGATTCTGGGGAAATCTTTCAACGCTTGCTGTTAAAACAAGAGGCAACATTACGATTATAAACTCAGAAGAAAATAAAATGCTGGCTGGAAAATACCCTCCATTCTGAAAAGTTATTTTTACAGCAACAAAACTGTCAGACGTTGTTTGACTCGTCGGCATTTAAAGAAACAAGCGATCAAAGCCTTCAGCGGGGATTTATTGATGTCATGCTCTTTGACGGTGTAATCCCATCACGCAGCTGTCACACACCTGCACTTAAACTCTTTATCAACAGAGCATCCCTCATCACTGCATGACATTTCTGTAGGGTGTATATCTCTGGACCTTGAACAGAATAAGTGGGTTTAAATCCGGCCGTCAGCACTCATTTAGACCGAAGTGCCGCAATATATCCGCTCACGACACAGCTGACTGAAAAAGGTTCATGTCAGTTTAGAAACAGTTTATTTGTCTCCGTCCGGTCCATGACACAACTTTTACCCGCCCATTAGTCTGTCAAAGTACATTTTTACAGAAACATCTCTGAGCTCCTCTGCCAGAGGAATTTGAATGCTGTTCATGTCGTCTCGTTTGATGCTTCGTCCGTTAAGAATGAAAAAGTGTGCACGCCCTGAAAAAAAACCTGGAATGATTTCAGTTAGTGTGTTTGAGTTGTAGTTTAAAAAAGTCTCACAAATTCTAAAAAAGAAGTTCTGAAAGGAAAGGCTCAGACAACATCTTAAACAAACAGCCGAAATGAGTTTCCTCTGAAGTGCTCAGCATTAGGACGCCCACCCGTTGGAGGTTTTTTTGGCACGTCCAACTGGGAGGAGACCCCGGGGTAGACCCAGAGTTCGCTGGAGGTAACTCCTCAGAATCCTCTGGAGGATCTGTAACACGCTGCTGGGGAGAGGGACATTCTGCGACCCGACCTCGGTTAAACGGAAGACAAATCACAGCACATAAACAGCCTGAAGACATTTGTTCAAGTTTAAGAACAACAATCATTTAGTGAAATCAAGTGATGTTTAGTGTAAACTCTGGATCCTTGAGGGGGGATCACAGGGCTGTCGGCTGTTTATCAGCGTCTTGGTAAAGTGGGACGTTGAGCTCACCTCGTGTTGTCTTTGCAGGAGCAAGTGTCAGAGAGCACCACCACAACCGTCCTGGAGAAGCTACTACCAAACACCCGCTACACCGTCACTGTGGTCCCCGTGTACGCTGAGGGAGACGGACCCAGTCTCACCGACAATGGGAAGACAAGTGAGTATCTGAGGTCTATTTATTGAGTTTTTCAAATTTGAGAGGAAACAAACACTAAGAACAATACTGAAAATAAACTGAACAAAAAACCCACCCCAACCTAACAGATGCTGCAAATAATGTATACACAGAAATGTTGAGGCCTGTTTTTGAGAACACCTGCGCCGGTTGTAAATTTCGACCTCATTTCTCCAATTTTGCTATGACTTCTTCTCGTCAAATGGTTTTGGAACTTTGTAATTTCCAGCGGCCGTCCTCTGCTACCAGTGTTAGTTCAATAACCACAATGAAGACTGTGCATGATACATAAACAAACGCTGTAAGACAGAGCACTAAATGCCGGTAGCCTAGCGGTTAGCGCGTGAGCCCAAAGTTCAGAGCCTTCGTCCCTCGAGAGTGAGCAGTTTTAGGTTCTCTGAAGATTACTTTTTGATTTCCTGAGATCACATGTTGACAGTGGAGAACTTAAAGATGAGTATTTGGGTCACACCTGAGTTCAGCCCTCCAGATCAGTGTCATGACGTTCAGTATAGATTCATTAGTGGAACAGTCTGTGTGAAACCTCGAGTGATGTACAGTCTCCAGTTTGATTGATATCAGGAACTTCCAGATTGGAAGAGTTTTCTAGATGTCGTCTTCAACATGTGAAGTAATCAGAGGAAATGACCTTTAGTTTTCTCCTGGTCCGAGGTTGATTATGTTCTTATCTTGAGATTGCTATGCTTGTTTTCTTTAGTATGAATAATCCACGTTTTGAGCTTCTTGAGATAAATGCATTAAAAAAAAAAAATTAATGGCAAGCCCCAGAGTTCTGCCTCATTTGGTTTTAGACCCCGGTAACTACTCTGGCTTCAGATCACATTCTGCGGTTGATTAATGACTTCTGCTGGGAGCTGTTTGATCGACAGGACCAGAAAATCGCTTCCCCACGGTCCAACAAATCCATGATTGCATCAATCTTAAGAGAGAGCAGAGTAAAAGTGATTTCTGAATGATTGGACCTGGAGGAGAAGTGAACAACTGAACATCTATTTTCTCGCTGTCCAACATCTGAACAAACGGCCCCCCGGACGCCAGTAACCTCTTGACTAGACAGAGCAGCTGTGTGAATCTGCGGTCCAGGCAGTAAATTTATCTTCCTGTTTCAGGGCCGCTGGGCTTTGTGAAGAACCTGCAGGTGACCGATCCCACCACCAGCACCCTGAACGTCCGCTGGGAGCCCGCCGAGGGTAATGTGCGCGAGTACATCGTGATCTGGGTGCCCGCTGCTGGAGGAGAACAGGAAGTGGTAAGCCTTGTTACATCACAGAGTTTTAAAACATTTTCTTAATGAAAGTTTATATTTACTGACAGCTATGAAACACTCCATGGCAGAGGAGTAGGCAGAACTCTGCCAGGCTCCAGATGTTGGGATTTCACCAGAAGCCTCTTCATGCTTCATTAGTATCTTTGTTTTTGCGACCGCCTGAAATGTGAACTGGAGATGTTTGTTTTAATTCAAACCACCTTAAAACTGAAAGTTCAGCCACCGCAAAAGTCAAAATGATTGTTCAGTGGCTGTAAGTAGAGAAGAAAGTACTTCACTTCATTCTCCTCTTTCCACTTTGTTTCTGACTTTATTTGATGTTGAAAAAGTCAAACTGCATCTGTTTGCATCTGTTTTCTTGTGTGTGTGGTTTCTTGCATCACGTCCATAAACTTCTTCAGTCTGGGAGTATTTCACTCTGGAAACTGTAAAGAAAAGGATTGACTGCAAGATTTTTAAAACAGACCTTTTCTTATCATGGGAGCACCTCGGTAATGTGCGAGACTTTGAAGAGAAGGCGTGTCTTTTAAAATCACACATGCAGCCCATATCCCTCCCCTTGAAGCCTTTTCCCCAACATTTTCATACTCGGTCAAAACTCCTCAAAAGACTGCTGAAGTTTCTGCATGTGTGAACGCAAACAAGCAGAATCTTTCTCTCTGACTTCAGCCGCTGTTTCTCCTCCAGCCTCCTCGTATTTATTCTGCAGAAAGTCAGAGTGAGCTGATATGAGAACTCAGCAGGATATAATCACCTGGAGCCAGTGGGAGGGGCCAGTGGGAGGGGGTGGTGATGTTTCAGTACTGACTGTCTGCACGCCACCTCTACCATCTCCGTGCTCTAATCAACCTGCTGCTGCATGTTTCCTGTTCTCCAGGATGTTCTTCTCCTCTCTTTAGTTCACTTTGAGATTCTCTTCAACTACACGCAGCACTGATAATAACACACATATTCTCATTATAGAGTCTTATAGCCACTTCAACATTGTTCCTTTAAGGTCATGTCTTGCCTCAGGAGACCCCCCCCCCCCCTGTCTGACAGGGATAGTCTCCCGCTGTGAGGTGCATGTGTGAACCACAACATCAGGAGGATTTAAGGGGGCGGTCCTCTTGACATTCTCTAGAAATAATAATCAGGAGTGCATGTGTGAAAACAGCTTTGGACCAGAGCTGAATTAGAGCGAGACAGAGCAGGAGATAAGGGGATAATAAAACGTTTTTTTTTTTTTTTTTTTTTAAAACATCTGTTGTGCTTCATACCAAATTCTTCTTCTTGGAGGAGGTTGTTTTGTAGATAGAAGAACGAGACACACAGCCATTTATTTACAATATCAGAAGTGTAGATTCATGATGATATATGAGCGGTCAGTGTTTGTCTCAGTTTGTCCCAACATGTACATCATTTCTTTTTGGATTCCGTCTAGTTGGAAGGGAAAAGTTTTGTCCTAATTCTTCGTTTTTGGCCTCACATTCAGCCGTGGAGCGCTGCCCGTGGTGTGAGATGGTGAAACTTTGCTTTTAAAGCAGTTTCATGCAAGACATGTTTTCCTTTTCCGATCCTGGAAAAAGAACCTGATCGTCAAGTTATCTGCAGATGAAAACCTCTGGATAACGAAGCTGTCTTTAAAAATCTACATCCACTAACTATCTAATGGGAAACATGTCCCAGTGATGTGTGCTGGTTTTACATTTCTCCTGTTTTCTATAAAGCAGTGACAATATCTTCAGGGGGTCACTTTCATGATCATTCAGTTCAAGAAATGTCGTGAAGTGGGGATCATTTGTTTGGAAAACAACTGAAGTTATCTCATTTTTTTGGCAGATTTTTGTGGAACTTATTAGATTAAGGTTTGATATTTGCAGAGAAAGGCTCGAAGCAGTGCATGCAGAAGGAAAGGCTACTCCACTTCTTTGCTGCCAGTTATGTGGTTAGCGTTGAAGGTCTGGACTGTCCCAGGACGGCTGTTGAAGTGGGAAGCTTTCTGCTTTAATCCGACTTTATCTCCGTGCTTTCTACTGTTCCTGTGACTGAGCTGCACATGGACAGTTACTGACTGAAGCTGCAGCCAAGAAAACTGGGCTCGCAAAACATTTAACTGTAACATCGTTCAGGCCGAGAGCCTCTCTGCGTCTGCCAAACTCTGCCAAGTGTTTTTTTTTTTCTTTATAACGTCTTTTTGGAGAGTTCTCCAGATCCTAAAGTTCAACCCGTTCAAAGCTGTTTCTCTTCTCCTCCTTCTTCTTGCAGGACCAGGTGTCCGGGACCACCACCTCCACCGTCCTGAAGAACCTGGAGCCGAACACCGAGTACACCGTTAGCCTCGTGCCCGTCTACCACGAGATGGAGGGCAAATCTCAGTCTGCAAACGGGAAGACGAGTGAGTTCACATGAGGCCGTTGAGTGATTGGTGGATTAAGGACGTGGCCTTAAGATGAGCCAGAGCTCGTTTCACTCGATGTGTTTTTCTTGTGAGGTTGGAAAAAAGAAATTGAAAAATGTCAAAACTTTACGCTTCCACATGGTCCTGAAAAACTCTCCGCAGCTAAACAAGAGCTATTCCAACACTATAAACTATTTAAATACCAGTGAAACAAGACAATCACCCAAATATATATATATATATATTATTTTTATTTTTATTTTTTATTTAGGAAAAGCATTCTTCACACATTAGTAATTACACATATTAGCAGAATAATTGCAAGACTCCTCCCTCAAACTTTCAAACATTGGAGCACTTTCTTTGCAGAAAGATGGGGGGTACGACGCTCGCAGTATATTTAACAATTTAGCTCTTCCAAAGATTTTTTCATAAGTAACATGTAAGTACAGTAAGTAACAGTAAGTAACATGACATTAATTAAATAGAAATTATTTACAAAAGCGCACAGGAAGCCTTCACCTTGGAGGGGTAGAGAAAGAAAATAAGAAAATGAAATACAGAGCAGGTTAACGGATAAAAGAAAATGACAAAAATGAGGAAATAACACTCATGTACTCCAATAAGTCAAATAAAGGTCTTATAGGTTTGACATATTCAGTCCATTTGGTCCATATCCTGTAGAATCTATCCTTCTGAATCATCCAAATATTTATATATAAAGTGTAAAATCTGAGTGTCTGTAACTGCTTCTCTGCTCAGATCCGTTCGGTGGCGTGAAGAACCTGCAGGTTGTCGACCCGACCATCAGCACCCTGACAGCCCGCTGGGATCCAGCCGTGGGAAATGTTCGCAGCTACAAGGTCTTCTACGCAGCTGAACCAGGAGGCGAAGAGCGGATGGTAGGAACGCTTTTTATTGGACTGTCTCTGGCGGTTAGAGTCAGGGTTTTTATTTCCTGTCAGCAGCTTTGAAAGGTTCCAATATCTCTTCATCTGTTTTTTCTTAAAATAAAAGACATCCTCACTTTTATCACTATGAGCTCGTTTCATGCTGACGGAGGTTTTGATATATTCCCTGAACAGGAGGAGGTTTCAGGAGGCACCACCAGCACCATCCTCAGGAACCTGGAGACGGACACCGTCTACAATGTGGCTGTTGTTCCGGTTTACCCAGACGTGCAGGGCATTCGACAGGCAGAGAAGGGAAAGACAAGTGAGTGACCCAGCGTATTATTAAAGAGGACATGTTATCCCCCCTCCTCCACCTTTTCAAACAGTCCCCTCCTCCACCTTTTCAAACAGTCCCCTCCTCCACCTTTTCAAACAGTCCCCTCCTCCACCTTTTCAAACAGTCCCCTCCTCCACCTTTTCAAACAGTCCCCTCCTCCACCTTTTCAAACAGTCCCCTCCTCCACCTTTTCAAACAGTCCTCCTCCACCTTTTCAAACAGTCCCCTCCTCCACCTTTTCAAACAGTCCCCTCCTCCACCTTTTCAAACAGTCCCCTCCTCCACCTTTTCAAACAGTCCCCCTCCTCCACCTTTTCAAACAGTCCCCTCCTCCACCTTTTCAAACAGTCCCCTCCTCCACCTTTTCAAACAGTCCCCTCCTCCACCTTTTCAAACAGTCCCCTCCTCCACCTTTTCAAACAGTCCTCCTCCACCTTTTCAAACAGTCTCCTCCTCCACCTTTTCAAACAGTCTCCTCCTCCACCTTTTCAAACAGTCCCCCAGTGGTCTAAATGAAACATCTGTGCTGTGCTTTGGTCAAAATATAACATGAATCAAGCACCAGAGGAGGTTTGTGACCCTGTATAAACCAGCTCTCTCAGAACGCTCCGTTTTGGTGTGTGTGTCTCTTTAAATGTAATGACCCCCCCCGAGTTTTCCCTGTAGACATCACTCCTCTGTAGAGAGAATAAAAATGGAGGACCTGCACTAAAGTTTTGTTCTAGGCTGGGGGAGGAGTCCATGTGTGGAGATACCAGGGGAGGGGAGGGGATTTTCTTTATACCAGAATCCCACTGTGACATCACAAGGAGAGCACATTTGAAACAGAGCATTTTTCTCTGTGTTGTAAGACTTATGCAGACCACAAACAAAGGACTGGATGGGTTTATTTCACATGTTGTGGGTCAGTAGACTCTCAGGTTACACAGATATATGTTCAGAAACACTGTAGAAGATTTTTCATGATATGTCCCCTTTAACTCATGAGGTGTGAAGTGTTTCACATAAACAGAAAAAAACAGCTATAACTGGGAGCAGGTCTAAGCCTGAGCCAGCCCTGACTATAAGCTTTATCAAAAAGGAAAGTTTAAAACCTACTCCGGACCCTGACTGGTCGTGAACAGGGTGACCCATTCCGATACAAGACCATTAAAGACACAGTCAGTGTCATCTTAACTTCATTTAGGAACATTTTAGTTTTTGATTCACATCTTTAGGACGTTAAAAAACACAATGAAGGACCTTTGTGAAGCAGAGCGATGTCAGCACGGAGGGGCGGCATGGGGCCTAAACAGCATTAAAGTTGGGACTGGAAGAGTCCTTGGGCGCATGTTGATTTTATTATTTGATTATTCCTCGCTCTTCGCTTCAAATGATGCCTGAGAGGAAAGTTTCGTGTCATTGAGTCTGTTGATTACTCCATTTTCTTTTCCTCACGTCGCTCTCTCTCTTGCTGTCGGTGACGGAGACTCAGATGTAAGCGGGGGTGGGGGGGGGGTAGATGCAGTTTTTGGAGGAGTGGAAATGTGCCCATGATTCAATGTCCCGAAGTTAAATATCTTTATTCCCTGGTGTGTTAAAAGCTGTGTGGACCTGGATCAAACTTCCAAACATTTTCCAAAAGATGTTAAACATTTTCAGATCACAGTAATGATTTGATGATCTCTCCCCGTTGGTGCATTCAAGGACAATCCGACATCTGAAGAACGGTTGTTTTATGGCTACTATAAAACCCCATTAATGTCCACGGCCCTGATGTTTGTGATTTATTTATTTATTGCATTTTTGTCTTCATTCTGTTTTTTATTGTAACTCAACCGACTTAAAAGGCACAGATGAGATGAACAGATAGAAATAATTCAAAACAAAACAAAACAGCAGAGATGCTATTAATCTAGCATTGTTTCAGACACAACAAGTAAAGCCCATCTCTTTATAAACATTCTCCATTCTTATCCAAAACAAGAGAGTCTATTTTTCCAGCTTTCTTTGAGGAGAGAGCAAACAGGAAGATCTGGAACAGAGAAAAAAATCTCTGCAGACAGACCCGAACTTAGCAAGGTGCACCGTACCTGCAGCCTCTAAAGATCCCATCTGCAAACCCCCCAATGATGAGAAAAGTCCATCCTCTCCGTCTTTCACAAAGGGCAGTAGCTCCTCCCCCAGGTGGGTGACACTCCCACAGCTAGGTGTTTGTTCTGCCCTCTGAGTCTGCCTTCTCACTGTAAACAACAGGACATGGAGCGAGAAAGACCGAGTACACACAAGCCCTTCCAGAGAGGGGGCGTGGTCAGACACAGCTCATTTACATATTTAAAGGTACAGACACAGAAACAGCCTGTTCTGAGCAGGGCTGAAATAGCAGTGGGAGTGTCACCCACCTTGGGGGAGGGGTTACTGCCCTTTGTCATAAACCATCATGGAAATGTTGACTGATGTATTCCTGACAGCACGGCTGCTACTTATTATTGTAATCTTTCCAGCAGCTGACTTGTGGTTTGTTCTTCATTCCACCAATGCCACAGTACAACAACACACCTTCTGGAAAAAAAAATGTTCCTCCTCGAGTTCTGAATTCAATCAAATCCACAGTCTGCCTGGGAGATAGGGAGTGTGCTGCATTAAATCACTTTGTTCTAAATCAACTAAAACAAACCAGAAAACCAACCAGTTTGATCCGTAAAGATGCAGAACGAGAACACAGACCCCTCGTTTATAGAGCTCACAATAATGAACATAATGAATGCCACAACTTCCCCGTCTCTGCACACATGTGGACACCCTGATGTGGTTTGTTCTGCACCTCCTCAGGACAAAACAAACGCATAGGATTATCTGCTGCAGTCCAGTGTTCAGAGACATTCTTTTGAGTAAATAAAGAACTTCCTGATAGGGATGTTTTTGCATCACTGAAGTCCAGAAATGTTAGATACTCCTCTTTGATTGACAACCTCCCCGATGTTCAGACATCTGGAGCTGTCGGGGTTTGAATCCTGTGCTCCAAACAAACAGTGAGGGTTATCTCTCTGGTGTCTCTTTCAGAGCCTCTGGGTGGAGTGAAGAATCTGCAGGTGAGCGACCCCACCACCAACTCCCTCAGGGTTCGCTGGGAGCCGGCCGAGGGCGACGTCAGGCAGTACCAGATCATCTACGTTCCCACAGGCGGAGGAGCTGAGAGCGTGGTAGGTTCTCTATCCGGAGGTTAAAAAAGCTCGAGCAACGTGTTGCTGTGAGTGTTACTGGAGCTTTTTGACCTCTTCAAGCCTTTCACTCTTCATGCACCCTGAGAGTTAGTGAAGATGTTCCAGAATATCCCACTCTGCTTCCTTCAGGTTTTCTATCCAGCTCCCCCACTAACATAAAATGAGGGATTTGGACTTTGTAATGGTCTTATGTGGAGACCAGAATCACTTTGTATCCTCCTTTAAAAGAAAGGGTAACATTAAGAATTAAACTTGAGTATCCTGGATTTAATCAGATTTTTTAAGTAACCCCTTTTTTGTGTTTGTGCATTTAACATCCTGATTTCAAAAACTGGGACGAACCTTAATCCTGATTTAAGAAACCCGATTTTGCTACAGGTGTCACTAGTTTGCAACACTGGTTAGATTAGCTAAAATTTACAGCAAAGTTTTTATACGGTTTTGTTTGCTAGTGTTTTCTTGCTTCAAGAGCCGACAACGTGCGACCTAGATTAAAAAGCAAAATAGTGAAAAGTGAAAAGTGTCAAGTTAATTCATCCAGATTCCCTCAGAGCTAATCTGTCTGATAAACTAGCTCGCTGACTGTTGGTAAAAAAACATAATCAGCAAATTAACAAAGGGACCAACATCAAATCCATGAGTTAATAAGACATGAATCCTGTGGGGAGAGGGTGTCTGGATCCAGAGAAACTAAATAATCTTAGAGATCTCAAAATCCTGTAAGAAGCTGTTTCATAGCTTTCTTAGCAGATTGAACAAGAAGTCTTCACTCGCTCAGTAAAATAATGATTTTTCTCTTTTTTTTATTTTCCATCCTCAACAGACTCAGGTTTCAGGAATGTCCACCAACACGGTGCTGAGAGAACTGAAGCCGGACACCGAGTACTCGGTGACGCTGGTGCCCATCTACGCCGACGTGGAGGGAAAACGCTCGACTGAGAACGGAAAGACAAGTGAGTTCGGTCGAGGCAGAGACACGAACACCACGTCCTGATCCATGTCTGTGTGACTGCAGATAATCCACCTTCCAACTTTAACAATCAGTGTGTGAGCGCTCTTAGACTTTGGGACATTTCCTTAATGGTGTTGAAAGAAGCGTTTGGGACTGAAGAGAAGCTAAGAAGCTAACTCTAAGATACTTTCTATTACACTCAAATAGTAAATATTAACGCAGCCCATAGGATACTGATGTTTCATAATTTGTATCTGTTAGAAGTTTAGATAATTAAGAAAAGTACTTTGAAGGTCACCTGATGTCACAAAACAGAGCCGTTGATTCTCCCTGAAGTCGTCAAAGAGAGTCTGGTGTTTCTGCCGCTCTGACTCGACGGTAACTCCAACAGGAAATGGACATATCATGTAACGTCTCGGTGTTGTGTTGTCAGAGGCGCTCGGAGGAGTGAAGAACCTGCAGGTCACTGAACCCACCACCAGCTCCCTGAAGGTGCGCTGGGAGCCGGCGGAGGGCAACGTCCGCCAGTATCGCATCTTCTACGTCCCCGCAGCGGGAGGAGCCGAGGACATGGTGAGACATCATCGACTTCATCCCCCCACCCCCCGTTGTGTCCAATGTCCAATCAGCAGCCTCTCATCAACAGAAGCCATTGACACTGGGATTTGTAGTTTCCACCCAAAACAATAAAAACTTTGATCCAACACTTCCTGTTCACAACCAGCTCTTTTTATAAATGACAGAAAGAAAGAAATGAAAACCTAAAGATCGACGTACTGATCGTTCTTTACTTCTGTTAATCGTTGTGACCACAGGAGCAGGTGTCCGGCGGCACCACCAACACCGTCCTGAGGAGCCTGCTGTCAGACACTCCCTACACCGTCACCGTGGTTCCAGTGTACCCCGAGGGAGAAGGTCAGCGCCAGGCCGACAAAGGAAAGACACGTAAGTGGTCAGACCTTAGTGTACATGTGAGACAGCAGAACGACAGCACGCCTTGTTTTTCTGCTCAGTGTGAAGAGCAGTGATTATACAACAAACATCTGCTTTTATTAAAAGAACCTTTGGAAACACAGAACATTAAATAAATCTAGTCCTGTGGAGGGAAAAGGCATTCAGTCCAAGAAATAAAATAATCCTCTCCTTTGAAGCCAGCTCTCTGCTGAGAGTGAAACACGAGATGCGCTCCATTAGTGCGGGGCATAAATTCAACATTTGTTTTAGTTTGTCCAAATATGTTTTCATGTGCACTTAATTCTTCACATCCATCACGTCCTCAAAGGCTCCTGTTAGCCCCCTTCAGTCATCGTTATTCAAACTTTTGAGTCTTTTTTGAAGCTCCTATGGTGAGAGTGTCACTCTGCATCTTTTGCTTTTGTTAGATAATTTACGCTCTGGCTCATTTTTTACTAATAAGTACAACAAGAGTTTTGGAATTGCGCCGATAATTGGAACGTAATCATTGTGACAACCTATGTCAGATCAAATTAGCTCCACTAAAAGTTGTTGTTCTTGGGGCGCTGGTGGCGCAGTGGTGCAGTGGTTAGTGCGTGCACCCCATGAATGGAGGCCCAGGTTTGAGTCCAGCCTGTGGCTCCTTTCCTGCACGTCATACCACTCTCTCTCTCCCTCATTTCCAACTCTATCCACTGTCCTATCTCTCCATTAAAGGCACAAAAAGCCCCAAAAATTAATCTTTAAAAAAGTTGTTCTTGTCACTGACAGGCTCAGGGTGTTAATCTGAGTGTGTGACAATATTACAGAAAGGATCCCTGCAGAGACAGAACTTTTTTTTTTTTTTTTTACTATAAGATGCGATACGGTACGATAAGACACGACAGGATATTACACACTTTATCGTTCCCTTTGGGGAAATTAGTCTTGGACTCAAAGTGTTGCAAACATTCAGCTGCCTCCACAGACGAGTCAATAAATAAAAACAACAGAAAGAAACAGAATCCACATGTAGAGAGAAAAACACAAACCAGTGCAGAACTAAAACAGAGCAGTGACAGTGTGTCTCTGCATCAACTGTATGAAAGGATCAGAAGTGAACCCTGATAGCACTCACCTGGACTTAACTTACCCATCATGCTCAGGCTCACAAACATCTTTATAGAGAAGCAGAATCTCTCAGCATCAGTCAGAGAGGCTGAAGAGTTAACACAGAAGTTTTAGACTGAAGTAAATCAAACCAGAAGAAGAAGAAGAAGGAGACTCTGTCTGCTCTGAGCTGCTGGTTGCGGTTTGACGTCCCGCTGTGTTTGCTGGTTTTGTTTCAGCACAGACGGCGGGCCCTGCTGAATCAGCAGAAATGCACCCCGGGTTGTTTTTTTTTATTGCCAAAGACCGCTCCAGCAAAGAGTTAGACAATAAATAAAATACTCTCGTCTGGCTCGGAGGACTCATTGATCGGTCGTCCAGATGTAACAGGATGCACAAATAAACGTTTGAAATTAAAGCTTCATATTCACATTACATTAATAAGAGTCCTGGGCCATGAGTGTTTGTCTGCACCCTTTTTGAGCTTGAATTATTTTTCTATTTTTAGATTTTCATCATAGACTGTATGACTCTGACAAAATGTGTTCAGCGTCTCATGAATCGGCTGCTTCCAGCGGTGAACCATTACCGTCTTGTCCGCCGTGACTTACTGCTCCCTCATTGTGAGTCAGTCCAGTCGACTAATATGAGCCCGTGTTTGACGTTAATGATCTTTTTATTACCAGTAACTCAATCCAGTTTTGACTGTTTCCATCCCAGGAGGAATTTGTCACATTTTCATCTGGACAAAAAACAAAAACAAAGTTTGAGTCCAACAATCTCAAAAGCTGCTATAAAACGATTAATAAGACAAAATTAGATAAAGGTGATGTAATCTCTCTGAAGGTAATTTTGTCCTTGGATGATAGAATTGAAACATCCTGAGAGAGGCCGTCTTCTGTCCTCTGAAGGATTTAAATGATTAAGGTATAATGAGGTTATACAACATCAGGGAGAAGCTTTTTCACTCTGGAGCTTTTTTTTTCTTAATTTGGAGAGCAGGCTCGGCTTACGTCTACCTACCTACTGCATCTAGCTTTGTTTTATTGGGTAAAGCTCCAAATACCAAGGGGATCAGCACATCTGCTTCGGTTTAAAAGGGAAGTTAAGGGCTTTTTGCATAAACCGAAATCTGTGCTACTTCTCCCTGCACATAGACACCATAAAATGACACAGGAGACTCAGCGTCTGATTCCAACCTCTAATTTCTACTGTGATGCATGTCGTCCTTGCTCTCCAAGGAAAATTATTCCTCCATATTAAATGTTGTTGAAAGACAGAAAGAAACTGTGCGACTGCTCCAACAAAAAAAAAAGCAGCTTGTTTTCATTTGAAGATTCTCCAAAACAGAGCAGACGTTTTAGAGAAGTATTGATGGATCCCCAAAAAAAGGTCATCTGAGGTGAGGACCTTTTTTTGTAAATGATTAAAAGACATTTTATTTATTGTTCTGTCACATGGATGGTACTAAAAGAGCGACACAGCTGCACATAAAGCAACTGTTGTAGAGTTTGCTGAATCATGGCATGCAATCAAAACAGTTTAAATCTTTCTCCTCTGTGGGAGACCCTCAAAGACATTTTTAAGGTGCTTGAATTCACAAATCCATCAGCGTTCTTTTTCTTTCTCGGTCCTGAAATCGGATGTACTTCAGACAAAGCTGAAGTAAAAGAAAGTCTGCACCCCTCCCCTCACTTCACTTTCTCTTGACCTCTGTGACCCCCTGCAGTCCCACGCACGCCACCCAAGAACATCCAGGTGTACAACCCCACCCCCAACAGCCTGAACGTTCGCTGGGAGCCCGCCTCAGGCCAGGTTCAGCAGTACCGGGTGGCTTACTCCTCCCTGACTGGAGCCAGACCCAGCGGGACGGTGAGTAACTCTCTAGCAGGCTGTTAAAACACAAACTGTCATTATGGGTTAGTATTTCCCCTGGAGGGGCGGGTCGAGGTGTTTACCTTCAGAGACGGCTGTCTGTACTCACAAAGGAGGGATTACAGCTACAGATGTAAAGATAACAGAGGAACGATCTGTGGCATGTTCATTTAACCTGCTATAAAACTCTGATTCATTTTTTCCCACTGTGGAGAAACAAGGGCTTCATGTGAACACTTGTTGGAGACGACTGTGATTATTTTGGAATAAATGGGATGTCATCTCGTCCCTCTGATGTTTGTTTAGTTTTGTTTGTTTTAAGATAAAGACGATATCAGGGCGGCAGGATTAACCTTTTTCATTACTGAATGATCCATTGATTATTATTTTGATTACTTGAATGTTGATTTTATCTTCAGATTAAATCCCAAAGGTCCAACAAATGGAACAGCAGGGCTAATTTTAACCTTTTTAGGAGTGTTTATGTTTCACCCTCATATTTTACTGCAGTCTAAATTCTAAACATCATAGAGAGCTGTCTCCCCCCCCCTCACTCAGGTCACCATGTGGTGGACTCTGAAGCTTCAGTGTTTATCCAGCTCTGCATGGGTCTGTAAACCTTTCTGTGTTCTAACCTCTCTCCATTTTTCAAAAGCATCTCCAATATTGATCCTAGTTTGAGCACGTTTCTGCTCGTGGAGCTTATTAGAAACATGCAGAGGCTTTTTAGGTCGGGTACAATCACTTCTATCTGAACCACTTCTCTTGACCGCTTCCATCACTGCAACACCTGTTGACCTGATAACTGCTCTCACATCTGACAAACCGAGGGGTGTCCAAAACGGGCCGTGTGGGGGGGGGGTCTTAAAAGCGCCTACCTTCTCTGGTCCAAACAAATCCAGAGCATTCAGGAGCAGAATCTAAAGTTAGAAGGAGGACATACTGGCTGCTGCATTGTTGTCAGAGAAGCCAGCACTTCAACATAGCATGTTTCCTTGATGATCAGATAGTAAGATACCTTTATCATCTCACTCTCTACACAGCTCACTGATTGGTCCTTTAGATTTAAATGTATATTCACAGAAGTAAAACAACTCTTCAGTTATAACACACAAAAAAAGTGATTCCTTCATAAAGTAAGAGAGCCGCTCCGCTTCAGGAAATGCCTGCATGACGACGACTCCCATTTGATGTAATTAATTGTGTTTTAAAAGCACAATTACCGAATCCATCGGCCTCCTTTTTGGAATTGACTTGAAGGGATTTGACTCCGGGCCAGCAGGCGCACACATATGTGCTTCCAGTTGTTGGATGTCAACATGATCGTCACTGAAGAACCTGTTTCATGATCTGCTGTGCCAGAGCGCGAGTCCAAAACGCTGAGAGATATTTGCTTTAACTAAAACAAAATCTCTAGATGAGGTCTGTACTGGAGTTCAAACAGAAAAAGGTTTTTTTCCCATGATGTCATTGGACCCAATTTTTTAATGGCCTACAAAACAGGCTTGAAAGCGGGGGAGAGATGCCGTGATAATCCCAGTGACAAGAGACGCTCTGCAGCCATTTATGTCGTCAGGGCAGCGTGTCTGAACCTGCTCTGAGTCACTGACAGACCCTCACTCTCCTCTCTGCAGAAAACTGTTTATCCATCTGTCTGCTCGCTGATTGAAGGATTTGTTTGGCATCTAACCTCCCAGGACTTTTGTTAGTGTTTCATGAGAACTCTGGCAGCGGAAAGCTGAAGGAGATAACTGGATGTGTGATGAGCAGTGAGGTCATTATGTACATTACCTCTGCCAGATGTTTAAGTCATACATGAGGAGAAGACCCCCCCCCCGCCGGCGTTGTCATGATGTAATGATGATGATGATATATATTTCAGGTCATGGTTCCGGGAACTATTACCAACGCCTTCCTGGACAACCTGATCCCAGACACCCCCTACTCGGTCTCTGTGAAGGCTCTGTACGCCGATGGGGAGGGGTCGCCAATCAAAAGCAACGGCAAAACACGTAAGTGCACCAAACAGCCGTCCGACACGCTGACACTGTGTACAAGAGTCTAAACTCACGCTGACTTGTTGTTTACGTCTACATGGGAGTCAGATGCATGGATGCGTTACAGCCTCTTGGCTGCAGCGCAACATGTATCCGTCTCAATAAGCGAGGTCATCGTCGGTGTCAACATGTGTTTGTGAACACAGTTTCTGTCAACAGATGACGTTAGCTTAGCATGAGTCAATGATCCAGCGCTGCTTTCCAAGTGTGATTAATATTCATGAAAGAAAAAGCTTCTACTGTAAACAGTCAGTGCCAGAGAAGAAAAAGAAGAAGAAGAAGAAGTCTGCTACTCAAAAACTAAAGGAACAATGATTGTAGCGTCATCAGTTATGAGGCTGTGAGCCGAGCACGTTATCCGCTGGCTGTTTATAAAAAGAGCTGAAGTACCTCACAGGTAACTTTCCTTTGAAGACATTCAATCCAAATCAATTTTCTCTGTAGAAACACTTTTTATTAAACATTTTGAAACTTGGTTTGAAGCAACAATGGGTAACTTTTTCCACCTTAAGGGCAGGGTTGGTGATTTTCTAAAACTAGCATGATTTAGAAAGTAGCATTCCCTCAGTGCTTCGTCTGCACCCCCTCCTCCCCTCTGTGCTCCCTCTAAAGCCACGCCCCCTCACTTACATGCACGAGCTGAACTCAGCTCATGCTTTGAGTGTGAGCTAGAGCACATAAGAGGTAGAGAGCGAGCAGGGAGACAGGGAGGCGTCTGATTGGTTCATCAGATTGGTACCTCGTGGCAGACATTGGTCGAAGTTTTTACAGACTTACAAACTGATACAGATGATGGATTTTCTTTTGATCTAATAGCACAACAGCTTTCACCTGGGAGAATTACGTCCCTCTCATGTCCACAGCGCTTGGTTTCACTCAGCAGCCTTCAGTTAAGATTTGCACACAATCCAGTCATATAACTTTCACCTCGTCTTTGACAGCTTAGCCATCCTCTGTTGGTCTACAAACGCATGTTGTGTGGGAGCGGGAGGCGCCAACAGCAGTATGTTTCTTATGACAGTGCAGTGGCACTCAGAGACCTTCGGTGGGCGCCAAAGCCCACCAAACCAAATTCCTACATACTGTTGCTGTAATGTGGCGTTTATGTAACTTTGCCTTGAGAAGTGTTTTAACCCAACAGATCTGTGTGTTTGATTCAACTTAATAAAAGATCTAATCAGGTCATGAAAACATCCTGCTCTGTGCATGGTGCTGTTTTAATACCCCCTTATATCGACTTTGAACAAACGCAAACAGATGTGTAGAATTTTAAGTAGCATTAGCTGGCATGCTCACTATGACAGCTGGCTCATTAAAATCAAAGAAATGTATCCGTTCCCTTTGACCAAAATCAGAGAACGTTTATGTTGGGTTCAATGGTGACCCAGATCACTCTGATCTGAGGCCGCACTAAAGATAACTCGTTGGGTTATCAGGATAACTTCTCCTGATGTACATTACAACCAAAGTTTGTCCATTTGAAAAGGTTTGTATTTGTTTTTTTTTTCTTCTTGCAGTGCCCCGTGGCGGTCCCAGGAACATGCGTGTGTTTGACGCCACCACCAGCACCCTCACCCTCGGCTGGGACCACGCAGAGGGTCCTGTGAGGCAGTACAAGATCGCCTACGCCCCGCTGACCGGAGACCCCATCACTGAGTTTGTAAGAAAACTTCAAAAGGAGCTAAACCTTCATTTATTAACGCAGTGATATATCTGTTCTTCTCACCAGTTTAGAGTTAAAACAGGGAATCTCCAGATTTCTTAAAAACCTCAAGTTACAAATGAAAATGCTTCAGATTCCCAAATCTCCAGCTGCCTTTCAGATATCGAGGTTTTTGTTCCTCATACACTTTCACTCTGCGTGATGTAGCAAACAAAGTATGCAGTGAAGTCACGGCCCAGGATTCCCTCGACTCATTCACGTTATAAATCATCGATTATAGAGACTCATTACAGGTTCTGTAAAACAAACACCATTATTTGGGCCATAACCGTTATTAATAGTCCTGAGGAGGGTGTGGACGCCGCAGCAGCTGTGCCCCCGCCCCACACCTCCCCTCGTTAGCTTAGCGCCTGCCCTGCATGAGTCAGCTAACTGCTGATAGGACGTCTGCAGAGAAAACTTAACCGTTTATAAATTCCCCCAATTATTATAATTCAGCATCTGTAAGTAATGGAGCAGATTTTGTGTTTGTACACAGAATCCACAAAGTCGATCGAGCTGCAATGATCTGCTTCATGTCAGCGGCTAAACGACCTTCATGCTTATGAAAGATTACGCAGCTGAAGGAATGGAGAACTAATTTTTCAGGCTTGGATGCTGAAACTGTGGAAATGCACATATTTCAACATTTAAAAAACAAATCCCTTTAGTCTTTTTAAACTGTCAGCCCCCAAAATCAAAAGCCAATTGAAAAAAAAAAAGGTTTTTAGTCAGTCCTTAAATTGGACAGAAAGTTCCTGTCAGGACGTAAAAACACACTCTGACACTCTGTATGGTTTTGGATCTTCAGGCCACGGTTCCAGGAAACAGAAACAACGCCCGGCTGCAGAATCTGCTCCCTGACACGCCGTACAACATCACCGTGGAGGCCGTGTACGCCGAGGGCCCCGGAGGGTCTCTCAACGGAAACGGACGTACAGGTGAGGCAGCCGGAGATTTAAAAAAAGCTGTTTCAGAAGGTTTGACAGGAAGAGGAGAAGCTGTGCAGTATGAGCATGAACAGAAGGAAACCTGGTTAAAACATGATCAACCTGGGTGAAAGAAAAGTGAATCTACGCTGGTTGCTAAAGATTCAGGTCTGATATTTTTAATTTTTGGATGAGCTCCTGGTACACACACCTTTAGATTGAAGTATTTTAGTGACAGCTTTTTTTTAAAAAAGAAGGTTTCTCTGAATCCTCCACATGCTGCGATCTTTGATCTCTAAAACACTTCCTGCTAATCTGTCTGCAGCTTTAACAGCAACACAAAGATGACTCCATAGTTTGTTTTGTTTTTTTAACAATATTTTTATTGAAATTTTTACACATATAACTGAACTACAATGAACACATGCACACAAATACAAGACCTACATAAACATTCCAAAATAAATAATATAAACACGAATAAAAAACACTTAAATAAAATAAAATACAAGTAAATAATAAAGAAACACAAGCACTCAACACACAGCGATCTGAAAAGGATCATGTGCTCTGATGACAAAGAAACTCCAGTAAAGGGTTCCACATATTTCCAAAGATGACTCCATAGTTTAAAAAAAAAGTTTGATTTGATGCTTTTGGGATCTCTCAGCTGGACGTAGACTGTCGACTCTATTTTTTTTTTAGGCATCACACTGTAAAAAGTTCAAACTTCAGTCAGCGGTACGTGAGAACCTCCAGTCTGTGGTTTGTGCTGCTGCTTTGTTTGAACTCGCTCACGCTGAGCTTCCTGCTGCTGATGTAACAAGGAAACACTCAGACGGCTCCACAGAGAGAGACGAGTCTGCATGAGAAAATAAATACAGACGATAAACCGCCAACATGTGTTAGCTTCACGAGTTCAAAGTGCAGAAATCTGTCGAGCGCTAAAGCGACTCTTCACAGGTCAGCAGGAGATGAAGTGATACTAAAGAAAGTGTACGAGATGCTTGATGTGAGAATAAATGTTTCCCAAATTTGACCTTTTAATGAGAAAGTTCTTCAAATGTAGCTTTTCATGCAGCCTGCAGGGAGAGACTGTTGTTGTTGTTGTTGTTGTTGTTGTTGTTGTTGTTGACTTATCGTCTCTTCTCTCTGTCGCAGTCGGCCTGTTGAGTCCCAGAAACCTTCGAGTCTCAGACGAGTGGTACACCCGCTTCAGAGTGGCCTGGGACGCCGTGCCGGCTCCCGTCCAGGGGTACAGACTGATCTACTCTCCTGCAGGTGAGACGAGGCGACACACACACACACACACACACACACACACACACACACACACACACACTTTATGAACATCTACATACATCATTAAGTGGGAAGTTTTCAACCTTTAATTCTTCAGAATATAAAGTGGGCGTTTACAAAAAGCTTCCAGACAGCGATGTGGTCTCGACTGTTCGTTTCTTGTTCCTCGACTGTGAGCGAGCAGGTTGAAAGCGTTTCATTGCTGTCCCTTTCTTTCTTTGTCTTTGTGTCGTCAGGCTCTCAACAACCCCCCGTAGATTTCTTTGTGGGCGACGTGACCTCTTACACTCTGCACAACCTGCTGCCTGGAACCACCTACGACCTTAAAGTGGTCGCTCAGTACACCGGAGGCATGAGCGGACAGCTGCCTGGACAGGGAACAACACGTATGTACACGTTAGCTCATTAACCCCCCCCCCCCCGCCCCCTTTGGTAGACTTTCTAAAAGTCTGAAACAGAAACACAACGCCTCATTAGAAGCTGACAATCGGACCTGAAACCTGGACGCAACATGTCTTAACACAAACAGAGTCCCAGTTACTCCGGGCTACATGTCCACAGATTCACAGTGTTGGCAGTGAAGATATTTAAACCTCTGAAACCACCTGCCTGATGTTACTCTGGACTTATAACTCAGGATTCAAAGATTTCTTATGAGTGAAACTTTTGCAGTGCCAGAAGCCTTTCCCTTATCGAGCCTCGACTGAAAGACACCAGTTTGTAAAATATCATGAAACATTTCAGGTCCAGGAGTGAAAGAGTATAGATGCAACATTTTCTCTGAACTAGATTTGACAGGAGAGTTAAAAACAGAAAGCTGACAGTGAATTTTCTGTCCTCTGCAGTCTACCTGAACGTCACCAACATCGAGACCTACGACGTCGGCCACGACAAGTTCTGCATCAAATGGAATCCTCACAGGGCGGCGACATCCTACCGCATCAAACTCAACCCCGCGGACCGTAAGTCTCAGTCTCAGTACCCCAAAGAACCGACTCTTTGAGTGAACAAACTTTCACCATGACATCGAGTCAAACTTTATTTGAAGCAGCTTCTGCAGGGTTCCCACGCGTCCTGGGAAACCTGGAAAATGGGAGAAAAAGTCAAATTTCCTGAAAAATTATTCAAACTCTCCTACAGGGTTGGACATTTGAACCAGCCACAGGTTAATAAAAGTAGAGATTTATGACACAACAATTTGTCATCACTTTTAAGCATTAAGAGATAATGTCATAGACTAGCTTAGTCCATAGACTGCTCGTCTTTCAGTAGAACATATTAGTGTATGGCACAATGAAGGACTGTCATACCAGCCTGGAAAAGAGTGGGATCCCTGGTTTGGCTGTTTTACTTGATAAAAAAGCTTTTAAAAGGTCGATGACCTTTTGTTTGACTTTGTTTTAAATGTTCCCAGTGAAACTTTGGGTCAGCTGTCTGTACTAAACCAGATGGAATAGATGCTTCAGACTTGTGTGTGCACCTGATCCTCTGGTCCTCCTGTGTCCTCAGGTCTTGATCACAGGGGTCTAAATTGTGCTGATGCATTGCTGTGATACTTTCAAAACGACTCCGAGCAGATGTTTGAAATGTTTACTTCCAGATGAGCTCATCATGCGGTTTATCTTCAGACCCTGAAAGCGTCCGATCACCGATCTCTAATTGTGTCTCTGTCTGCAAAGATTACATCCTCTTCAGTTACTGCAGAGTCCCATCTGGTTCTCATTCACACATGGACACGAGTGAGGAAGAAGAGCATCCACATTTGAATATCTATATGGTAGTCATTAGACATTCAGTCTGCCAGAACAAATATGGATCTTTTGCTAGCGTGAGACAGATGGTGGGTTAACCACAAGCAGAGGATCAGAAATCATGAGAGTGCATGGCCGTGAAAAGGCAGCAGACGGTGCTCATAAGTCAACACAGCAGACAAATGTTTGGTCTCGAATGGAAACGCGAAACAGCGGCCGGAGACGGTGGTGAGATGAGTGAGTGGAAAAATCCTCCACATTTCATGGAAACACTGGTCAGAAGAAGAACACGTGGCTGCCAGTCTTCTGAGAGTCCTCTAACATCAGGCTGAAATGATTAATGACATCAGTCAGGAGAAAATCAGGGCCACTGTTTGGAACCTTTTATTAAACTTGTTGATATTACAGAGTATGACATCATCAAGCTGCTCCTTTTGTTCATCAGCGCTCAGAGATTTTCATGAAGTCGTCATCATGAACATGCTTCCTCTGTTTGTTCTTAATAGAATATAAAGTATAAATAATAATCATTAGTCACTGTGCGGTCATGGACAGATTTAAACTTTCCAGTGGAAGTATCTGTTGTTTGGATCGCACTTTAAAGAGACGTCAACAAAGATGAGCAAACAGAAAAACTAAGAACCTCAAATTTGAAAGCCTTAAAAAAAGAAAAAATACATTTTTCCATCAGGACTTTGGATTGAAATGAACAAAACTTAAGTCTCATTTTCTCTCAAGACGCTAGTGACAGTCAAACTTTAAAACAAAAGACAGATCATCAGAATTGACCTTAAAGATTGAGTGTCGCTGGTTGCACATGTAACTACCAGAAACTGGTGTAGGAGGAGCTGCATGTGTGAACGCAGACTGACACATTTGTCTCTCCTCCAGCCTCCTCGTATTCATTCTGCAGAAAGTCAGATGTGAAACCAGCTTTTGAGGTCAACTTAACTCTGAACAAAATCTGAATCTTAAATTAAATTCATTGGAATTTGGGCACAAGGTGAGCGCAGTGAACGATAGAGCTTCACATATTTCTTATCGTTTTCTGAAGTCACTTTAAGTTACCCTGAAGTCGCCAAATCTGTGGAATAAGAAAAGCATTCATCAGTAAATCAGGACTCACAGGATTCATGTTATGTTGGAGTTGCCGTCCAGAAATGCTGAATCATCAAAATTCCAGCAGACTTAGTTGTAATCTTTTCTTTACAGACAGAAACGTACGTACTTGAGCATGTAAACGTTAAGTCATTAGTAATAATCACTGATGCCGTCATACCTCTTGAGACACATATAACAGGTTTTCTCCGTCCATGTGAGTCTCTCATGATTATTCAGAGCTTAAAAAAACGACATAAAAACACTCGGTGGGGTTTACAAGTCTGGAAAGAAACATTTCCAGCCATGCAGGACGGACGCTGGAGCTTCTTATTTCACAAAATCAGAAACATCTTTCGTTCCCGGTCTGAGAAGATGGGAGCTCACGCCCAGCCCTCCAAGAGAAGAACGAGTAGAGCATCTTCTCAATAGAACATCTTTGTTGTTGTGCATGCTCAGAAAGAATCTCTGATAAATAAATGTGCACCTTGCCGTCCTCTGCAGCCTCCAGTAAAGGAGCTCATGAGATCACCATCGGCGCCGGTCTTCCTCAGCACTGCTTTGACGGACTCTCGCCTGACGCCCTCTACACCGCCACCGTCTTCGTTCAGACGCCCAACCTGGAAGGTCCTGGAGTCAGCGCCAAGGAGAGAACATGTAAGTGGTTTTTGTCTTTTCATGCTTTTTATTTTAGAGACGAGGCCGGGGATAGAGTCAGAAATCAGAGAGCGAGTGGGGGATGATATTAAGGAAAGGCGCCACGGGTCGGACTCAAACCCTGGCCGCCCGCTTGGAGGACTACAGCCTCCGTACATGGGGCACGTGCAGTATCCACTAGGCTACCAGTGGATATGAATCAACCTCTTCAGATTGGAGGTTTTAACTCTAACAGCAACATTTCATAAAAATGTTCAAGGTCGCCCGGGTCGTCAGATAAACTATAATCTAAGGAAATGTGTGACCCGTTAGCCTCCATGATGACTCACAGGTCAGAGTATGTTTCTGTTTTTCACATGTAACCCTCCTAAACACACTAAAGTTGAATGAAACCCTCGTGTGTGTACATTAAAGAAGAAAAAATCAAACATTTCTGTGCTTTAGGATAAAACACAAACACATGTTGCAGATTGTTTTTCACTCTGTTGAGCTTTTTACTCGTTCATTATGTGGACGATTAATAAAGTTTCCATCATTAAAGAAAACGTCAACAAACAAAAGTGAACATGTTTCAGACTGGAGTGAGGTGTGTGTGTGTGTGTGTGTGTGTGTGTGTGTGAGATAAGAAACATGATTCACACGCTGAGTGACATCAGCTCGCAGCATCCGTCCACCCTCTGACTTCATCACACGACATGTTTACTGTTCTTCTCTATTTATTACAAATCATGCTTTTTGTCATCTGTTTCTCGTAGTGGTGAAGCCAACGCCAGTTCCAACGCTCCCGCCAACACCGGCCCCTCCTCCCACCATCCCCCCTCCATGGGCAGGTAAATATCAGATGAGACACGTCGAGCTGTGACGACCGAGTCAAGACCAAGACCATAAACATCAGTAATAAATCCTCATCTTGTGTTTAGGGGATCAAAATGAAACTACAAATAAATTCCAGTTGTTTGTTCTTTTAGAAAGAGGAGTTTTCCTTCTATTCTCAGTGATGACGTGGAAACATAGCCGATCAGTGGTGGTCTTCACCGGTCTTGATTTAAAATCCAGAGTCTGCCCAGTCTGAGACCGAGACAAGACGGAGTAATGAGACTGAGACTGATGTATTCAAAAAGTGGTCTCGAGACCAAGACCGATTTCAAGTCCTACATCACTACCCTGTTGAAAACTGCTCGATATGTTTTGTATATAATTTGCTCCACGAGGCGTTTAAACGATTGTGTCTGCATCAGTTCATGTCATCAGTTAATAGAGTATGAGGAGCAGGACGATGGACGTTTTTAAGAGTCTCCCAGAGAGAGAAGGACTAAACTATGATGAGAACTACACAAAATATCTGCTGTGAGGAAAACATGGATCACCTCAGATCTGAACGGATCGATTCTTTTCATTCAACCTCGCCTCTGACTGGAAAATCCTCATAGCAGCCATTTTTTAACCTCGACTGTAGAATCTGACTTGTGCTACCAGCCGTGGATTAATGAAGGACAGGTGTGAGGGCACGGCGTTAAAAATCAACAACTGAAGTGTTGAACACAGAGGACGGACCAATCCAAAGAGTTTGTTTGTGTTGTTGTTTTTGTGAGAGGATGATGTGCTGCATCACATCAGGCAAACATTATTCAGAGAGAGAAACATTAGCGAGAGCTCTCTTTCAGTCAACCCTTCTGCTCACCAAATGTTGCTCCTTTTCTTTTTCCACTCTTTTTTTCCTGATCCGTGGAGCAGTAATTACGATACACGACCCCATCACGTCATTTTCTTCTCAATCGTTTGGTTTTCCTCGCACGCTTCAAGCTGACGTCTTAATGCGCTCCAGCCTGCAAACAATAATAATTATAATGACGCCGTGTGTCGGTGCCATACTCTCTGCTGGTGTTTTGCACCCTGAAGTCTGGCCCCGTGTTGACTTTTGTTGTTTTTCTCGCCTCAGTTTGCAAAGGAGCCAAAGCAGACTTGGTGTTCCTCATCGACGGCTCGTGGAGCATCGGCGAGGAGAGCTTCACCAAAGTCGTCAACTTCGTCTCCGGTATGATCGGCGCCTTCGACGTGGTCGGACCCTCAGGGATGCAGGTTTGTCCTCTGATGATGATCCGATATCCAATTGGAATAGAGTAGAATAGATGTTTGTTGCCATCTCCACAGGTACAGGACAGTACAGGTACATTGGAATTTTTTGTGTGTTTCTCCCTGAGTCAGCTTCTACATAAAAGTTAAAATTATATATAAAATAGAATATCATTATAAGAAAAGAAGAGTAGAAAAGTACAAATAAATGAATAAGTTGTAGTAACAGCTTAGTAAATGAAAATAAACTGTACAGAAGCTATACACTGTATTAAAGCAAAGATATAATACAAAAATAAATAACAAAGGGGAACACTGTACAATGAGATGAAAATATAAATATGTTTTCTTGTCT